CTAGCTAAATTGAATGTTTGCATTCCAAAACCATACGCAAGATGTTAAGCTACTGCATCATATAACACAATTAACAAGCAAACAAAAATCTTACACAAGATTTGATGACACATTGCATTTGAAAGGTACACAAGAACCAATGACACATTGAAAAACACACAAGATTTAATTACATGAATACAACTATGTAAAATGATGATGTTAAGGAAAAGGTTTTTTAACTGGCAATAACTTAATGGACAGGTATGGTTTGTAAATTAGTAGCAATCACCTTTATTTACAGTGTTATATACACAAAAAATGGAACTGGGATTATTTGGTGTTACTGTCACCGCTTTGGTGCTACTCTGGTAGATTTGCTCCATCTTCTACATATAAAGAATTAAAAAGTGATAAAGATTGAAACATAAAGACTGATTCATACAAGGATATAGAAATTAGAGCTACATGTCAATAACTGACATCAGATATAATAGGTTATATGTGATATAATAGGTTATATATGTGATATAATAGGTTATATGTGTGATATAATAGGTTATATGTGTGATATAATAGGTTATATGTGTGATATAATAGGTTATATGTGTGATATAATAGGTTATATGTTATATATGTGATATAATAGGTTATATGTGTGATATAATAGGTTATATATGTAATATAATAGGTTATATGTGTAATATAATGTGTGATATAATAGGTTATATGTGTGATATAATAGGTTATATGTGTGATATAATAGGTTATATATGTGATATAATAGGTTATATATGTGATATAATAGGTTATATATGTGATATAATAGGTTATTTGTGTGATATAATAGGTTATATGTGTAATATAATATGTTATATGTGATATAATAGGTTATATTTGTGATATAATAGGTTATATATGTGATATAATAGGTTATATATGTGATATATATGTGTAATATAATAGGTTATATGTGTGATATAATAGGTTATATATGTCATAAGATATAATATAGGTTATATATGTGATGTTATAGGTTATATATGTCATAAAATATAATATAGGTTATATATGTGATCTAGGTTATATATGTCATAAGATATAACATAGGTTATATATGTGATATAGGTTATATATGTCATAAGATATAACATAGGTTATATATGTGATGTTATAGGTTATATATGTCATAAAATATAATATAGGTTATATATGTGATCTAGGTTATATATGTCATAAGATATAACATAGGTTATATATGTGATGTTATAGGTTATATATGTCATAAAATATAATATAGGTTATATATGTGATCTAGGTTATATATGTCATAAGATATAACATAGGTTATATATGTGATCTAGGTTATATATGTCATAAAATATAATATAGGTTATATATGTGATATAGGTTATATATGTCATAAGATATAACATAGGTTATATATGTGATGTTATAGGTTATATATGTGATAAGATAATATAGGTTATATATGTGATAAGATATAATATAGGTTATATATGTGATAAGATATAATATAGGTTATATATGTGATCTAGGTTATATATGTCATAAGATATAACATAGGTTATATATGTGATGTTATAGGTTATATATGTGATAAGATATAATATAGGTTATATATGTGATAAGATATAATATAGGTTATATATGTGATAAGATATAATATAGGTTATATATGTGATGAGATATAATATAGGTTATATATGTGATAAGATATAATATAGGTTATATATGTGATAAGATATAATATAGGTTATATATGTGATATAGGTATATATGTCATAAGATATAACATAGGTTATATATGTGATATAGGTTATATATGTCATAAGATATAATATAGGTTATATATGTGATGTTATAGGTTATATATAGGTGTGAGGTTTATCTGGATTGTTCTGGGAAAAGTTGATAAGAGATCAACAGAAATTTCTAGTTTATGATGCTATATTTCCAATAACAACTGGGGATTTGTTAAGTGCAATAAACATTTTGTGTATAATTGAATAATTTTAATATATATATACTTATTCAAACTGATTTCAATGAATTACACTTTATAGTGTTTTATTGCCTCTGGGATGTTATTTTGTGACCTAGATACACAGTAGGTAGGGTTAAATAGCTTAATTGTCAATATCTCTATGGTTGAGCAGCACCAGGGTGATGTGTATTAATTGATGATATTTGCCTGGAGGATATAACTGCCTCTGGTTGATAGAGATAAAGGTGATACTGTGTGTGTATTGGATATGTGTCAACACTTGGGCAGGTCCTAAGTAGTGTTTTCAGGACCGTGGGGTGACACTCTCAGATCTGGTTTGTAGCGGAGATTTTTTTATGCATTGACATAGAAGAAAAAAGTCTCTGATACCTGTACCTGCAACCTCTTAGCAGAATATATTTTCAGGAAATCACAAATTAATTAGGATTCTTCATAGGGCAATATGAAGGAAAATTGCAGACACTTGTCAAGGCTTGTGTAAAAGATTATAGAAGTGTTGAAATTATGTGTGGATTTTCAAGGCTTGTGTAGAAGATTATAGAAGTGTGGATTTTCCAAGTTAAGTGGATAATTTACAAGTTACATTGATAGTAAGGAAAGTTGGTGGTTTTCAGGATGATACTGGACCGTCTTTATGGATGATTAGGAGAATTAGATTTTATGGATTGGCCAGAAAAACATAGGTTGTTTGGATTCTATTTTAAGTCTTTGTCCTTGATTATGAATAAGTAAAGGAGGAGATGTTTGGTGTATGTGTGTATCATTTCAAAGGGATAGGTTTTCATATCTGTCTCTCAAAAATATGGAAATGTTAAACCTGTTTTGCGGACAAAAAAAATTCCAATTGGAAGGAGTATATTAGTCAAGTTTTCAGCAAAACTGTTGCCATGGTAACACAACCCTGTAAGTTATAAGTTACAGCCAAGGTTTTGGGAAGTATATTAAATATTTCAATAACTATATGATTTACACACTTTACTTCCTCATCAATATCTTTATACTTAGATATATCAACAGACATACAAGTAAAGATTTAATAGTGTACAAACGATACTCATTGTGAATGACAGTTCCTCTGCTGAAAGTTTGTAATTTAAAATCATTTGGATTGACTGTTTTTCTCAATTCAATACAGCAGATTCTTGTAGGTAGGAGATATTTATAGCTTACTCAGCAATGATATAAGCCAAGCTGTGAAATGTTAAAGGTTATAGTCAATTTAATAAAAGCTGTTGCTGATGACTGTATCAAAGAGGGATTACAATGTGCTGGATGTATTTCATTAAAGACTTGTAGAGGAGCTATCATACGGAGGAATGGACAAGAACTGAAAAGGAACATGTTTGGTTTAGTGACTTATAACATCAGTATAGGTCAGTGATATTGCCATATCTTTGTAGGGTTGCTGGGGTTGCTACATATTTTGTAGGGTTGCTGGGGTTGCTACATATTTTGTAGGGTTGCTGGGGTTGCTACATATTTTGTAGGGTTGCAAGGGTTACTACATATTTTGTAGGGTTGCAAGGGTTACTACATATTTGGATGTGGCATCAGAAACAGATCTAAAGATCACTGGCGAAGAGGGAAAATACTTATTGATGTGAGATTGTTTAGGTCTGTTATGAGAAAAGACACACACTTCAAGTGAATATTTTATTAGCTCTGTGTAGAACATGTTGACTTGTTTTGTGGGGGTATGAACAGTATATTTATCATGAGGGTCTTTAGAAGGAAGTGAAACTAACTTGAGAGGAAATATGAGAATTTATTAGATGTAGAGCACATTACCAAGGTCACCTTTACACTGACAACACATTGTAACAATATTCATACCGAAGAATGCATCCACGATACCTACGTTATCGACGCTGGGTAAGATCTGTTTTGATGTCTGTGTGTTGTATTGTTTTACAGCGTTGATGATGTTTTATCTACAGAACATATTGTTACTAGATTTGATTGTAGAAGGAACAGTAAACCCCAGAAATCAACTCGCCTATATACAGTTTCTATTCGTCTATTTATTCAAAATTTAAAAGAAAGCATATATACAGACCATCTTTGATATGAACAAGTTTTGTTCAGTAATTCATACACTATTAAGATACAGCATAATGCTAGTGTTAGGCAAGAAGAACATGTTTAATATGGTGTTAGGAACCAAAAACAAAGTTAGTAAGATGGTTTCAGAGTTTATGTTTGATGGTCAATAATCAGGATTTCTTAATTTCCCTAAATCTGTATGTCTGCTTTCAGGATGTAGGATGTTGTGTATATTGACATGCTAAGTCCATGCATTAAGATATGTTTATACCATGGTTGTGATAGGCATCAGACTTTGTAACCTCAGGTGTTTAATATCTACTGTTTGGTTCAGTTAATTTATCTTAATTGTGGATAGGATGTAGCTGGCCTCTCCGATGTTGTTCAGTGACGTAGCCACCAACTACCACATGAAGACCCCGTCAACAGAATAAAAATAAATGGATTTATTGATTATAGAGATTGTGTTTATTTTACAATTGAAATGTTTGCTTTCACGTAATATATTGATATTACATTAGTGATTGTTTAAAATAAAACGAAACTAGAATATTCATCACCAGACAGGGCTGACTTGTATAAGTTTTTTTCATGGCTAATTTTCTTTTGGCTCCATGATTGATGATTTTACAGAAACCTTTGATCAATGCTGATTTCGGAACCTGTTTCCACTATTAAAAAAAGGAACAAAAATAATTATTTCATAGATTTAGAATTTTTGACTATGATTGATGATTTTACAGGAACATATGATCAATACTTACTTTGAAACCTGATACTACTATTAAGATAGAAACAAATATTTCATTTCATAGATTTTGATTTTTTTGATATGTTTATTGATAATTTTACATAAACCAATGAACAATGCTTATTTTGGAACTTGTGCCTACCACTTTAGAAATATAAACCAATATTTTATATGTTTTATAAATTGTCTCTGTTAAAGTCTCTGGTGGCCATTGAACAAGAAGTAACATCACGGCAGTTATCTACAGCAAGCAGTGCCAACAATATCAATGATCACCTGGATGAAGACGAGAAAGAGGAAGAGGAAATAGGAAGGATTGCGGGATGGGCAGTCGGTTTTGAGAAAATGTTAAATGATGTTGGAGGATTAGCTGTTTTCACAGTAAGTGTTCAATAATAAATGAATAGGACCAGAAATAAAAATTCTTTATTACATAGTTTATAACTGTGCTGAGAGTCACTGGATGTGTATGTGTATCCATGTATGTACAAGGGTCTAGTGTACTGTAAAATCTGGCAAAATTAAGGGACTGAGTTATTCCTTAATCTCACTCTTTTGTCAGAATGAAAATTGACTGTCATTTCAAATATCTAGTGGCCAACCCATTTAATGGTTTGGAACATATAGTGTTACACTTGTCCTTCATTCTGTCATTATTTTATAAATGAGTTTTCGCTCATTTACCTTTAAATACATACAGATTTAGAACTGTAATGTGTATAGCAAAAATGTGACGGTCAACACCTGATTTGGTTATCAATTATTTTTTGCTTACCTGGCCTGAAGGGCCAAGTGAGCTTATACTGTGGTGCAGTGTGTCTAATATCATTTTTTGCCTTTTAACAACTTCTTCTTAATAACTGATAGACCAAATGTTTAATACTGTTTATTAAAAATTTCCCTTTCAGGAATTCTTAAAGAAAGAATTCAGTGAAGAAAATATTGTATTTTGGAGAATTTGTGAGCAGTACAAAAGTGTTTCTGACGGTGACAGGGTGAGTTTTATACTTTATACTGACCATGATTGTGATCAGTGGATGGTATTTATGCCAATATTAAAACTTGATCACTCTATACGTCCGAATGATAAAGTAAATTATAATCCGAACAAAATCTCATTGAAACTTTTACTGGAAAAAATTTTAATGAGATTTTAAGCGAAAGGAGATACATGGTAAATGAAAAATCCATCTTTTTCAGAAATCTTTATCAATATGAATTGTGTTGGTGTGATCATTAACAACATTCATAGTGGCATCACTTTTTTATTGAGACTGCTTGAAATTCCTTTTCAAATCAGAATCCAAAAGTCTGTAAGCTCATCAAACCTAATACAACATTGCTTTCAACATGAGACGTTGAGGTCCCTTGGGCCTGTCAAACCTCATGTTTGTACGTTACTTAATAACTAAGGATGGTTTATTAGGTAAATCTTGTTTAAAGTTAAAAAAGTTGAAGGTCAAGGTTATTCTGGATCACTTTGTCCATAATTCACTTGATCATACATGTTTTAAATTTTCAGAATTGTTAGTAATTATTAATGTTGCTAAGTTTTATGGAAAGAATGAAAACTGCTTATACCAGTTAGTCACACAAAAGGATATAAATATTAAAAAATCTGTTCTATTTTTACAGCGCAAAGTAAAGGCCAAAGAAATTTTTGCAAAGCATATATCAGTGAAGTCTTCTGATCCAGTGAATATTGATCATGTTGCTCGGCAACTGGTGGAGAAACAACTGGACCATCCTAGCATCAGTACATTTGACAAACCACAGCAGGAGGTAAATATGACTTTAGTGATGTTCACGTCTTGTTGTCTTTGATAGTGACAATGAGCTAAGACTAGAACAGCTCGTTTGATAGATTTCAGACAAAATCAGTTTTCCTAAGCAGATGTCAGTGTTGTTGACATGGTTACAGATGGAATGGGTGATATATATATATGTACTTCAATACAAAAAAAAATCAGAATCTGAAACTTGAAGTTGTAATTTGTTGAAAACTGAAATATAGCAGAAAATTTATATATTTTTTGTTTATCTATTGAAAGAATTTTTTTTGTTTAATTAAATTCAAAGAATCAAGGATCAGGTGGCAGAATTGATAGCAATGATAGGAAAATTGTAATATCATTTATCACAGAGAATCTAACATGAGTGTTGATATGATATAGAATTTATCAAACAAATTAAATAATTTGTGTTGTCATGCGCTAGTATGCAGGTGAATCAAATTATTTACTGAGTTTAAAAATTCTATATATCATGTACATGGGCATGAGTGTAAGATTCTGTTTTTCGTATAATTCATATTTATAAAAACAAAAAAATGAACAAAAACTTATTTCCTCATAAGACAGAATTGTTTTGACTCTGTATTTTACTATCGAAGCTGTGATGTGATGTCAGCAAAAAGTGACTTATCTATGACATCACAATAGCATTCTTCCACATGTGTCCTATGATGCCAATAATATGGCTGAATGACATGACAAGAGAAGCCAGTTATATGTTACAGGAATAATGTCTAAATGCTTTAGGAAGTCTATGGTAGGCAGTTTAGTAAACAGCAGCACAGATGAAATTCTTTGGCCTAAAGACACAGTTTGAAATTTGGCCGTAAAAATGTGTTTGCCTTGTCAGATTTTCAAGCTGATGAAGCAAGACAGTTACCCACGATTCCTCAAATCAGAACTTTACAAGACGTATCTGATGAGGGAGATGGGGGGTGAACCGTTGGGCCTACCTAAAGACGATTTCCAGGGTATCCTTGGAGCTAAGGAGCTCAAGGAGGAAAAGAAAAAGGCAGCAAAGGGGAAGGATACAGATGACAAGGAAAAGAGAAGACGGTCTCTGTTGCCATGGAGACAAAGTGAGTAAATTTCATATGTCACTCAAGCAACAGGATAACCATATGCAATCAAAAGGTAACCATTGACTGTAGAATATCTGTAGATAGAGTGAGTTGTCAAGATTTACAAAATTTGGGACTATATAGGTAAAATATTGTTTTCAGTCAAGTTTCTTTTCTGCCATTAAGTCTTATGTAAAGTTTTAATCTTTCGAAGATGTGAAGAAATGGTTTCAAGATCCATTTATTAGAAATCATGCCACATACCTTATGTTAAGAATGGATGTGATATTCAATGTTCTAAAGAAATAGTTTCAAAGTTTGTTGTTACTTATTGTAGAGAGCAGTAAAAATAGCCTGAAAGCCACGTCAGATTCTGATCTGAAGAAAAACAGCAGTAAAACAACTCCATCAGGGACAACTGCAAAAGAGTCGGAGGTAAACAACAATACTACAGGAACACAGAAAAAGGCAGCTCCCGGACCTGGCATTGATCTCAGTACGATACGCAAGGAAGTTCAGGCCGGTACCAAAGAGGTTGGTATAATGTATCTAGTCTATCAGAACTCTCACTGTACTGGTTTTTGATCATTTAGTTTACTTGTTAATTTTTTGTAGTTTCAGTTGACAGAACTGTTTAATTAAAGTTGCATTTTTGTACAGCAGAAAACAGAAATGATAAATATTGCATGTTTGACTCATAGTGCTGTAAAACATTTATTGAGGAATGAAAAAAATTGTTTTCAATTTCTTTTTTACTAGTCCAAGGAAGATAAAGAAACTGAGGACAATTTTAAGTTTTGTCGTGTGATTTTACCGGACGGGTCTACGACTGTGGTGTGTGCGAAGCCAGGCCAGCGTATCCGATCTGTTCTAGGCAAGCTTTGTGATAAGCGGAGTCTGTCTATAGCCGCTGTGGATGTGTTCCTTTTGGGCTCAGACAAGGTAATGTTTTTTATACAAAGCAAGATATATTACAGTAGTAATTTGTTGATCCCAACGTTCAGTCTTCATCTTAAATTTCAAAATGACTTCCTGCTATATCAGAGATGCTTTGTGGCATTATAATAACTTGAATTCCTGGTTTCAGCCCCTCGACCTTGCAGAAGACATATCAACACTAGGGTCACGTGAGGTGATGATTGAGAGACGTGTCTTGTTCCGTATGGACTTACCTAACAGGAAGTCTATAGGCGTGAAGGCGAAACCTAACCGATCCATCAGAGATGTCTTCAAACCCATATTAAACAAATATGGCTTTAAACTCGACAATATTTGTGTTCAGTTGGTAAGTTACAATATAGATTTTAAAAAAACAAATCTTGAAAAGTTAAAATGATGTTAAACACTAAAGTAAATGAAAAAATAATCATATGCATTTTAAGCAGTGTAAGTTATTGGAGAGGGCAGATATGATTTGGAAAAGTTATGTGTAATCCCCATTGTATAAAAATCAAGGAATTGTTCGAGATTTTATAATCACTGATTGGTTGTTATTTGATGAGTGCTTACTGAACAATTTTCTCTTAATAATCTGTTAGCTAAAGAATATTGAGTCCCTTAGTACTTAATATATTATTAACCAGTTATGGAAAACTTTTAAAAAAAAAAGCCTGGTGAGTTAAAAGATGTTTTATTATCAAAGCTATCTTGTTGAGGTTTAAGATATTTTGTTATATGTCCACGTTATTTTTTAGTCTGGACAGCCAGGAATGGTAGATATTGATGCCCAGGTGTCCACTATCGACAATCAGAGAGTGCTTATTAAACACCAGGAGGAATGCATAGGTAAGTGAACATGCTGACGAACCTGTGACATGTCACAGTACATTCATCACATTCATCACCGCTGTCATCATTCATCATAAATTCATCTCTTCACTCTCTTGTCATCAGTTTTCATTACACTTTTCTTTTTACATATCCGTGCCATCCGCTGATTTACATATTTCATTATATTTTTTTCTCCCATCACAATCACAGCTTCATAAAACTTAGGCTTCTTTGAATCATTTTGTTTATTTCATTTCAATCATTGAACAGTTTACTTTCATTTATACCAACCTGTTACTTTGATAGTAATTTACTGTAAAGATTTGAAAAGTTTACAACACTTTTTGATTTATCTATTTATTTATTTATTTGTTAATTTATTTTTGCAATGAAGATTTTAAACATTTTCCTTTAAATTAAATTTGAAATTGATTATAAAGTTTGTGATCAGGATTGAAGGTGCTATAAGGGGAGGTAACTCTTGAAACTAAGGTTTTGGAGATACAGAGCACACAGCTAGTCCAAATATATTAAAGTTGTGTTGTCCCAGTAACAAGGATTAATGTCTGGAAAATGAATGTTTCTTTTTCACATTTTCTCGCTTGTTCACAAATTTTTATTCTTGAAAAGTTGTCAATTTAACAAATAAAATTTGTGTACTGTGACAACACAATATATGGTATGTTATATTTCTATAATTATATATTATATATTCTACAAACCCAGCTTTATATAATAAGGTGATGGCATATATTCTCATAGTTATATTTAACATATTCAAAGTTACCCATATACTGATCAAAGATACCCATAGACTGACTCTGATCAATATTCAGTGATGGAACGTAGACAATACAAAGAGGCTCGTGAATATTCTTTGGATACAGATGTTTGGTTTTTTCCTTCCTATCACATTTTCTAAATGTTTTTGCATATTGAATTTGCTACATTTTGTGACAGTATTGTGAAAACTTCATCACTGGATATTACATGGGCCTGTCTTCATAGAACTGTTCTCATGCTTAAGAATGAATTCTTCTCACACCAAGTCTCTTATGACTTTCTGAAATTGTGATAAAAATTAAGAAGTCTATTCAACATTGCTTCAAATTATTGGAGAAAAAGATCAATAACACTTCACAATGTTTCATCTGCTTTGAAGTATGAGAATGGTTTGATGAAAATGTGGCCGGAATTAGAATATGAATTTAACCAGAAGTTGGGGATTTTATTTAACTTTATGTTTTATTCATTAAGAAAATGTTTCAATTAATTTTCGTTCAGACTAATACACAATTGTTTTCTATTGATTTGGATTATAACCATGGTGTGTGTATTTACTATATATTAACAACAGATGTTAAAATTCAACAGACACTTGTGCTAATTGCACCTTTGTTTGTATTGAGGAAGGAAACATGTTTGAAAATGTACACAGGAATTATTTACGATATGCTTCATAGTTTTATATATGTAATCAATGATAAATCAACTCTGGAATAAGCCCAGCCTTTGTTTGATAGGATCTACCAATAATAAGCCTATTTTCATATTAGTGCAGATGACATACTGTTATCTACTTGAGGTTAGCACAGGGTAAAAACTTTTACTTACCTGGATTAAGCACAGATGAAAAACTAATGAACCAGGACTAAGCACAGGTGAAAAACTGTTACCTGCCTGGACTAAGCACAGGTGAAAAACTGTTACCTGCCTGGACTAAGCACAGGTGAAAAACTGTTACCTGCCTGGACTAAGCACAGGTGAAAAAATGTTACCTGCCTTGACTAAGCACAGGTGAAAAACTGTTACCTGCCTGGACTAAGCACAGGTGAAAAACTGTTACCTGCCTGGACTAAGCATTGGTGAAAAACTGTTACCTGCCTGGACTAAGCATTGGTGAAAAACTGTTACCTGCCTGGACTAAGCACAGGTGAAAAACTGTTACCTGCCTGGACTAAGCACAGGTGAAAAACTGTTACCTGCCTGGACTAAGCATTGGTGAAAAACTGTTACCTGCCTGGACTAAGCATTTGTGAAAAACTGTTACCTGCCTGGACTAAGCATTGGTGAAAAACTGTTACCTGCCTGGACTAAGCATTGGTGAAAAACTGTTACCTGCCTGGACTAAGCAATGGTGAAAAACTGTTACCTGCCTGGACTAAGCACAGGTGAAAAACTGTTACCTGCCTGGACTAAGCACAGGTGAAAAACTGTTACCTGCCTGGACTAAGTACAGGTGAAAAACTGTTACCTGCCTGGACTAAGCATTGGTGAAAAACTGTTACCTGCCTGGACTAAGCATTGGTGAAAAACTGTTACCTGCCTGGACTAAGCATTGGTGAAAAACTGTTACCTGCCTGGACTAAGCACAGGTGAAAAACTGTTACCTGCCTGGACTAAGCATTTGTGAAAAACTGTTACCTGCCTGGACTAAGCATTGGTGAAAAACTGTTACCTGCCTGGACTAAGCACAGGTGAAAAACTGTTACCTGCCTGGACTAAGCATTGGTGAAAAACTGTTACCTGCCTGGACTAAGCATTTGTGAAAAACTGTTACCTGCCTGGACTAAGCACAGGTGAAAAACTGTTACCTGCCTGGACTAAGCATTGGTGAAAAACTGTTACCTGCCTGGACTAAGCATTGGTGAAAAACTGTTACCTGCCTGGACTAAGCACAGGTGAAAAACTGTTACCTGCCTGGACTAAGCACAGGTGAAAAACTGTTACCTGCCTGGACTAAGCACAGGTGAAAAACTGTTACCTGCCTGGACTAAGCATTGGTGAAAAACTGTTACCTGCCTGGACTAAGCATTGGTGAAAAACTGTTACCTGCCTGGACTAAGCACAGGTGAAAAACTGTTACCTGCCTGGACTAAGCACAGGTGAAAAACTGTTACCTGCCTGGACTAAGCATTGGTGGAAAAAAAAGTTATTTACCTGGGCTAAGCTCTAATGATATACACATGAAATACCAGAAAAGAATCTTTCTTTTAAAAAAAATTCCAAAAAAGAAAGAAAAAAAAGTTGGATGTTGCAATAACAAAATAATGATAAAAATATGAAGCAAACTTCCTGATGTTGAACATTTTGCCTTGTGTTGATGATAAAGTATAGTGGTTAGTAAATAAACAATGTACATGGATGTCTGTAAACAATGATGGTATGTCATCAATAAAGCAAGCCAGACTGTAAAATGTTAACTGGAATCTTTGTCTGATCAGCTGTTTTTATACTGTTATTGTTTAGTAAAGGTTTGGTCAGTAAGGGTTTGTAGTCTGATCAGCTGTTTTTATACTGTTATTGTTTAGTAAAGGTTTGGTCAGTAAGGGTTTGTAGTCTGATCAGCTGTTTTTATACTGTTATTGTTTAGTAAAGGTTTGGTCAGTAAGGGTTTGTAGTCTGATCAGCTGTTTTTATACTGTTATTGTTTAGTAAAGGTTTGGTCTGTAAGGGTTTGTAGTCTGATCAGCTGTTTTTATACTGTTATTGTTTAGTAAAGGTTTGGTCAGTAAGGGTTTGTAGTCTGATCAGCTGTTTTTATACTGTTATTGTTTAGTAAAGGTTTGGTCTGTAAGGGTTTGTAGTCTGATCAGCTGTTTTTATACTGTTATTGTTTAGTAAAGGTTTGGTCAGTAAGGGTTTGTAGTCTGATCAGCTGTTTTTATACTGTTATTGTTTAGTAAAGGTTTGGTCTGTAAGGGTTTGTAGTCTGATCAGCTGTTTTTATACTGTTATTGTTTAGTAAAGGTGTGGTCAGTAAGGGTTTGTAGTCTGATCAGCTGTTTTTATACTGTTATTGTTTAGTAAAGGTTTGGTCAGTAAGGGTTTGTAGTCTGATCAGCTGTTTTTATACTGTTATTGTTTAGTAAAGGTGTGGTCAGTAAGGGTTTGTAGTCTGATCAGCTGTTTTTATACTGTTATTGTTTAGTAAAGGTGTGGTCAGTAAGGGTTTGTAGTCTGATCAGCTGTTTTTATACTGTTATTGTTTAGTAAAGGTGTGGTCAGTAAGGGTTTGTAGTCTGATCAGCTGTTTTTATACTGTTATTGTTTAGTAAAGGTGTGGTCAGTAAGGGTTTGTAGTCTGATCAGGTGCTGTTATTGTTTAGTAAATGTTTGGTCAGCAAGGACAGTAGTAACCGCTGTTTTCCTTGAATATAGTAGTCTTGACCTCTACGGTTACTGATTCTGTTATCCTTACACATTGTGAGATTGGGCAGGAGTGAATCTGATAACCTCCTGGTGTGATGGGATTTGTTTTCTTTGATGCCATATAGACTTACTCCTATGTTAACGCCTCTGAATTTGTGAATTCAGAAATGAGTTTGAATGGAATTATAAACATATTCAGTTAGTTTGGAAGATTGGATATCTTGTCAAAATACATCACCAATGGGCATCAGTTTTGTTTAATTCTTACAAACCCAATTATTCAGTCAACACATTTATAGAATAGTTTTTCTGGGTTAATTGTCGTTATACTCTTATCATTTTATCACTTCAAGCTCAGTTTTAGGAAACAGATTTCAGTCAGCAGCTGATGATGATATTTAGCAGCTGCCTGAACAAGTTACATATATAACACAATTTTTTTTTCAAGCGTACACATTTGTGATAATAGAATCAAGATGTTTTTACTGACAACTATATCCCCTGCAAAGAAGAAATGTCAATTACATCCATGTTCATTGTTCAACATGTTATTACCCTGCTACAACTAACTATCAAACTGTCAACAAACTGAAAAGAGCTCATTTGTTCGATCTGCCGAGGAAGAAAATATAACTGATTTAAAGATATTGTGTGTAAATGTCATTTAATAGATAAAAGGTTGGGCATTGGTATTCGTTTGTCAGACAAGAATAATTGATATTCTACTACATTTTATCTGGCCTGTCCTTAAATGTTTTATCATTTTTTGTCAAGCACTGCCATAGAAAGCTTACGAAGATGGATTTAAATTTTACAAAATTCAATGGATATTTTGTCAAGAAATTCTAAGTAGTAGTTTTTCTCGGCCGTTTTTTTAGGCTGGTGGTTTGTTGACAGTGTTTTATACCATCTTACACACCTAATATATTGCATGCCGTTGATCCCTTGTTTATTTGCCTAACAGCCATCAGTAGAAATGAGGGGTTTCGGTCCACATCTAAAAGGACACAGATAGTGGTTAAATATCCCCCTGATTTCCATGTAAACTCCGGTCAAGAAAGCACCTCTCTTGATGTGATCACAAATCAAATATTTGAGGATTTAATGAGGGGAAAATCTGAGGTGGCTCATAACTTTGATGAACTTGGAATTCTAGATCCTGAGAACTCTCCACAGGTAAGTTGTCCTCTGTAGTGCTCCTAACTGCTTAGTGTGGTGATTATAGGACTGTCACAGCTGCTTTTGTATTCTGTGTGGTAACCATAGCTCTATAACCAACCCATCACAAACAACTATCTAAATATTTTGCTTTCATGTCCTAAAATAACGCTGTAGTGTGCTTCATATATTTATTTGCATCAATTTTTCTTCTTCCCGGCTTTTTTTCTAGAAGTGTTTAGAGGAATGGATTTTTATCATAGAAGGATAATTTTTCTTACTAGAAACTGATATGGTAAATGGTTTTAACCTTTCTTAATAATATACTGTAGTATATAGTAGATGAGTGATGATAATTTAATTAATAACTATGAGATATCAACTTGAGTGTGAAAAACTACGTAATTTATTACATTTACACATTTGTCTTATTTTTTCACCTTGGCACTGGATATTTGTTGGTTAATTCCCTCTCTACTTTTAATTAATAAGTACATTACACAAGCATTATTGAAAGTGAAAACCAGACACATATTAACAATCAATTTAATATTAATCAAAGTAAGTTTCAATCACAACACACACAGCTCGTCAGCAGTAAGTGGGATATTTATTGTCCAATCGCATAAAAACCCCTTCACTGGTGACGCTTTGTGTGTGTTGTGATTGAAATTAATGCTGATATTTTATTTCAAACTTTTTGGCATCCACACCTGACGCGCAGCGACCAACTTATCAACCAACTGATTGGGATCTGACGTTGGCTCTACATTTTTCTGTTAATGTTAATTGGTTACTTTATACAATTATCAACATAACACACAATTACATCACAAAAATATTATTTATTGGGGTGGAAGTAATCTTCTCACAATAATATACACTTTTGAAGTGACTACAAATTCAGGCATTACTTACACACACTGACGTAATAACCAGATTATTACAACTCTTTGAAGACATGCAAGTCTTAACTACAAACTGCATAAACCTTTTCAACAGTACTGACATGCTTTCTAGGTTTACTGGACTGGTAAGTTTGGCAGAGGTAGCTGTTATTCCATGCCAGTCTGCAGGGAATGTCAAAGTTTCAATGCTTATCAGATGCTTTTAGTGAAATAACATGCTAATTATGGTTCCAAATTGATTGCGATAGTTGAGTCTTTTCAAGCTACTGTTCTCTCTTACAATAATGTCGTTTGACTCTCTTTATGAACTAATTATTTACTGTAGAAATTGAAGGAATAAATTATGCTATGTTCCAAGTATGTGATAATTTTTTTTTGATCTGATAGATAATTGAAATGATGCTTTATAAGATATAATCTGTATACCCTATAGTGATATATACAGTGTTTTTTTCAAACATTTTAGATATCTAATGGATCAAAATTAATGACACTTCATTTAAGTAAGATTTTCAATGATAAAATGTGAAAAAATTACCGTGAAAAATAGTCTTTGTTATCAAAAAGTTGCACTTCTTCATTCTACTATGACTACATGTGTTACAGATATATCTGAAAGTTTGAGTTTGCATACAATAGCCAAAGCTAAAGGCATGTTTAAATTAAAAAAGAAAAGTCCAACTACCTGATAAAGGGAGATTATATCTTATAACTTTGATGGGGAGGAGGTGAAGGTGATGTCATGAGGGAAAAATAAAAAAGAGTAAAACTTTGTGTCTTGAGAAAAAAAAAGAGTTAAATTTAATGTCTTTTGAAAGAAATTAGGCAAATTTAGTGCCATTAGAAATAGGAAGAAAGGAGTCAGACTTATTGTCCTGAGAAAGAAAATGAGGTAAATTTAGTGTCTTGACAGAAAATGAGGTAAATTTTGTGTCTTCTGATGCTGCAATGGGTAAATTTTGTATCAAAAAAGGAGTTCAATTTAATGTCTTGAAAAAGGGGTAAATTTTAATACCTTCGGAAAGGAAGATGTTAAACTTGGATAATTTATTGAAAGATTGAGATTGTGGATAGAAGGGAGGTAATTTTGATGTCTGTAGAAAAGAGAAGATAACCTTATTATTTGGGAATGAATGGATTTGGTGAAGGAAATATAACCTTGATGTTGACAATGCATTTAATTCAGCAAAATATTTTGTACTCCATTGATTGCAAACAACAAATTGTGCATTGGCAATGTGTATGGCTATGATATGAACGTTCTTTTACAGGTTCAGCGGAAAGGCAGCGGCGATCATCGCTCTTTGGGTTTATTTGGCCTCCTGAGAAAAGAGTCCCAGGCAGGAAAGGTAGCGGAGATGCCAAAAGCGAAGAGCAAACACAAAGTTACATTTAATCTACAGAAGAACCAAACTCGGAAGGCTGCAGCTCGTGATGGTAGGTTCCATCATTGTGTGGTGTTGAAATAAAAAAATTGGAGTACTAGCTGCTCAAATTTTATTTTTAGGTCACCTTAGACAAAGTCCCATGGTGACCTATTGTGATTACTTTTTGTTTGGCACCATGCATTGTAACATTTTAACATTTTCAACTTCTGGAAAATGCCTGAACTGACTTCATTTCTTGGTTGTATTACACCAGTGATGCATGTCCTCGATTATACATTCTTGGTAAGCTATATTAGTGAAAGATGTTTTTATTAATCACTTTCCGAAAATGTCAGAAAACAACTTTTCCAAATAAGAATTTTCGTAAATCTAAAACCTGTGAAACTTACTTAAAATTTTAATTTGATTTACAGATGATCAGTTTTTAGACCTGCTTTCAAAAGTTCAGAGCGGTCGGCTAGATGACCAGCGGGGATTGGACACACAAAATTCAGAAATACCAGAATTCTTACAGAATAAGACCCATCATCTCTCTGGACGAGAGAGTGCCCCACCCATCCTCTCTGGAGGCAGAGCCAGAGCTGATGACTACATCAGGAATAATCATGAAAAATATGTGTCTTACACTCGTGGTCAGATTGCAACACGGCCTTCTTCAGTGTCTCTTGACTCCATGACCTTTGACAGGCACAACAGCAAGACTGACAGGGATGAGTTTGAGAGAGATGACTTTGATTCTTGTAATCTTGATTTGCCTGCAGAGGCTGTACATCACGGTAATCAGAGTTTCAGCTCTGATGGTGTTATTCCTTCCAATGCGGAGGCGCAGGAATTTTTCCAGGCTCCTGTTCCTGACTGTGCAGATTTTGATGACCCTTGCATGGCAGAAAAAAGCCTGCGTGACATTGGGTTTGACTACAGTTTTAACATGTACCAAGCAAAAGCTTGGGGTTACTCGCGTCACAATCCATATGCCCAACAGAAATTATCATCACATGGAAATGACATTGCCACCAATGAGGATGAAACTTTCCTAGATGACACACTCACTCCAAATGACCCTGACTTTGACAACACATTAATAAGTTCACCTGTTCAAGGTCACATAAGGTCATTATCTGTGCCTGTATCACTTCATACTCCACCAAGTAAAGACAGTAAATCAAGAGAAAATGGACTCGTTCAAACAAGCACGCCCCTTACTACGAAATCGGACATAGTGCAAACTATTACACCAGTCTTAAAGAAATCCGAGATTAAAAGTGGAATGGATGAGCTGGCATCCAGCAAAACTTACACTTCAAATGTTAGTCATAATTCAGCATTCCAACAACCAACCACAAAAATAATGTCACCACCATCAGACAATAAACCAGTTGTCATTGACCTTGGTGATTCAGAAACTAACATCACATTTGTATGAACAACTCAATCTCCACATTCACTTGTTATTCAAACAAAATTGCAAGCAATATGAATTATCTCCCTTTTTTTTTAACTGTCCCTCTTTTCTGTTCTTCTATGGATGTAGTCAGAGTTATATTCTAGAAAACTGTGATGTGTTGTGTAGATATATATATATCTATTTCAGATAAAAATGTTTCAGTGCTATTTGATAATAAAGAAATATTTGATGTATTCTCTATTTTGAATAATAGTCTGATTGGTCAGCCCATTGAGGTCCGGTAATAAGCCCATTTCCTAACATTAATTGGTTGGATTTGTGTATTTAGTCCACACCCTGACTTTAATTGGTTGGCCCCCAATGGTCCTGTATTTAGTCCACACCCTGACTTTAATTGGTTGGCCCCCAATGGTCCTGTATTTAGTCCTCACCCTAACTTTAATTGGTTGGCCCCCAATGGTCCTGTATTTAGTCCTCACCCTAACTTTAATTTGTTGGCCCCTATTGTCCTGTATTAAGTCCTCACCCTGACTTTAATTTGTTGGCCCCTATTGTCCTGTATTAAGTCCATTCCCTAACTTCAATTGATTGGTCTTTCAGGCTTATTGTAGGATAAAGGTGGTAACCTGTAATGATTTACCACTTTTTTGTCCGGTATTATCAATGTCACTTAGGAATTTTCACATTTTGAAATGTACATGAAATTACAAAAAATTGGATCTTTTATCTGATCATTGCAACCTTGATGAGGTGTGAGGAATCTTTTGAGCATAAGACTGGTTACTGACATTGTTCCTTGGAAAGTTTATTTCATAATCATGGATATTCTTTGTATATTTTAAAACACTAAAGAATCATGCAAAGTATATTTAAAAAACTCAGAGATGTCTTGGAACAAAAATATTTTCTCTAAGCTGGAGGTATTCTGAAATTTATAAAAAAAACTGGAAAGTATTCTGGGGGGAAAAAATCTGTGCTATTCAGATTATCAATTGCAAAATGTCTGAATGTTGTGTTTGAGTAGCGATATGAATTGAGATAATACATTACCTGATGTTATATAAAACTGTTCAATGTATGATATGATTAACATCGACACTCTTATGTTGAATCAGAACCAATCCTATATACAGCATCAACTGAATCACATTAACACAACATAATCTGGGTTGTTTAGTAACGTCGGATGTACCATTTTAAGTTCAGACCATAGAGATGAAAGAGATTATTAACAATGTGCCTCCTGGATTCGCATCTGTCACTTACTGTCAATTATCCTGTTCTTTTATTTTATATCTTTTAAGTCCATTGGAATCACAGCTATGTAAAAGGTGCTATAATATCTTGTAATATATTTTTACTAAGGAAAGAATAAAAAAGTAAAATTGGAAGGATTGTAGCTGTAGGTTATAGGTGTTGAGTGTGTAAAAGGTATTCTCAAAATTAACTGTTTGTATGCAAGATGAGACACCTACCCTAGTCAGTGTTGTGCAGAAGTTAGGTGGAGATAAATATGGTAGGATTTAGTGTTTATCGACAAAGAGAGCAGTTTATGTAAATAACTGTGGGTTGTAAGGATGGATGTGATTCTGCATGTAGTATCTGATCTTATGTAAATGAGGTCAGCAAAGTTACGGATAGAAAACTAAGGCACTGTTGTATGCAAGTTTGGTCGGGAATAATGACTAGGGTTGTACAGTCGGTATATGAGGTTGAGACAGTTGAATGTGAAATTGTGAGGTTACTATGGTAACTGTGGAGTAAGTTTTGTAAGCTGTTGTGAATTAATGTTATTGTTTTGAAATATTTAAATATTTTATTTTATGATGATAGGTACTGAATAAAAGTACATGATAAAAAAAACAGTGATTTGTGGGTTTTTTTTTTTTATATATGATGTTTATATATTATATGTTAATATACAGTGTATGGATTCTTCAGAAAATCATTAAATTTATATGCTTTCTCTTGCACTTCCTGATGGATTCAAAGCTTAAATTGGAATTGCTTCAGATGGGTTTTTTTTTTTTTGCAAAACATTCGCAAAAGGATCCGCTATTGTTCTTACAGAAATTGTATACCTCAATTCACCATATAAATATATAATATTCAATCTGTGGAAATTCTATTTAGACATAACGAGAATGATTTACAAATATTACCTTGACCATGATTAAGCCACAACAGGTTTGCTTTTTATCAGCCAAACAGTGAAATATTTGTGTATTTATTTTAAAATCAACAAAAATTAAGCCAAAAAAGCAATTGGATTCCAATCCCAGCAGAAGTTAGAAGAAAGCATATAGACCTATATATTTGAAATACTCAATTCTTCCCATGAAATCTGTAATTCAGTCAGTAACTGTGTTCTTGATTCCCCAAAGTGCTATATTTAGCCCAATTGCCATATTTAGATGCTCTGATTATACAAAGGCTAAGGATATTTCCACCAATATTGCCACTCAAAGCTGACCTTAGGAAAGATATTGTGATGCAGACAATAGTTTTAAAAAATACATGAGACTGAGTTCTAAAAAGGTACAAAACAGCCAAAAGTTTGCCAACTTATGCAGAATATTACTTTTATGCTGAAAGGATAAAGAAACGCAGAGTAATATTTATTCCGATATTTTGAAAATATTCTCCAAATAAAGTGAAACTTTGTGGATTGAGTGATTAGGTCATATTACACCTTGTCATGTATCGAAAATTTAGTCACGGTACAGTGCGCAGCTCTGGTAAATGGAGGAAAGAAAAAAGAATCCTGTGCACCGTGTTGTTCTGGTCTCATGCAGCATTGGTCAAGTCACTCTTCGTTAGTCTTTATACAGACCAACTGCTTCCCTAAAATTAATTGAGAATTTGATTCATTTTAAGAATGGCCAACTCACAGAAGTTCAGAGGGGTCAGGCCATTCAGATGCTGATGCAAGGACAGCTGCAAAATCAGGTTGCTAGGCACTTTGGTATTAATGTTTCCACCATAGAACGTCTTGTAAGACGTCTTCGGGAAACTAGGTGTAATGTCACGACGTCAGTATCGCTATATTGTCGTCTCTCATGTGCGTAATCCGCGCCTTACTGCCGTTGAGAGTGCACTTAATGTTCGTGGAAATCATGGGCGTCCTATAAGTTCAAAAACTGTAAGGAATCGATTACGAGAAGTTGGTGTAAGAGCACATTGCCCCTACGTAGGTCCACACCTTACCCCTGCTCGACGTCGGCGTCGTATGGCCTGGGACGCTGCACATGCTCCACGACGGTTTCCACTGAGGCAGTGGAGACAAGTTTTCTTCACGGATGAGTCTCGGTTCTGTCTTTATCGATCTGACGGCCGTCAACATGTCTACCGACGTCGTGGCGAACGTTTTACGGACGCTTGCGTTGTAGAGACGGATAGGTTTGGGGGCAGTTCAGTAATGGTGTGGGGAGGAATCTCACACAGGTTAAAATCACAATTGGTTGTTATTGATGGCAATTTAACAGCAGCTAAGTATAGAGATGAGATCCTCCAACCCCATGTTATCCCTTTCTTACAGCAGCATAATCTAACCCTCCAGCAGGATAATGCTAGGCCCCACGTAGCAAGGATTTGCCAAGTCTTTCTGGCCAACAACAACATTCAGCCACTAGATTGGCCGCCATATAGCCCTGATTTGTCCCTGATCGAGCATCTTTGGGACCAGTTGGATAGACAGGTTCGAAAGCACCAGCCACCCCCTGCTACTTGAGAGCAGTAGACCAGAGCTCTGATTGAAGAGTGGGACAACATCCCCGTAAGACGGATTAACGCTCTCATAAACTCTATGACCAGAAGAATAAGGGCCGTGACCACAGCAAACGCCAGACACACAAGACATTGATGACTCAGTTCAATTTCAATTTCAAAATCCTATGGGTCCATTCAATTTAATCGTTAGTACCTCTAAACCAATTGTCAGATGCAAAATACAGACTTTGGAAATTTTAAAGCTTTAATTTATCTGTAAGTATACAAAATTTCGTTTTAAATGAAGCCCAATATCATACTTAATTTCTGGTTTAAGTTCACCCTGCGTTTCTTTATCCTTTTAGTATAGTATTGTTGGAAGTATTTTTCTCATGATTTTGGCCATATCTTGTATACATGTGTTCATTTAATGTAAAACTTTTTTACAATGTGCAGTATCATCTACGATAAGCAAAAGTATTCAGAGACGATGAATTCCTGGTTGCAGAAACAACAGAATATCCCGGGAATTAACATCGCTGGTCCAAGTTGCCAGTTCCGTCTGATGTGACCAAAAGTTTCTGGTACATTTTGCACTTTTCTGGACAGGTGACAGACATTCTACCTCTTTTCTGGACAGGTGAAAGACATTCTACCTCTTTTCTGGACAGGTGACAGACATTCTACCTCTTTTCTGGACAGGTGACAGACATTCTACCTCTTTTCTGGACAGGTGACAGACATTCTACCTCTTTTCTGGACAGGTGACAGACATTCTACCTCTTTTCTGGACAGGTGACAGACATTCTACCTCTTTTCTGAACAGGTGACAGACATTCTACCTCTTTTCTGAACAGGAAACTCTGACAGTATATCGTACACTAAGTAACAACAGAGGCCGCAATCATTTCATTTAATGTTTTAATTCAAAGAAGCAGCAGACATTATCACAGAAGATACTTGAATGTTCTAAATTCTCTAACAATTATTAATTGTGCTGATGGCCAATAGTGATGCTGATTATACTAAGTATACTTATAACTTTTACACACATGAAAATATTGGTCTCACCATTAACACTGCTGTGGGATCTCTGTATGTAGTGGCCATGTTGCCTTATTTCGGTCACTAAAACTCTTCTACAGTTCTACCACCAAGTTTAGGCTTGGGGATAGATCAGTCTTTAGGAGTGGCCCCAACAATCTAGGGCATGTTTCAGAGATAAGCTCTTTTTTAGTTAAAAAAAAATATTATATTCCAGCTGTCTGATGGTTCACTTTTAACTGAACAATAATGTAAGGATGCTAGCACTTTGTATAGATGTCCTTAAGGCAAGTCTAATGTGGATGTGTGATTCCTATTGTGAAAGTATACACACTTTTTCCAAATATTTAGGCTCCATCCTTATGATTAAGTCATTATAGTGAAAGAGTTTGCATGGGCTGAAGAGACATTGGTTCTATAAGAGAAAAAGATTTCAGTCAAAGTGAATGTAGATATTTTCTATATTCAGTTATGGTGAAAAACGAGTCTATATTTATTTTTTTGTGGAAATTTCATCAAAAATCAATAAATTGATAATTATAATCAATAATGAGTAATGATTTGGTGATGATATTAAGGAATATCATTACAGATAGTTTTCATCACTTAATTCCTAGCCTCTTATGATACAGGAAGAAGAGGTGTAATTAACATGGAATAGCACCAAGTGAATTCTACAGCTAAATAATTGTTTATTTGTTGTTATGACTTCAACAAATATTTCTACATTCTTCGTTAAAATAAAGCCATTTGAAACCAAATTTTTTTTAAACAATCAGCCTCCTTCAGAATCTTTAAGAATTAAAATGAATTTAAATCCAACTTTAAATCAATCATGAAGATAAAGAAGATATCTTATTTACTTCTTGAGAAATATATGGATTTTTTTCTAAATGAATTTCAATGTAAACATTCTACAGTATGATATCTATTACAAGCACAATGAATTATTATAAAGGTGAACTACATGAACTATATTTCAATACATTTCAATAAAGAAATGGATCACTATTGTAATAACCTTTAATTTGAAAAAGTGATCCATCCAACTACAGGCTAATCTCTGTTACTCCCATCTTCAGTAAAATCCTTGAGAAAATTGTCTTTAAATATTTTTATAATTATCTCTCAAGACATAACATTATCTCCAGAAATCAATCAGGGTTCTTACCTAAAGATTCCACTGTTAATCAACTATTAATTATATATGATGAAATTACTAAGCATTTGGATAAAGGTAAAGAAGCAAGAATGATATTCTGCGACATAAGCAAAGCGTTCGATAGAGTTTGGCATGATGGGTTAATTTTTAAATTGAAAAAGTATGGCATTAGTAATAACATGTTAAAGTGGTTTTCATCTTATTTAACTAACAGGAGACAGAGAGTGGTCTTGGATGGATACAAGTCCAACTGGAAAACATTACAGGCTGGGGTCCCTCAAGGTTCGGTTCTTGGTCCTTATCCGTTTTTGTTATATATTAATGATATTGGTGATGATTTACTATCTAATGTGAAATTATTTGCTGATGACACATCTTTATATGGCTTAATTGAGGGCGATAGACAAGATGCAGCTAATATACTCAATAATGATCTTCAAAAAATTTCTAGGTGGGCCAATAGATGGGGTATTATTTTTAATCCTGACAAGACAGAATCCCTACTTTTTTCAAGGAGAGTTGATTCAGAGATGTTGCATCCAAACCTGTACTTTAATGATTCAGTTATTAAAAATGTTACCTTCCATAAGCACCTTGGTCTAACTTTTAATAGTCATGCTAATTGGTCAAACCACATAAACTCTATCTATGAGAAAGCTTATAAACGAATAAATGTACTTAGAATGTTAAAGTATAAAATTGACAGAAAGTCACTTGAATTAATATATATTACATTTATTCGTCCTATTTTAGAATATGCTGATATTGTTTGGGCTAATTGCACAGAAAGGGAATGCAACATCTTAGAATCAATTCAACTAGAGGCAATTCACATTATTACTGGCCTAAGACGGGGCACCAGTCATGCAATTCTATATAATGAGTCTGGATTAATACCCTTAGCTAAAAGAAGACACTTACATCAAAATATCCATTTTTTCAAGATTTTAAATAACAGATGCCCTCCTCATGTATTTGATTCTATCCAACCTTTTATAAACAATAATAATGATCCTTATCCACTTCGACACAATAGATTGTTTGATGTGCCCCTTACTAGAACTTGTCAATATAGCACTAGCTTCTTTCCAAAACTCATGAATGAATGGAATGGCCCATCTTGTCTGTATCCCTCATTAACTTCTATTTATGCGATAAAAAAATCTTTTTTATCACAGCAAGCTACCATTCCTCCTTTCCACTGTAATGATACTTTCAAATATAAAGGACAAAGAAAAGCTAACATAATTTTATGTCAACTAAGAAACTCTGCAAATAATCTGAATTTTGATTTATTCAATTCCCACCTTAAAGATAACCCTGCCTGTAACTGTGGCCACCCAGTTGAAGATTGTACCCACTTCTTTTTCCACTGTCCCTTCTTTACTAACCAGAGACAACTCCTCTTTAATTCCCTTTCTGACCTTAGTGATTCTATACCTCCTACAATTGATACATTTCTCAAAGGTTCTCCTATACTTGATGCAAACATGAATAAATTTATTCTTGATATAGTTCAGAGATTCATAACTGACACTGGTCGCCTATTTTAGCAAATGTACATCCCATTCTATACTTCTATCTTTTCTATCTCTCATTTGTATTTGATGTCTCAAGTGTGGGTCCGCCTGTCCATTTTAGGGACTCAGCTCAGGATTATGTGCAAATGGACTGTTTGAACCTGCAGCCTGTCCCACCACAAATGGACATATTTTGACCCAGTCTTGTAATATCTTGTGATACCTAATTTGTATTTTTTAGTTTATGTTACTGTTCTGGAACTCAATAATACAAACGATGGTGATGCCTATTTTGCATTTCGGTTATATAATCATCCATTTGAATCTATCTTCTACATTCTTATTCCTAATATTATTATTATCTGTTATCTCTAATTTTGATTGATGTGTCTGTATACTTGTTTATGCACTGTAAGGAGAGGGCTTTCATAGGCTCTGCCTGTTGCCCAATTCCTACTGTCAATACCACCATGACAATAAAATATTCTGAAAGACAATAAAGAAATGGATCACTATTGCAATAACCTTTGATTAAAATGTTCTGAATGTAAAGTATCATACACAAATATCATAATATCACTGCATTCCTCTTTATTTACCTGTATACAATGTCATGTTATCATCATACTCTCACAACTTTGAATAAAGGAAAAAAAGAAAATCTTCATTGATATTATTGTTGACAAATTCATGTGAACTTTGACAGGCCTATCGTGAAAATTGACTAGTACACCTGATCCTCATGATCAGTTGGTAATCTCCGATGCTACATGTGGACTTTGTAGGACGTGTGAGCATCTTTATACCTACATGTGGAACTCTCACCAGTCTGACCCTACACGTAGACATTGTATGACACCCCTGAGCATCTTAACACGAACATATGAATCTTAATTGATACAGGTGAACCTTGTTTAATACATGTAAGCCTCCACAGACACATGAGACTCTCTGTCTGTACATGTGAACCTTGTTTAATACATGTAAGCAGCCTCCACAGACACATGCGACTCTCTGTCTGTACATGTGAACCTTGTTTGATACATGTGAGCCTCCACAGACACATGAGACTCTCTGTCTGTACATGTGAACCTTGTTTGATACATGTGAGCCTCCACAGACACATGAGACTCTGTCTGTACATGTGAACCTTGTTTGATACATGTGAGCCTCCACAGACACATGAGACTCTCTGTCTGTACATGTGAACTTTGGTCGGTACAAGTGAATTTGGTACACATTACAAATATGAGTAGGTCAGGGTATACATAAAGACATATTAATAGTTGTGTTTGTTAGTAGAAATGTATTACGCTACATCTTGATATACTTACATAAGATTACTATAAACCAGCGTTCACAGATGCCAGCTTTCATTATGTCATAATTACAATAATTTCACAGTGATTAAATTTCACACATTTAAAACCACCATTGGAGTCCTGATGGTCTTCATTTCTCGCCTGTATGGGGCCTCACAACTGGTCACTACTTGGCCATGACGTGTGAGCTTGCTATGGGGGGTTTGAGGGACATTTGTAGATATGTCCCGATCATAGACTGGCTTTTGACATTTAGTTAACATTAACAGAGAAAGTAGTACATTCCTGTAATGATTAAAGCAATCTATTTAATTTTAGAAAGTTCATAAGAAAGTCGATCACAATTATTTAAAAGTTTGTGTAGATTTGCATACAGTTGATGCGGTTATTGAATACAAACATGCTGGGGATCTTGATCACAGACTTATTTTTATCACATACCCCTCTAAATTAAACACTCCAGATTTACAAAATGTGTTATAGCTGTATATACTGTACAGGTAGATTCAGGATAGATTACATGGAAAATGAAAAGTCATGTGTCATGTGTTCGATGTCACGTGTTATGTGCCATGTGTTCTATGTCATGTGTTATGTGTCATGTGTTATATGTCAGGTGTGTCATGTGTTCTATGTCATGTGTTCAGTGTCATGTGTTATGTGTCATGCTTCAGTCAAGAAATTCACTCAAGTAGATAGCATGTGATGTGGTTTAGAGTACAGTTACTATTTCATCCACAAAAACGATATTCAAGCTTCACTCAAATTAAGCTTTTTCTTTGGCTCCAATGTTTGTTCATTAATTGTTCTTGGCTGTATACTGAAGGTAATCCAACCTATCTAAGTTATAGAAAATGTGAGAAGATGCTCTGGGTATGCTTGTGTATCATTGAATATCACAAATTCTAATGGGTTTTTTAAGGGTTTCACTGCACAATCATAATTTTCGGATGGATTTTGTGGTAGTGATGGTAGATATTTCATATCTTTCTTTGCTTCACAATAGACCCCCGTTAGAACTCTACACAAGTATATGCTCTTCTTCTGATTGACTGGTGGAGACACCCAATCTCGTGCCGAATAGGATGCATCATTGGCAAAGTATACCCCAGCTCCATACCAACAATCACCTGTATAAAGAAAACAATAACTTTTAACAAGCAGCATGGACGATTTACTTCATGGTAAAAGATTCAATTATTCAATAACAATCAACTGATATTGGCAATATTGTATAAAAAAAATATCCCAGTATATCCAGGGTAACTAATTCAATTTCAGAATTCCATTTCATTTTACAGGACAGATACATGAGTAAACACCATTAAGACTTGTGTTTAGCAACATGAGAATCACTGAACAATTCTAACTACACTTTTGTCTTTACTTGATTTAAAGAAATATCAATAACAAACTTTTATTGTCAAGTTTCAAGATGGCCCCCAGTCACCCATTTTTAATTTTCTGATCTGTCCCTAAATCAAACACACACTAATAGGGACCAAGGAGTATGTACAAATAAAAAATTGAGAAAGATCCAATAATATCATGTGTGCAATATTTTCTGCTTCTAAGTGTATACAACATTATAATGTAGCCAGAAAGACCTGTCAATTTGATATCCATCACATGCGCTCTACACTTCAAAGTACACAAGTTTCATTGGTCTATTTTCTGATGTAGGTGACAGAGTTTAGTCACTGAAATGTTCTTATTGGTTGTGAAATAGGGAAAAACCTACATCCACAGATTCCTGCTGTTATTCAAAAAGTGATCACAAACTAAGATATCAAATTTCAAAATGGCAACTAGTCCTGTAAGGTCTGGAGAAATAACTATCAAATTTAACTTAAATGTTGAGATCAAATAATGGCTTCTGGCAACCATTCTAACGTCAGATCCCGACGTTTCTTTGGAAATAGCAAATATAAGAAATGTGTATGGACAGAAGGATGTACCACTGACAAATGTGATTTGAAAAGCCTGCTATTTGAAGAATGTGGGTTAAAAAAAGAGCATATTCGTAAATGTATTGTCATACCTCTGATCAGAAAAGGGTGAACAGCACTGTTTATAATTACCCATCAATATGACAGCTATCTACAGCCAATTACCTAAACTATAGAGTGAGTAGGTACTATTAAATCTTTTTGGCTTTAAGACATCTTCTACACAATTTTTGCTTACTTGTTGTCTTTAATCTTGACCGATGAAGTGTGAATATAATTAAGTCGGTTTGAATGTTCATGCAATATTCTTTACACAAGGTACTTAAACCCGTATCTTACTTGTTAGTTCACCAAACCATCTGTTCATCTGTTATTAACATTTAACAACTACTACTTATTAACCAATAGGTCAAGAGTAATTATGTAAACAGTTTTTATCCTACCTTTACTGGCGTCACTGCCACAATAACTGCGGTTGAAGCCATAGTAATTGATACTGGTGATGGCTTTCTGGCCTGTACCATGCCAGAGCATCTGTTCGTTGGATGTCCCTTGTGGATTTTTTTGCTCCAGTTGTGCCTTCTTCATAGAGTATTGTTGAAACAGTGATGGATTCTGGATCCTTTCAATCTACAATGATCAGCTTCTTGTTTAAACTGTGACAGTTTCTTAATCTTTTTATTCTACATGTCTGATTTGAGATTCACAAAAATATGTGCTGGCTATAAAGACCTATATATGAAAGAGGCAAAATTGGCTTAAAATAAATTGTTCAACTACTCTACATCTTACATAGAAGACATTGTTGGTTCATCGAAACATTTTCTGCAAACTTGAAATCATATTCTTTATACATGCACTACACAAATGTCATTACACATATCACTTGTTGAAAAAGCAAGCTACAAGCCCATTATCAAGACCCTTGGCTTTTTGGTTATTGAAAAGAAGTTGCTTAAGTATTTTAACACATGTGACCCCTGTGACCTTGAAAGTTGGTCCAATATCAGCACCCTTGGCCTTTCGGTTATTGAGAAGAAGTCATTTAAACATTTTAACACATTTGAAACCTGTCACCTTGAAAGTGGTTCAATGTCATTCATCTTAACTAAGTTGGTAACCCAACATCCTGGCATGCAACAGGACTGATATCATTATCCTGGGCCTTTCAGTTATTGAGAGGAAATTGCTTAAGCATTTGATCAGTGTGACCTTTCAAGCAGATCAAGGTAATTCCCATTAACTAGTGGTCAATCAACTTTCTGAATACAAGAAATGATTCCCCGCTTTCCATTGTGTTCCAGACCAAATTTGGTTGATATCCATTCAAGCATTACAAAAGAGTAGCATTTTGAAGCAAATTATTGACTAACTTTCCCATTTGGGACTGCATCCACCCCCAGGTTCCTAGGGGTAGAATCAATTTTCTGCAGTTAAGAAATGATTCTCCACCCTAAGTGATGTTTCAGACCAAATTTGGTTTTAAATCCATTCATGCATTGAAGCAAAATATAATGCCTAACTTAAACTTTTGGGGCCCTGCCCCAAAGTCCCTTGGGGTCAAATGAACTTTCTGAATTTAAGAAATCATTCTCCACTCTCAATGATGTTTCAGATCCATTAAAGCATTAAAAAAGAGTAGAGTTTGGAAGCAATATATTGTCTTATTTTCTCCTTAGTCCCTAGGAGTTGAATCACATTTCTGAATTTGAAAAATTATCGCCAACCCTAATTGATGAATCAGGCTAAAGCTTGTTGAAATCCACCCAGGCAGAAAGGAGGAGTAGGGTTTTAAATCTAATTTCAGCACCTCTTCCTTTGGGGCCCCCTCCCTGGACCCCTAGAGATAAAATTAAAAATTCTGAATTTAAGAAATAGAAGCATATTTTCAATGATTTTAAAAAAACTATGTTATTCACATACAGGGAAGTCATATTGAGCGAGTCGTTTAAACAATTTCTGTATAAAAATATTGTAAAGTTCTGCTTCTCCTAAAAGTCCAATTCTTTTACCCCAGAACCTGACTTGAACAGCTTTAATCCCCTAAGAAACAGAAGCTAAATTTTTATGCTTTAGACATCTTTCACTAGAAGTAAATGTATGTGAATTGTCATCAAATTCAGTTCAGCAGTTTCTTTCAGAGGAGACACAAAAACATATAGTAGACATTCAACATCTGTGACCTTGACCTTCTACTTATCACCTTGATTCTTACCCCTGAACTAGGGCTTGATGCCTGTCAAGTCCAATAAGACTGTCAGTTATTTGGTTTTATGATCAGTCCAGAAACCAAATATTCTTAATAAAGTGGAACCAAGGGTATTCTTCAAACGAAATTTGAGAAAATGTCAAAAAATGACAAAAATGGAAAAAAAAAAAGGAGCAAGGACGACCACCAAGCATTCAACAACAAAATTGGAACATACCAAAAGGCAAAAAGTATTATAACTATCACCTTGTGAACTTTCAGCTTTGCTGCATTAAACTGGTTTTTATATTGTCCCTTCAGCACAGATGTAGTGAACATCGTCTCACGGTCTTTGTATTCCTGCGAGGAAGCAGCTAATGGAATCAATTTGACAATCTCCTTGCCACCCATTTCAACCCAGTCAGTTGGAAGCTCGAACATAGCACCTGCAGAAAGCATAATATGGTAGAGTGTAAATGTAGTCATTGAGACATTCTGTTTCTAGTCCTTTTCAACCTAGTTAGCTGGTAACTCACACCTAATACCCATAGTAAATAAAGTATGATGGTGTATCTAGGTCACTGAGATAATCTCCTGTTCCATTTCAACCCAGTCAGCTGGCAACTCACACATAATACCCATAGTAAGTAAAGTATGATGGAGTGTAGGATATACTTTTCAATTTAACCAGATGTATGCTTTGAGTACAATATTTATAATGTGCAGAATTCAGCATAAGGGAGAAACCTAGACTTTCAAACATTTCTGATGAATGCTTTACTTATTACATAAGGCAGAGTTCAGCCTTAGATCGCTGGGTTTAACTCTCTACTTCAATACCTTTAAGCTAATTCAGTACTATTAATCACATAGTCATCAAATCAAACAAAGTATCTTAAAACATAATTCACCTACTAGTTAACACATTCACACAATAAATGGACATGACAACATTTAATTTTTGATAGAGTTACACCTACCCTCTACTTTTTCTCTGCGTATCACATCAGCTGTATCGGTGGGGTCATCCACTGAATATTCCTTCATGTCTAACAAACTGACCTCGTACTTTTGATTATTTGCCCTAAAACAAAACTTTGGGAATTTTCCCTTCCAAGAGTTTTCTAAACCCATGTTTACTCGTGGAGGATATGCAGATAAAACTGGCACTCCTTGGTCTAGTTCCTGAAAAATACAGAAATGTTAGACATCAGCATTTAAACATAGATTTAGACAACAGTATTTAAACATAGATTTAGACAACAGCATTTAAACATAGATTTAGACAACAGTATTTAAACATAGATTTAGACAACAGTATTTAAACATAGATTTAGACAACAGTATTTAAACATAGATTTAGACAACAGTATTTAAACATAGATTTAGACAACAGTATTTAAACATAGATTTAGACAACAGTATTTAAACATAGATTTAGACAACAGTATTTAAACATAGATTTAGACAACAGTATTTAAACATAGATTTAGATAACAGTATTTAAACCTAGATTTACACAACAGCATTTAAACATAGATTTAGACAACAGTATTTAAACATAGATTTAGACAACAGTATTTAAACATAGATTTAGACAACAGCATTTAAACATAGATTTAGACAACAGCATTTAAACATAGATTTAGACAAAAGTATTTAAACATAGATTTAGACAACAGTATTTAAACATAGATTTACACAACAGCATTTAAACATAGATTTAGACAACAGTATTTAAACATAGATTTAGACAACAGTATTTAAACATAGATTTAGACAACAGCATTTAAACATAGATTAAGCATTTAAACATAGATTAAGACAACAGTATTTAAACATAGATTTAGACAACAGTATTTAAACATAGATTTAGACAACAGTATTTAAACATAGATTTAGACAACAGCATTTAAACATAGATTAAGACAAAAGTATTTAAACATAGATTTAGACAACAGCATTTAAACATAGATTTAGACAACAGCATTTAAACATAGATTTAGACAACAGCATTTAAACATAGATTAAGACAAAAGTATTTAAACATAGATTTTGACAACAGCATTTAAACATAGATTTAGACAACAGCATTTAAACATAGATTTAGACAACAGCATTTAAACATAGATTAAGACAAAAGTATTTAAACATAGATTTTGACAACAGCATTTAAACATAGATTTAGATAACAGTATTTAAACCTAGATTTACACAACAGCATTTAAACAAAAATTTAGACAACATTATTCAAACATAGATTTAGAAACAGTATTCGACACCAGTATTTAGACACTGACTTAGACATTAGTATTAAGACATGCCCATTTAGACACAACATTTATTGAGACACTGATTGACACATCAGTATTTGGACAATGATTAAGTCATCAGCATTATTTACTGATTTAGACACCAGAATTTAGAGACCAACTTAGACATCAGCATTATTTACAGATTTAGACCCCAGAATTTAGAGACCAACTTAGACATCAGCATTATTTACTGATTTAGACACCATAATTTAGAGACCAACTAAGACATCAGCATTATTTACTGATTTAGACACCAGTATTTAGAGACCAACTTAGACATCAGCATTATTTACTGATTTAGACACCAGTATTTAGAGACCAAGTAAGACATCAGCATTATTTACTGATTTAGACACCAGAATTTAGAGACCAACTTAGACATCAGCATTATTTACTGATTTAGACACCAGTATTTAGAGACCAACTTAGACATCAGCATTATTTACGGATTTAGACATCAGTATTTAGAGACCAACTTAGACATCAGCATTATTTACTGATTTAGACACCAGTATTTAGAGACCAACTTAGACATCAGCATTATTTACTGATTTAGACACCAGAATTTAGAGACCAACTTAGACATCAGCATTATTTACTGATTTAGACACCATAATTTAGAGACCAACTAAGACATCAGCATTATTTACTGATTTAGACACCAGTATTTAGAGACCAACTTAGACATCAGCATTATTTACTGATTTAGACACCAGTATTTAGAGACCAAGTAAGACATCAGCATTATTTACTGATTTAGACACCAGAATTTAGAGACCAACTTAGACATCAGCATTATTTACTGATTTAGACACCAGTATTTAGAGACCAACTTAGACATCAGCATTATTTACTGATTTAGACATCAGTATTTAGAGACCAACTTAGACATCAGCATTATTTACTGATTTAGACACCAGTATTTAGAGACCAACTTAGACATCAGCATTATTTACTGATTTAGACACCAGAATTTAGAGACCAACTTAGACATCAGCATTATTTACTGATTTAGACACCAGAATTTAGAGACCAACTTAGACATCAGCATTATTTACTGATTTAGACACCAGAATTTAGAGACCAACTAAGACATCAGCATTATTTACTGATTTAGACACCAGAATTTAGAGACCAACTTAGACATCAGCATTATTTACTGATTTAGACCCCAGAATTTAGAGACCAACTTAGACATCAGCATTATTTACTGATTTAGAAACCAGTATTTAGAGACCAACTTAGACATCAGCATTATTTACTGATTTAGACACCAGTATTTAGAGACCAACTTAGACATCAGCATTATTTACTGATTTAGACACCAGAATTTAGAGACCAACTTAGACATCAGCATTATTTACTGATTTAGACACCAGTTTTTAGAGACCAACTTAGACATCAGCATTATTTACTGATTTAGACACCAGAATTTAGAGACCAACTAAGACATCAGCATTATTTACTGATTTAGACACCAGAATTTAGAGACCAACTTAGACATCAGCATTATTTACTGATTTAGACACCAGAATTTAGAGACCAACTTAGACATCAGCATTATTTACTGATTTAGACACCAGAATTTAGAGACCAACTTAGACATCAGCATTATTTACTGATTTAGACACCAGAATTTAGAGACCAACTTAGACATCAGCATTAATTACTGATTTAGACACTAGAATTAAGAGACCAACTGAGACATCAGCATTATTTACTGATTTAGACACCAGAATTTAGAGACCAACTTAGACATCAGCATTAATTACTGATTTAGACACTAGAATTAAGAGACCAACTGAGACATCAGTATTTAGAGACCAACTTAGACATCAGTATTTAGAGACCAACTAAGACATCAGTATTTTAACACTGATTTAGTAACTTATTTACACACCATTATTTAAAACTAATTTAGAATCATTTTAGATACTGATTTAGACACTATTTAACATTTACTGAAACACTGATTTAGAAACAGTTTTCAGACGATCACTTAGACACCAGCATTTACTTAGACACTGATTAAGACATCCATACTGAGACACTAACTTTGACACCTGTATTTAGAAAATGAGCAAGATACCTATATTTATACACTGATTTAGACATCTGTATTTAGACACTAATTTAGACACCAGTATTTAGACACTGAGTAAGACACCTATATTTATACACTGATTTAGACAGCTGTATTTCGACACTAATTTAGACACCAGTATCTAGACACTGATTTCTATTTGATACCTTAAAATGATCCTAACTTTTCACTGTGCAATAACCTCAGTGAACAAGCATTGCTATAGAAACATAGTTGGTCACCATGTAGAATCATCTCTTCAATGAGATGAGCACATTTTATTCTGATTTGAAATACATAGACTCTGATGTGAACATGGATGCTTACCTTATAATACCATTGCACCATTTCAGCAATAACAGCTGCTTCACTCTCAAAATGTCTTTCCTTCTGAAAATGTCTGAATAGTCTGTAAAGTTCCTGTGTAACCAAGTCTACTTCCTCGAGTGGTCCCTCCACCTCCACCACACATGACTGTTTGTTTACTTTCACCCTCACTACATCTTTCTTACTTAGTTTCTCTACCCCTTTCACCTGTACAACAGTACAACAAAGTATTGCAAACAATCTATAAAACCCCTAACAGGAAAAGCTGTGTTCCTCTAATGATATGGAGAAAGACATCCTCCTTTATCACCATGACAATAAGACGACTCAATATAATTCATTCAAATTGTGACTGAACAAGTAAAATGAGTATTGTTAAAGTGATCTCTGATGCAATGTCAGAGGGTGGGCCTATTACAGGACAATGAGAGTAGTGGGCAATCACATAACCTCTAATACATAGTCATAGGGCGGGCTTATTACAGGACATTGAGAATAGTGGGCAATCACATAACCTCTAATATGTAGTCAGAGGGTGGGATTATTACAGGACAATGAGAATAGAGGGCAATCACATAACCTCTAATACACAGACAGAGGGTGGGCTTATTACAGGACAATGAGAATAGTGGGCAATCACATAACCTCTAATACACAGTCAGAGGGTGGGCTTATTACAGGACAATAAGAATAGAGGGCAATCACATAACCTCTAATACGTAGTCAGAGGGTGGGCTTACTACAGGACAATGAGAATAGTGGGCAATCACATAACTTCTGATACAAAGTCAGAGGGTGGGCTTATTACAGGACAATGAGAAAAGTGGGCAATCACATAACCTCTAATACACAGTCAGAGGGTGGGCTTATTACAGGACAATGAGAATAGTGGGCAATCACATAACCTCTAATACACAGTCAGAGGGTGGGCTTATTACAGGACAATGAGAATAGTGGGCAATCACATAACTTCTGATACACAGTCAGAGGGTGGGCCTATTACAGGACAATGAGAATAGTGGGCAATCACATAACCTCTAATACACAGTCAGAGGGTGGGCTTATTACAGGACAATAAGAATAGAGGGCAATCACATTACCTCTAATACAATGTCAGAGGGCGGGCCTATATCAGGTAATTAGTACTTTTTTTACTAATATTTCTGAATAGATATGGAAGGGCTTATCACCAGATACAGACTTTTTGCCTTAGATTTACTTGTTATAGTATATTCAAATCCTGTTTGATAAGGAAATGTTGATTAAAATTGCACTACCATAAAGACACAACATCTACTCAATATCTTCAAGTACCTGTTTATAATGATTGAACATACCTCATTGTCATTCAGATCTGAGACCAATGTGTCCCTGAAAGGTTTGACTGAATATTTCCTGTCAATTAATATTTTGATCCTTTCTATAGCATCATCAATGTTGTTATCACTGGTGCCAAGTATCCATAGCGACACATGAGACAAGTCAGCAGGAGGCCTTCCCCCTAGGACAGCACCAATGTCTTCAGGAACTGTACAATGTAGGAAGAAAATATTTCAATTGTATTGAAAATAAGGAATATTTAGCACCTGCTGTACACAAATGTATGGCTAGCCTTCTTTGTGCTTCATATCCAAACTTAAATTCAATATATAAAGGTTAATGATTCTTTTTTGTGGAGGGAGAGGATAAATTCAATGTATTGCATCTGTATGTATTTGAATAGGGTTTAAACTGCCTTGTTTTTTTCATAAAAGGTTCAGAAGGAAAAAGTAATACATAAATGTCTATTGCTATCCAGGGATCATTACCACACTATCAATAACTGTCTATTGAGTGATTGTTTCATGTATAATAGTAATGCTTATCTGCATCATTCATGCTCTCTATTAAACTAGGAAAGTCTGTAAACATGAATGTTCTCAGCTCCATTGTATCTGAGTATCGTTGTTTGGTGAATTTGTAAAACCTGTCAAATGTGACATTTAACAAAAACTTAATGTTATGATACTAATGGGTAAATATAACACTAATCTCCCCCCCCCCCCTATAAAATGGCGGGGGCATAAAAGACAAGATCACATGATAATGTGTACAGCCAATCAAAACTCTTAATGTCACATGACCTGATCTTATTGACAAAGTTGTAGTTGGAACTTAACTGAGGGGCCAAGTTATGGTCAACTGTAGTCTGAACTCACTTGAACTATTGAAAGGTTATAATTTGTTGTAGTTGGAATTAATTGAGGTGCTAGGTTACATTCAGAAAATAACCTAGGTGCTAGGTTACCTTGAGATGCTGTTAAAACTAACCTGAGGTACTCTGTTTCTCAGTATTGTTTCGGAACACTTTTGTCATACTCCACAGCATCTCTGGCTCGAAGATAACAAGTCGAACAAATGTGACATTAGATCCTGAGAAGTGGAGCAGTGAGTTGTGAAACACTTCAGCAATCTCTTCTGGCTTGAATTGGACAGTTCCTCCAGCTTATAATCACAAAGCAAAATAGAGGAATCAACACTTTCTCTAACGATGAGTAAATCTTGAATTGATACAAATACAAATGAACTTTTATAAATGTGATTTATACAGGTTCACAATAACTTTTGACATAATGTGAATTTGTATAATTGTCAGGGTGGATTTGGGATGGTGCATTTAAACTTCGTATTTCCATCATTGTTCTTTAAAATTTTTAAAGTCACTGGTATCAACTCCTTTGTTTCCTACCACTAGACTGGGTGTCCCTCTATTCAGTTATTATCAAATATTCCTATCCCAAAATCCACAATTACAATCCACAAAAGATATTCATAGTCCTTGGTTTTTATCTTATGTACCTGTACCCACAGCAGGGAAGGCAACTGAGGTGTGACCACGCCTGTCCACTTCCTGTAGACATGCCAGTATCATCTTCTGCCAGTTTTTGAGAGATGTCTGTGCATCTAGATGGAGGATAGCCTTACAGGACAGCCCACACCCGCTGGTACATACCAAGCCCTCCTTTTTCATGTCTGTCTCTGTAAACATTCAAAACAATGTGTACAGGGTCATATCAATCTAATCAGGTTGAATATGAGACATTATTCATGTACAGATGGATGGAAGGACACAAAGGCATAAGTTCAGGACAGATGGATGGAAGGACACAAAGGTATAAGTTAAGGACAGATGGATGGAAGGACACAAAGGCATAAGTTAAGGACAGATGGATGGAAGGACACAAAGGCATAAGTTAAGGACAGATGGATGGAAGGACACAAAGGCATAAGTTAAGGACAGATGGATGGAAGGACACAAAGGCATAAGTTAAGGACAGATGGATGGAAAGACACAAAGGTATAATTTAAGGACAGATGGATGGAAGGACACAAAGGTATAAGTTATGGACAAATGGATGAAAGGACACAAAGGTATAAGTTATGGACATATGGATGAAAGGACACAAAGGTATAAGTTATGGACATATGGATGAAAGGACACAAAGGTATAAGCTATGGACAAATGGATGAAAGGACACAAAGGTATAAGCTATGGACAGATGGATGGAAGGACACAAAGGTATAAGCTATGGACAGATGAATGGAAGGACACAACGGCATAAGCTATGGACAGATGGATGGAAGGACACAAAGGTATAAGCTATGGACAGATGAATGGAAGGACACAACGGCATAAGCTATGGACAGATGGATGGAAGGACACAAAGGTATAAGTTGTAGACAGATGGATGAAAGGACACAAAGGTATAAGTTATGGACAGATGGATGGAAGGACACAAAGGTATAAGTTATGGACAGATGGATGGAAGGACACAAAGGTATAAGTTATGGACAGATGGATGGAAGGACACAAAGGTATAAGTTGTAGACAGATGGATGAAAGGACACAAAGGTATAAGTTGTAGACAGATGGATGGAAGGACACATAAACATTTGTTAAAGACACAAAGACTGCTGTTAAGGACATGTAGACATTTGTTATTAGTCATTACTATCACTAATATGTTGATGAGAAATAAAAATATAACCTCAATACATACTTCCTATACATCAATAATTAGTACTTTTCTAAATTGGAACCATGAAAAAATTGCTCTCTACAGAAAACAACAAAAGGAGACATGTAACATGTACCACAACCATAATTTTATGTTGTCAGCAAAACATGACAAAAATAAGGTTTTAAAATAATGTTGGTTATCTAATACACTGTCACACAATACTGACTGTCAGAAGAACTATTCCATTGAAATTATCTTTTATGATAAGTTATGCAAAGGAGAAACTAATTTTGTCCTCCTGTGATGACATGGGAGGACAATCTACATCAATCTACGAAAATCAATACTTACTTAATTTATCACACTCATCACTCAGCTGTTTGGAATCACACACTTTCATCAAGTTTTGAGATATTGCACCTTCAAGATTGATAAAAAATGATTAAATCAATCAACTTGTGTATGTAGATTTGTGTAATAGACATAGGGATAGACATAGATGGATAACTTGTGTATGTAGAATTGTGTAATAGACATAGGGATAGACATAGATGGATAACTTGTGTATGTAGATTTGTGTAATAGACATAGGGATAGACATAGATGGATAACTTGTGTATGTAGAATTGTGTAATAGACATAGGGATAGACATAGATGGATAACTTGTGTATGTAGAATTGTGTAATAGACATAGGGATAGCACATAGATGGATAACTTGTGTATGTAGAATTGTGTAATAGACATAGGAATTGACATAGATGGATAACTTGTGTATGTAGAATTGTGTAATAGACATAGGAATTGACATAGATGGATAACTTGTGTATGTAGAATTGTGTAATAGACACAGGGATAGACATAGATGGATACTAAAGACCTATACTATTACTAGGAAAGCATATGTTTGTGTCATCATATCATTCAATGTAAACATCAGCAGCAAATTTGAATAAGACAAGGATGTACATCAAAATTCCTGTATTACTACTTGCACTTCTCTTTTAAATCAAAAACATTTAGCAATTTAATGTTCATTTCAAACACAGGAGCTTTTATCATCAGGTCAGTAACTGGTGTTATCAGGTCACTATCTGGTGTTATTAGGTCAGTAACTGGTGTTATCAGGTCACTATCTGGTGTAATTATGTCAGTTACTGATGTTATTAGGTCAGTGACTAGTATTATTAGGTCAGTGACTTGTGTTATTAGGTCAGTGTCTTGTGTCATTAGGTCAGTGACTAATGTTATTAGGTCAGTGACTAATGTTATTAGGTCAGTGACTAATGTTATTAGGTCAGTGACTGGTGATATTAGGTCAGTGACTGGTGTTATTAGGTCAATGACTGGTGATATTAGGTCAGTGACTGGTGTTATTAGGTCAATGACTGGTGATATTAGGTCAGTGACTGGTATTATTAGATCAGTAACTGGTGTGATCAGGTCACTATCTGGTGTAATTATGTCAGTTACTGATGTTATTAGGTCAGTGACTAGTATTATTATGTCAGTGACTAATGGTATTAGGTCAGTGACTGGTGATATTAGGTCAGTGACTGGTGTTATTAGGTCAATGACTGGTGTTGTTTTTTTTAAAGCCAGCAGGAAATATTCTGTACCTTTAGTGAAGTCCAAATCTTTATTTGTACTGTTAACAATAACATCAACAGCTGTCTTCAGACTGACAATATTCTCCACATTGATCTTTAGAGTGACCTTCCCATAAACAAACTCTGAAACAGTTGTTTTCATTAAATAAATATTCAGATATCTTAACTTAAACCACAAAATATGACAATTTATAATTAAAACATCTCATTACTTTTAATCAGAAGACAATATCAACAGAAAAGTACAAGGTGTTATAATAAACTAAATGGAAACTGTACCTGTATCATGTATATAGACAGCTGGACTGTATTGGGTGTACAAAAGTTAGTGTGTACTGTAGGACAGCTGGGCTGTATTGGGTGTACAAAAGTTAGTGTGTACTGTAGGACAGCTGGACTGTATTGGGTGTACAAAAGTTAGTGTGTACTGTAGGACAGCTGGGCTGTATTGGGTGTACAAAAGTTAGTGTGTACTGTAGGACAGCTGGGCTGTATTGGGTGTACAAAAGTTAGTGTGTACTGTAGGACAGCTGGGCTGTATTGGGTGTACAAAAGTTAGTGTGTACTGTAGGACAGCTGGACTGTATTGGGTGTACAAAAGTTAGTGTCTACTGTAGGACAGTTGGACTGCATTGGGTGTACAAAAGTTAGTGTGTACTGTAGGACAGCTGGGCTGTATTGGGTGTACAAAAGTTAGTGTGTACAAAAGTTAGTGTGTACTTGTAGGACAGCTGGACTGTATTGGGTGTACAAAAGTTAGTGCTGGACTGTATTGGGTGTACAAAAGTTAGTGTGTACTGTAGGACAGCTGGACTGTATTGGGTGTACAAAAGTTAGTGTGTACTGTAGGACAGCTGGACTGTATTGGGTGTACAAAAGTTAGTGTGTACTGTAGGACAGCTGGGCTGTATTGGGTGTACAAAAGTTAGTGTGTACTGTAGGACAGCTGGACTGTATTGGGTGTACAAAAGTTAGTGTGTACTGTAGGACAGCTGGACTGTATTGGGTGTACAAAAGTTAGTGTGTACTGTAGGACAGTTGGACTGTATTGGGTGTACAAAAGTTAGTGTGTACTGTAGGACAGCTGGACTGTATTGGGTGTACAAAAGTTAGTGTGTACTTGAGGACAGTTGGACTGTATTGGGTGTACAAAAGTTAGTGTGTACTTGAGGACAGTTGGACTGTATTGGGTGTACAAAAGTTAGTGTGTACTGTAGGACAGCTGGACTGTATTGGGTGTACAAAAGTTAGTGTGTACTGTAGGACAGCTGGACTGTATTGGGTGTACAAAAGTTAGTGTGTACTGTAGGACAGCTGGACTGTATTGGGTGTACAAAAGTTAGTGTGTACTGTAGGACAGTTCGACTGTATTGGGTGTACAAAAGTTAGTGTGTACTGTAGGACAGCTGGACTGTATTGGGTGTACAAAAGTTAGTGTGTACTGTAGGACAGCTCGACTGTATTGAGTGTACAAAAGTTAGTGTGTACTGTAGGACAGCTGGACTGTATTGGGTATACAAAAGTTAGTGTGTACTGTAGGACAGCTCAACTGTATTGGGTGTACAAAAGTTAGTGTGTACTGTAGGACAGCTGGACTGTATTGGGTGTACAAAAGTTAGTGTGTACTGTAGGACAGCTAGACTGTATTGGGTGTACAAAAGTTAGTGTGTACTGTAGGACAGCTGGACTGTATTGGGTGTACAAAAGTTAGTGTAGACTGTAGGACAGCTGGACTGTATTGGGTGTACAAAAGTTAGTGTGTACTGTAGGACAGCTGGGCTGTATTGGGTGTACAAAAGTTAGTGTGTACTGTAGGACAGCTGGACTGTATTGGGTGTACAAAAGTTAGTGTGTACTGTAGGACAGCTGGACTGTATTGGGTGTACAAAAGTTAGTGTGTACTGTAGGACAGCTGGACTGTATTGGGTGTACAAAAGTTAGTGTGTACTGTAGGACAGCTGGACTGTATTGGGTGTACAAAAGTTAGTGTGTACTGTAGGACAGCTGGACTGTATTGGGTGTACAAAAGTTAGTGTGTACTGTAGGACAGCTCAACTGTATTGGGTGTACAAAAGTTAGTGTGTACTGTAGGACAGCTGGACTGTATTGGGTGTACAAAAGTTAGTGTGTACTGTAGGACAGCTGGACTGTATTGGGTAAACAAAAGTTAGTGTGTACTGTAGGATGTACTGGAGGACAGGTGGACTGTATTGGGTGTACAAAAGTTAGTGTGTACTGTAGGACAGCTGGACTGTATTGGGTGTACAAAAGTTAGTGTGTACTGTAGGACAGCTAGACTGTATTGGGTGTACAAAAGTTAGTGTGTACTGTAGGACAGCTGGACTGTATTGGGTGTACAAAAGTTAGTGTGTACTGTAGGACAGTTGGACTGTATTGGGTGTACAAAAGTTAGTGTGTACTGTAGGACAGCTGGACTGTATTGGGTGTACAAAAGTTAGTGTAAACTGTAGGACAGCTCGACTGTATTGGGTGTACAAAAGTTAGTGTGTACTGTAGGACAGCTCAACTGTATTGGGTGTACAAAAGTTAGTGTGTACTGTAGGACAGTTGGACTTATTGGGTGTACAAAAGTTAGTGTAGACTGTAGGACAGCTGGACTGTATTGGGTGTACAAAAGTTAGTGTAAACTGTAGGACAGTTGGACTGTATTGGGTGTACAAAAGTTAGTGTAGACTGTAGGACAGCTGGACTGTATTGGGTGTACAAAAGTTAGTGTAGACTGTAGGACAGTTGGACTGTATTGGGTGTACAAAAGTTAGTGTGTACTGTAGGACAGCACGACTGTATTGGGTGTACAAAGGTTAGTGTGTACTGTAGGACAGCACGACTGTATTGGGTGTACAAAAGTTAGTGTGTGTAAGACACTCGACTGTATTGGGTGTACAAAAGTTAGTGTAGACTGTAGGACAGTTGGACTGTATTGGGTGTACAAAAGTTAGTGTGTACTGAAGGACAGCTGGACTGTATTGAGTGTACAAAAGTTAGTGTGTACTGTAGGACAGCTCAACTGTATTGGGTGTACAAAAGTTAGTGTGTACTGTAGGACAGTTGGACTGTATTGGGTGTACAAAAGTTAGTGTGTACTGTAGGACAGCTGGACTGTATTGGGTAAACAAAAGTTAGTGTGTACTGTAGGACAGCTCAATGGTATTGAGTGTACAAAAGTTAGTGTGTACTGTAGGACAGCTAGACTGTATTGGGTAAACAAAAGTTAGTGTGTCGACTGTATTGGGTGTACAAAAGTTAGTGTGTACTGTAGGACAGCTGGACTGTATTGGGTGTACAAAAGTTAGTGTGTACTGTAGGACAGCTGGACTGTATTGGGTGTACAAAAGTTAGTGTGTACTGTAGGACAGCTGGACTGTATTGGGTGTACAAAAGTTAGTGTGTACTGTAGGACAGCTGGACTGTATTGGGTGTACAAAAGTTAGTGTCTACTGTAGGACAGTTGGACTGTATTGGGTGTACAAAAGTTAGTGTGTACTGTAGGACAGTTGGACTGTATTGGGTGTACAAAAAGAAATATATACCATTAGCATTGCCTCCTCTCGTGGACATGAGGCCCAAACCTGAGCTTTTAGCAAGTGTTACTGGACCACCACCATTTGGGCCAAGCTGATCTGGTTCATTTCTAAGGACGTTCTTTCCTTTAGATTTAGTGGTATGCCTTTTTGGAATATATGGGTCATCTTCATCCCTTTTAGAAAAAACCCTCCTACGAGTTCCTTGTTTGGCAATCCCTGTGGCACCAATTCTAGAATCTCCAAACTTTGTCATTGGATCAGAGACGATAGCCGGAAAATGTGAGACTCCTGAAGAGAAATGCCTTCTCTTCCTTTCTTCCCTCTGAAAAGCCTGTAACATACAGTGACTAGTGATAATTGCCAACTGTACTGTTAATACACAGTCAATAAATCACAGCCAAAAAATTCATTCAAACCAAAAACCAAAAAGAGATGGACACTACAGTCCTACTGATGATTGTGTACATATCACCCCTTACATGGTACGTAGTCCAAATCCCTCTGACATTCTATCTACTGACTTACATAGGTCTGGATTCCAGAATGATGATAGAACATCAGATTATTTCGGCTAATTTGACCCTGTGATCTTGAAAGAAATCAAAGTTGTTTCAACATACTGAGTAATCCCAGATACAACCAAGCTTTAAACAAAAATTATGTATCATGGCCTAATTCCTTAACAATAAATGGTTAAGTATAAACAGACCACTGTATAAAGATCACTGACGTGTGAAACAATTCACTTACTTGTAATGAGGAGACATCTTTCTGCAGGACAGCAAAGTACACAATCTTAATAGAATTAGACTTTTTGTCAAAATGTTGAACAGCCTCATAGCACTGGGTAGCAGCACGGTTGTGTGGGTACTTGTTGAAGCCTGTTCCTACAGCTGGAAATACTACAGAGCTGTAACCTTTTGAGGCAGCCGTGTCAAGGACTTTCCGTATATATTTATCCAGGGCCTAAACAAGTATAGATTTTTGAGTATCAGTGAAACTGATAACAGCTCCCCAAAAACAATTTTACTGGATACAAAATTTTAACAGAGGCCATTAATTCCATAACTGAGGAATCAAGGGCCCTGAATTTGGAACATATACTCTTAGTATAACAAATGTATACATAATGTCACATTATCTTAGTCTAAATAAAAAACCAAGTTATGCCCCAGACACAAAGTTTGAAGAAAGGCCATTAACTGTAATTGAGGGCTTACATGCCCTGACTTTAGTGTACTGTACATTGCTTTAGTACGGCCAATGTATACAACACATTTCATTTAAATAAACACAAAGGGCAATAATTTGGTAATTATGGGGTTGCAGGCCTTTAACTTGGGGCATGCCACAACCTCTTGGTATGATAAATGTATACCTCATGTTTCATTATCATAGTTTAAATGAAAGCTAGTTTATGCTTCAGACACAAAATTTTAACTATGGGCAATAACTCTGTAATCAGGGATTGCAGGCCTTGACTTCGAAACCCTGCACATCTAATATAAGATCATCAGGGTACCTTTTCTGCTGCTGCTGCTCCACTACTATAAGTAGGCAGAGTTCCCAGATATAAAGCTTTACAGCTCAGGTTTCCAGGAGAAATCTCGGCCAGGTCACCAATCTTGATTCCTTTGGGATATTTTGTATTACATTCTGTTTTTATGGCTACTCCTGCTTTGCTAGCTAAGGCAGCCATAGCACCACCTTTTGTAATGTCAAGGTCTTCAGAAACTGTGACTGCTATAACATCAGCTTTCTGCAAGAAATTGGAGATAAAAATATTGAAGAATTTCTTCATTATCATCATAAGATGAATAGCAAAAATTAAAAATAAAACTTTTGATAATCAGACACATTTTTATTGCCATAATTAATTGTAATAAGCAAATGCTCTGGGTTATTGAAAAGTAAATAAGAATACAGGTACTTAAATACAAAGTACAACTAACACTTACCTTAAAGTCAGCGATACTTCCTGTTTCTATGGATACCTGCACCTTGCTAGCTTTTGTGTAGAAAGATTCTGCAAATAACAGAATGTTTCAGAAATAACATATTCTTTACAAAATAACAAACACATGCAAAGTAATCAACATTTTGACAAAAGGATACCAACCATGTCATTATCTTCTCAGTCTAAAAGATACATCAACTGATCAAACACCAAAAATCCATTGAAGTTAAAATGAAAAATCAAATCTGTTGTTGCAATTTTTTAAGGAATAACATGTGACAGACATTGGATTTGACAAAGTGGACAGATATATGTAACAACATATAGATATATAAACATGGAAAAAAAATCAAGTCCAAAGAGGTGAGGGTTTACATATGTACATAAGAAACAGAGGTCACATGACAAAAGTAGTGAGGGTTTATATATGTACATAAGAAACAGAGGTCACATGACCACAGTGACAAAATAAGCCCCATCTAAATACTGGCTGGGCTCCTTGCCAGATGAGTCTGGACTAAATTCTGACTGGGCTCCTAACTAGACAAGTCTGGACTAAATACTGGCTGGGCTTCAAACTAGACAAGTCTGGACTAAATTCTGGCGGGGTTCCTTGCCAGATGAGTCTGGACTAAATTCTGGCTGGGCTCCTAATCAGACAAGTCTGGACTAAATACTGGCTGGGCTCCTAACTAGACATGTCTGGACTAAATACTGGCTGGACTTCTAACTAGACAAGTCTGGACTAAATTCTGGCTGGACTCCTAACTAGACAAGTCTGGACTAAATACTGGCTGGGCTTCTAACTAGACAAGTCTGGACTAAATTCTGGCTGGACTCCTAACTAGACAAGTCTGGACTAAATACTGGCTGGGCTCCTAGCCAGACAAGTCTGGACTAAGAGCTTGCTATGCTTCTGACCAGACAAGTCTGGATTAAATACTGGCTGGGCTCCTAGCCAGACAAGTCTGGACTAATAGCTTGCTATGCTTCTGACCAGACAAGTCTGGATTAAATATTGGCTGGGCTCCTAATCAGACAAGTCTGGACTAAATACTGGTTGGGCTCCTAACTAGACAAGTCTGGACTAAATACTGGCTGGGATCCTAGCCAGACAAGTCTGGATTAAATATTGGCTGGGCTCCTAATCAGACAAGTCTGGACTAAATACTGGTTGGGCTCCTAACTAGACAAGTCTGGACTAAATACTGGCTGGGCTCCTAGCCAGACAAGTCTGGACTTATAGCTTGCTATGCTTCTGACCAGACAAGTCTGGATTAAATACTGGCTGGGCTCCTAACTAGACAAGTCTGGACTAAATACTGGCTGGGCTCCTAACTAGACAAGTCTGGACTAAATACTGGCTGGGCTCCTAACTAGACAAGTCTGGACTAAATACTGGCTGGATTAAATATTGGCTGGGCTCCTAATCAGACAAGTCTGGACTAAATACTGGTTGGGCTCCTAACTAGACAAGTCTGGACTAAATACTGGCTGGGCTCCTAGCCAGACAAATCTGGACTAAATACTGACTGGGCTCCTAACCAGACAAGTCTGGACTAAATACTGGCTGGGCTCGTAACCAGACAAGTCTGGACTAAATACTGGCTGGGCTCCTAGCCAGACAAGTCTGGATTAAATATTGGCTGGGCTCCTAATCAGACAAGTCTGGACTAAATACTGGCTGGGCTCCTAACCAGACAAGTCTGGACTAAAATCAGACAAGTCTGGATTAAATATTGGCTGGGCTCCTAATCAGACAAATCTGGACTAAATACTGGCTGGGCTCCTAACCAGACAAGTCTGGACTAAATTCTGGCTGGGCTCCTAATCAGACAAATCTGGACTAAATACTGGCTGGGCTCCTAACCAGACTCCTAACTAGACAAGTCTGGACTAAATACTGGCTGAGCTTCTAACTAGACAAGTCTGGACTAAATAACTAGACAAGTCTGGACTAAATTCTGGCTGGACTCCTAACTAGACAAGTCTGGACTAAATACTGGCTGGGCTTCTAACTAGACAAGTCTGGACTAAATTCTGGCTGGACTCCTAACTAGACAAGTCTGGACTAAATACTGGCTGGGCTCCTAAGAGCTTGCTATGCTTCTGACCAGACAAGTCTGGATTAAATATTGGCTGGGCTCCTAACTAGACAAGTCTGGACTAAATACTGGCTGGGCTCCTAGCCAGACAAGACTGGACTAATAGCTTGCTATGCTTCTGACCAGACAAGTCTGGATTAAATATTGGCTGGGCTCCTAATCAGACAAGTCTGGACTAAATACTGGCTGGGCTCCTAACCAGACAAGTCTGGACTAAATACTGGCTGGGCTCCTAGCCAGACAAGACTGGACTAATAGCTTGCTATGCTTCTGACCAGACATGTCTGGATTAAATATTGGCTGGGCTCCTAATCAGACAAGTCTGGATTAAATACTGGCTGGACTGCTAACTAGACCAGTCTGGACTAAATACTGGCTGGGCTCCTAACCAGACAAGTCTGGATTAAATACTGGCTGGGCTCCTAACCAGACAAGTCTGGACTAAATACTGGCTGGGCTCCTCACTAGACAAATCTGGACTAAATACTGGCTGGGCTTCCAACTAGACAAGTCTGGACTAAATACTGGCTGGGCTTCCAACTAGACAAGTCGGGACTAAATTCTGGCTGGGCTCCTTGCCAGATGAGTCTGGACTAAATTCTGGCTGGGCTCCTAATCAGACAAGTCTGGACTAAATACTGGCTGGGCTCCTAACCAGACAAGTCTGGACTAAATACTGGCTGGACTCCTAACTAGACAAGTCTGGACTAAATACTGGCTGGGCTTCTAACTAGACAAGTCTGGACTAAATACTGGCTGGGCTCCTAGCCAGACAAGTCTGGACTAAATACTGGCTGGGCTCCTAACTAGACATGTCTGGACTAAATTCTGGCTGGACTCCTAACTAGACAAGTCTTGACTAAATTCTGGCTGGACTCCTAACTAGACAAGTCTGGACTAAATACTGGCTGGGCTCCTAACTAGACAAGTCTGGACTAAATACTGGCTGGGCTCCTAACCAGACAAGTCTGGACTAAATACTGGCTGGGCTCCTAGCCAGACAAGACTGGACTAAATACTGGCTGGGCTCCTCACTAGACAAATCTGGACTAAATACTGGCTGGGCTCCTAACCAGACAAGTCTGGACTAAATACTGGCTGGGCTCCTAACCAGACAAGTCTGGACTAAATGCAGTTTGTACTTACTTGAAGGACCACTGCTATATGGTTTAGAAAGTCTCATCTGCACTTCCTTCTCAAATGACTGAAAAACAACAAGTTAAACCTTCATACAACATCTAAGTATTTCACTGAATATGACAGGTCACTTATCAACACTGCAATTAAGCTAGATGTATTGTACATGCCGCAAAAACTCTTTTCACACTGGAACATTGATATATTGGAAGTGATTAACAAGACAAACGGTGACATGTCCCTGTCTACAAGATAGACTAACAGTGACATGATCCCTGTCTACCAGACAGACAAACAGTGACATGATCCCTGTCTACCAGACAGACTAACAGTGACATGTCCCTGTCTACCAGACAGTCTAACAGTGACATGTTCCCTGTCTACCAGACAGACTAACAGTGACATGATCCCTGTCTACCAGACAAACTAGTCTAACAGTGACATGATTCCTGTCTACCAGACAGTCTAACAGTGACATGATCCCTGTCTACCAGACAGACTAACAGTGACATGATCCCTGTCTACCAGACAGTCTAACAGTGACATGATCCCTGTCTACCAGATAGACTAACAGTGACATGATCCCTGTCTACCAGACAGACTAACAGTGACATGATCCCTGTCTACCAGACAGTCTAACAGTGACATGATCCCTGTCTACCAGACAGACTAACAGTGACATGATCCCTGTCTACCAGACAGACTAACAGTGACATGATCCCTGTCTACCAGACAAACTAGTCTTACAGTGAAATGATTCCTGTCTACCAGACAGACTAACAGTGACATGATCCCTGTCTACCAGATAGACTAACAGTGACATGATTCCTGTCTACCAGACAGACTAACAGTGACATGATCCCTGTCTACCAGACAGACTAACAGTGACATGATCCCTGTCTACCCTACCAGACAGTCTAACAGTGACATGTCCCTGTCTACCAGACAGTCTAACAGTAACATGTTCCCTGTCTACCAGACAGACTAACAGTGACATGATCCCTGTCTACCAGACAGACTAACAGTGACGTGATCCCTGTCTACCAGACAAACTAGTCTTACAGTGAAATGATTCCTGTCTACCAGACAGACTAACAGTGACATGATACCTGTCTACCAGGCAGACTAACAGTGACATGATTCCTGTCTACCAGACAGTCTAACAGTGACATGATCCCTGTCTACCAGACAGTCTAACAGTGACATGATCCCTGTCTACCAGATAGACTAACAGTGACATGATCCCTGTCTACCAGACAGACTAACAGTGACATGATCCCTGTCTACCAGACAGACTAACAGTGACATGATCCCTGTCTACCAGACAAACTAGTCTTACAGTGAAATGATTCCTGTCTACCAGACAGACTAACAGTGACATGATTCCTGTCTACCAGACAGACTAACAGTGACATGATCCCTGTCTACCAGGCAGTCTAACAGTGACATGATCCCTGTCTACCAGACAGACTAACAGTGACATGATCCCTGTCTACCAGACAGACTAACAGTGACATGATCCCTGTCTACCAGATAGACTAACAGTGACATGATCCCTGTCTACCAGGCAGACTAACAGTGGCATGATCCCTGTCTACCAGGCAGTCTAACAGTGACATGATCCCTGTCTACCAGACAGACTAACAGTGACATGATCCCTGTCTACCAGACAGACTAACAGTGACATGATCCCTGTCTACCAGACAGACTAACAGTGACATGATCCCTGTCTACCAGGCAGACTAACAGTGACATGATTCCTGTCTACCAGACAGACTAACAGTGACATGTCCCTGTCTACCAGACAGACTAACAGTGACATGATCCCTGTCTACCAGACAGACTAACAGTGACATGTCCCTGTCTACCAGGCAGTCTAACAGTGACATGATCCCTGTCTACCAGACAGACTAACAGTGACATGTCCCTGTCTACCAGGCAGACTAACAGTGACATGATCCCTGTCTACCAGATAGTCTAACAGAGACATGATCTCTGTCTACCAGACAGACTAGTCTAACAGTGACATAATCACTTGTTCAGTAACCTGCTCTGTGTAAACACTTTATTGTAATGTATAGATTTCTGCTGAAGTATAAAGTCTTTACTATTACATAACAAGTTGTGTCATGCTAGGAATATTTTAAGACAAACTTGTAATTTTTTTTTTATATTTATTTTATTTTTTGCATTTTTTCATTGTATGTACACAAAGAAGTTCACACACACACGCCCTTACATACATACATACATATGTCCAACATGTATCATCATACACATTATCATCACACACATCATCATTAAACATGTATCATCATACACATCATCATCATACACATCATCATTAAACATGTACCATCATACACATCATCATTAAATATATATTCTCATACACATCATCATCATACACATCATCATTAACATGTATCATCATACACATCATCATTAAACATGTATTATCATACACATCATCACCATACACATCACAATTAACGTGTATCATCATACATATCATCATCATACAACACATCACCATTAACATGTATCATCATACACATCATCCTCATACACATCATCATTAAACATGTATTATCATACACATCATCATTAAACATGCATGTATTATTATACACATCATCACCGTACACATCATCATTAAACATCATCATTAAACATGCATGTATTATTATACACATCATCACCATAAAGACAAACTTGTAATAGTAATAGCGAGATGTCTTTAATAAGTCATGTCTGAATGACATCACATTCAGACATGACTTATTAAAGTATGGAATTTAATAAAAACACACAAAGGCTCATGGCATATGAAATTATTGAACTTGCTAGTGAATCCCATATTACACTGATACTATGTAGGATCTTCGATATCAATTTACTACAAACCATTACTACATACAGTAAATAATGCTGATTTAGGTCTATAAAACAAACTTACCATGATAAGTTCCCGGTCCTTTTTGTGAAGGACGAAGCGAACATCAGTTACAGATGAATTGGTGTTCTTCTTGGCAAAATCAATCACACAGTTATACATGAGGTTAGCGATTTTGTCATGTGGGTACCCAATCTGTCCTGTTCCAAAAGCCGGGAAAGCTATGGATTTCATTCCTGTATTGTGGGCATTCTGAAGACAGGCTGTGATGGCTGTGTTGGCAAGCTTTAAAATTTCAGAAAAACAGGGTGAACTATCCTTAATGATTTATAACAAAAACTCATAAAACCACAGTTCTAACCATACCTATAGAGAGTATATGATGATAGTGGGTGTGGTTATAGAGAGTATATGATGATAGTGGGTGTGGTTATAGAGATTATATTATGATAGTGGGTGTGGTTATAGAGAGTATATGTTGATAGTGGGTGTGGTTATAGAGAGTATATGATGATATTGGGTGTGGTTATAGAGATTATAGTATGATAGTGGGTGTGGTTATAGAGAGTATATGATGATAGTGGGTGTGGTTATAGAGAGTATATGATGATATTGGGTGTGGTTATAGAGGGTATATGATGATAGTGGGTGTGGTTATAGAGAGTATATGATGATATTGGGTGTGGTTATAGAGGGTTTACATAGTATATGATGATAGTGGGTGTGGTTATAGAGAGTATATGATGATATTGGGTGTGGTTATAGAGGGTATACATAGTATATGATGATAGTGGGTGTGGTTATAGACGAATAAACAGTATATTATAATAGTGGGTGTGGCTATAGAGAGTATATGATGATAGTGGGTGTGGCTATAGAGGGTATACACAATATATTATGATAGTGGATGTGGCTTTAGAGGGTATACATAGTATATGATGATAGTGGGTGTGGTTATAGACGAATAAACAGTATATTATGATAGTGGGTGTGGCTATAGAGGGTATACACAGTGTATTATATTAGTGGGTGTGGTTATAGAGGGTGTACACAGTATATTATGACAGTGGGTGTGGTTATAGAGAGTATATTATGATAGTGGGTGTGGCTATAGAGAGTATACACAGTATATTATGATAATAGGTGTGGTTATAGAGGGTATATACAGTATACTGTGATAGTGGGTGTGGTTATAGAGGGTGTACACAGTATATTATGATAGTGGGTGTGGTTATAGAGGGTGTACACAGTATATGATGATAGTGGGTGTGGTTATAGAGGGTGTACACAGTATATTATAATATAGTGCATGTTTATCAGCCTACCTGGTGTATATTGACAGTGTTTAGTGTATACAATGTAAGCTGTGATATGTGGTGACTCACCTTACTGCTATCCTGGGTTTTCCAGTCTGGTAGAGAGGTCAGGTAGATGGATTTACATGTCTTTAGGTTTCCGTTGGTAAGAACTGCAAGTTCTCCATACTGAATTCCAGATGGATACTTAGAATTACACTCTGCCTTTAGGATGGCAGGTCCTGCTGCCTTGGAAATCGCTGTGGCCACAGCTCCTGACATATCAAGGTTCTTTGCTGTTGCACAAGCTATAACATCCACCTGGAATCAGCGATATTCTTATTAAAAAACACAACTATTGATTCAAATATTTTTGTTAAAGCAAAGCTTGTGCATGAATATACCATTTCAGTTTAAAAGCTAGAATTTATCATTTTAAGTTTAAAAGCTTGAATATATCACTTTAGCTTAAAATGATTTCGCTGATCAGTTGTCCTTGACCATGTAAATTTATTTCAATACAATATGTTTAATACATATACAGTCCATATCTTATTATTCAATTTGATGTTCAATAATGTGCAGTTGTAATTCAAGTTTCTGGTTTATATCACATATTTGCATTCAAATGTTTGGTTTATATAACATATTTGTATTTAAGTTTCTGGTTTATATCACATATTTGTATTCAAGTTTCTGGTTTATATCACATATTTGTATTCAAGTTTCTGGTTTATATCACATATTTGTATTCAAATATTTGGTTTATATCACATACTTGTAATTAAAATTTCTGATTAATGTCATGTGTTTGAAGTTTCTGAATTTCTTTTGTTATAATCAAGCATACAGACATCAAAATCAGACAGAGACTTTTACTCACAGACTGATTGTCTATCAGATCCTTCACCAGTGTGATTTTGATCCCATGTTTGGTGTCAAATGGACCACTCGGCCCTAGAAAAAAATTCACCACGTATCAACAATAAGGACGAATAATTACTGTATATCACAGTGCATTAATGGTAATATTATTTTTGTTCTTTAGTCACTATGTGTTGTTTCTATAGCAATTATTTGAAAGTGAAAATTCCTCATTGCAGCAATTTGCTAAAATAGTGATAATGAGCTAAATATAAACTTTATTTATTTTACAGCAATTGCAGCTATCAGCTTACATTAATCACTCTTGATGGTCCAGATAAAAAAAACATGCAGGAGAGGGCAGGGGTCTTTACCATGGGGAAAACCTGAACACCTGGGGAAAGTTCATGTGGTCAAGCAAGTGACCCCGTACCTTATCACATCTGTTCTGGGCATATAATCCCACGGTGGCTAAGTAAAATGTGAGTGCATTAGCACTGTGTCACCTGACCACCCATGTATTTGATTGTGCCAAATTCAGTACTTATACAGAAATGTACAGATGTATACTATGTAGGTATATGGAAGACTTGAACAAGGTACAGAAATGTACAGATGTACACTATGTAGGTATATAGAAGACTTTAACAAGGTACAGAAATGTACAGATGTATACTATGTAGATATATAGAAGACTTTAACAAGGTACAGAAATGTACAGATGTACACTATGTAGGTATATAGAAGACTTTAACAAGGTACAGAAATGTACAGATGTATACTATGTAGGTATATGGAAGACTTGAACAAGGTACAGAAATGTACAGATGTATACTATGAAGGTATATAGAAGACTTGAACAAAGTACAGAAATGTACAGATGTATACTATGTAGGTATATGGAAGACTTGAACAAAGTACAGAAATGTACAGATGTATACTATGTAGGTATATGGAAGACTTGAACAAAGTACAGAAATGTACAGATGTATACTATGTAGATATATAGAAGACTTGAACAAAGTACAGAAATGTACAGATGTATACTATGTAGGTATATGGAAGACTTGAACAAAGTACAGAAATGTACAGATGTATACTATGTAGGTATATGGAAGACTTGAACAAAGTACAGAAATGTACAGATGTATACTATGTAGGTATATGGAAGACTTGAACAAAGTACAGAAATGTACAGATGTATACTATGTAGATATATAGAAGACTTGAACAAAGTACAGAAATGTACAGATGTATACTATGTAGGTATATAGAAGACTTGAACAAAGTACAGAAATGTACAGATGTATACTATGTAGATATATAGAAGACTTGAACAAAGTACAGAAATGTACAGATGTATACTATGTAGGTATATGGAAGACTTGAACAAGGTACAGAAATGTACAGATGTATACTATGTAGGTATATAGAAGACTTTAACAAAGTACAGAAATGTACAGATGTACACTATGTAGGTATATAGATGACTTTAACAAAGTACAGAAATGTACAGATGTATACTATGTAGGTATATGGAAGACTTGAACAAGGTACAGAAATGTACAGATGTATACTATGTAGGTATATAGAAGACTTTAACAAAGTACAGAAATGTACAGATGTATACTATGTAGGTATAAAGAAGACCTTTAACAAGGTACAGAAATGTACAGATGTATACTATGTAGGTATAAAGAAGACCTTTAACAAGGTACAGAAATGTACAGATGTATACTATGAAGGTATATAGAAGACTTTAACAAAGTACAGAAATGTACAGATGTACACTATGTAGATATATAGAAGACTTGAACAAGGTACAGAAATGTACAGATGTATACTGTGTAGATATATAGAAGACTTTAACAAAGTACAGAAATGTACAGATGTATACTATGTAGGTATATAGAAGACCTTTAACAAGGTACAGAAATGTACAGATGTATACTATGTAGGTATATGGAAGACTTGAACAAGGTACAGAAATGTACAGATGTACACTATGTAGGTATATAGAAGACTTGAACAAAGTACAGAAATGTACAGATGTATACTATGTAGGTATATAGAAGACTTGAACAAGGTACAGAAATGTACAGATGTATACTATGTAGGTATATAGAAGACCTTTAACAAGGTACAGAAATGTACAGATGTATACTATGTAGGTATATGGAAGACTTGAACAAGGTACAGAAATGTACAGATGTATACTATGTAGGTATATAGAAGACTTGAACAAGGTACAGAAATGTACAGATGTATACTATGTAGGTATAAAGAAGACCTTTAACAAGGTACAGAAATGTACAGATGTATACTATGTAGGTATATAGAAGACTTTAACAAGGTACAGAAATGTACAGATGTATACTATGTAGGTATACAGAAGACTTTAACAAGGTACAGAAATGTACAGATGTATACTATGTAGGTATATAGAAGACTTTAACAAGGTCTTGTTAGTGTTTATCTATGATTAGTTGTCTGAAGTGGATTAGGAAGGCTATTATATCAAACATTCACTTGTAAGTATTGATATTAAAGTGTAAGAGTATACAACTTTTGATGAGACTGACCTGTTTGTGCCCAAGCCCCAGGGTACATCTGTTTGTATTCTTCATCCTCAAAAGCCTGAAAAAACAAGAGTATCAGTGAAACTGATGTATATTCAAAACTACTTTATTGGACACAAACAAAGGGCAATAACTCAATACTTGATGGGTTGTGGGCTCTTAATTTGGTATACTGCACATTCTCTTCGTATGACCCATGTATACACCAAGTTTCATTACCCTAGTTCAAATACAAGCAAAGTTATACTCTGGACAAGAATTTTTTAACAAAGGATGATAACTCTGTAATTGAGGGGTGGAGGGCCCTGGTACAATGCATATCCTCTTAGTATGATCAACATATACACCAAGTTTCATTACCCTAGTTTAAGTGCAAAAAAGCAATTTAAAGTTGTGCTCTGTATGCAAAATTTTAACAAAGGGGAGTTACTCTGTAATTTATGATCAGTGTAAAGTCATGCACTATTGTTGTGCTATCAAGCATGTCGATATTGGCAATATTTTTGTTACAGTAAGTATCATTCCCAGCTTGTGTGTTTTTCTAGTCACATTAGAATGATGACATTTCAACATTATTTAAGGTTTGTGTAAGATTGACAGTGTAAGGTAACTGTACATGTTGTCATTTCAAAGTTTTTGTTTTTGTTTTTGTTTTGTTTTTTTAATTTTTTGCTATTTTTGAGGATAGAATGAAATTGCCCGATACATATATCTTGAAACAATACAGCATATCATACTTCTGTGAAAAAAATGCTTCATGATTCAAGGTTTTTAGTTGATGTCAAGAATCAAAGTAGTACAGGGAAAATAAAACTTCAAATAGGGAAAGTATGATTCCATACAGGATAAGTACAACTCCATACAGGATAAGTACAACTCCATACAGGATAAGTACCAATCCATACAGGATAAGTACAACTCCATACAGGATAAGTACAACTCCATACAGGATAAGTACAACTCCATACAGGATAAGTACCAATCCATACAGGATAAGTACCACTCCATACAGGATAAGTACAACTCCATACAGGATAAGTACAACTCCATACAGGATAAGTACCAATCCATACAGGATAAGTACAACTCCATACAGGATAAGTACAAATTCATTAAAGGGAACATAGAACTCCATACATGGAACATACAGCTCCATACAGGATTAGGACAAATCCATACAGGGAACATACAACTCCATACAGGGAACATACATGTTCATACAGGGAACATACAGCTCCATACAGGATAAGGACAAATCCATACAGGGAACATACAGCTCCATACAGGAAACATACAGGTTCATACAGGGAACATACAGCTCCATACAGGGAGCATACAGCTCCATACAGGGAACATACAGGTTCATACAGGGAACATACAACTCCATACAGGGAACATACAGCTCCATACAGGGAACATACAGGTTCATACAGGGAACATACATCTCCATACATGGAACATACAGCTCCATACAGGTAAGGACAACTCCATACAGGGAACATACAGCTCCATACAGGGAACATACAGCTTCATACAGGGAACATACAGCTCCATACAGGGAACATACAGCTCCATACAGGATTAGTACAAATTATTGTAATAAGGATGCATCTGAATTTTGATTTCTTCAATGTCCTCAAAACTGATCATGTATATATATATTGCATATACTTACACTGATTGTGCAGCGGTCTTTAGAGTACAGTACAAATGTCACCACTAAGACTGACGTAGTTCCCTTTGCATCAAACTGACGGACAGCATCATACATGGCCTCGGCAACAGTCTGTGGAGGATACTTTGAGGCACCTGTTCCCATGGCTATAAATTTGATGGAATTGTATCCCGCTTTGCCTGCCTTGTTCAAACATTCCATGATGACCTTGGTGATGACCTGTATGAGGATAATCATACCATTTCACCAACACCTAGTGATACATATGCATCTTCCTATATTTTATGTAGAAATCCAAGTATACACACACAAGGCAATTCCTATGGATGACTGCAACATTTGAAATTTAGGAAATTGACATGAAAAACATGTCAACATTGTTGTTAATTCAAAGAGAATCCTGAATTTATGCAAAATAAAAGCCCCAAAAACCCCCAGAAAAAAAAAACAGAGAACAAAAGATTAACAAATGAAAATAACAAAAAAAACCAAAAAAAATTATACATAAGATTTTTAGGAAATTTGCTGTGTAGACTTATCATCTTAATTCCTTGTTCAGGTTCGATTATTGGCAAATTCTATACATATTTTATGACTGCTGTGACCTGATTGGCCGATATCTTTCTGAATGCCGAAATATTAAAAAAAGACAAAAAGAAAGGGCGAGAGATGAAGTATATATATATATGCTGTCTATTTTCTTGTACATCAAATGACTTAAAACAACTTTTTTCTTTGGAAAAGTAGTAATCTCTGATAATTTCTTCCTAAATGATTTCTACAAAATAATCTACAAAGTTATAAACAGTTACTGTTTCAATATACACACCAGTCACAGCACAATAGGAAAAACATAACAAGAAATCAATTATACAAAAATTCTCTCCTCAAGCACATAAAATGTGGGCCCATTTTTAATGACGTAGACAGTAGCGTCATGTGTTCACCTTTCAGGACTGTTTATACTTATATAGTATCCATAGCGGCTATTACAGTTCATATATATGTATATATCTATATATTTTCCTATCACATTTATCGTGCCCATATATATTTTTTCTAAATCAATAAACAGTTTCTTTAATTAAACAAACCAAATAATAAATATGAAATATTAAACAGTTTGTTCCATTGCTCACTCGTCCTGGCAAAAAGTTGACGTAGATGCTGACTCACATATTTACATAGCCAATGCTGATTGATAGCCTAATAACCTAAAATCGCTATATATACGTTTAATATACATAATGCTTGCCAGTATGAGATACTGGTTTTTGAATGTTTCGGATGGCAACTCTGATAATTTAGGAAAAGGAAAGTGTTGGTGGGCTTATTGTATATCCTGCTGCCCAGACTGCTGTCTGGTTTAAGATAAATAGTGGTTTTCATTTCAGTAATAATTACCATCGTAGGGAGGGCGGGATTTTTGAATCTTTTGTTTTTGGGATACAAAGATGGGTGTAGGTACCATATTTGCATACTAAAGTTATGGTAAGTATTACCTCATGAAAATTGGTTTTACATTAAAAAACCTCAAGTCTAGAAAGTTAACCTCAGTATCTTCGATATCCAAGGTGAACTCGATAGTTGGATGGAAAGTGTTCATGGCTTCACTTAAGGTGGTAAGTTCCTCTCTTGTGTGTGTCCATATAAAAAAGATATCATCAATGTTTCTCCACCAAACCAGAGGTGTTTTGACTTGCATAGATAAAAAATTTTTCTCTAAATAGTCCATGAAAATTATGGTGTAGTTTGGAGCCATTTTTGTGCCCATTGCTGTGCCCACTCTCGGCTTGTAATATTCATTGTCGCACCTCTCTGATGCGGGTGATGGTCACTTCTACGGTGTGCCAGACCTGATCTGCAATGTCTGGAGTGGACATAGACTTGACAAGTTTCTAGTTCAGCTGCTCTGGTTGTCAAATATTTTAACAGAGTCTGGTTGAGTTCCAAACCAAATCTCATGTGACATTTGTCCCACTTGATACCAAATTTCGTGTTTGGGTCTGGAACTTGTGGGCTTACAAATGTTTGAAAGCCCTTAGGGACAGTTCCATTTTTTGTACACTTCATGAAGAGGTCTATGCAGGTCTGGCTCTTCAGGGCCTGGACAATCAATCAATCAGCCAGAACTGGCCAGTATAGATATAACAGTATCTACCACTGACCAGTATAGATATAACAGTATCTACCACTGACCAGTATAGATATAACAGTATCTACCACTGACCAGTATAGATATAACAGTATCTACCACTGACCAGTATAGATATAACAGTATCTACCACTGACCAGTATAGATATAACAGTATCTACCACTGACCAGTATAAATATAACAATATCTACCACTGACCAGTATAGATATAACAGTATCTACCAATGACCAGTATAGATATAACAGTATCTACCACTGACCAGTATAGATATAACAATATCTACCACTGACCAGTATAGATATAACAGTATCTACCACTGACCAGTATAGATATAACAGTATCTACCACTGACCAGTATAGATATAACAGTATCTACCACTGACCAGTATAGATATAACAGTATCTACCACTGACCAGTATAGATATAACAGTATCTACCACTGACCAGTATAGATATAACAATATCTACCACTGACCAGTATAGATATAACAGTATCTACCACTGACCAGTATAGATATAACAGTATCTACCACTGACCAGTATAGATATAACAGTATCTACCACTGACCAGTATAGATATAACAGTATCTACCACTGACCAGTATAGATATAACAGTATCTACCACTGACCAGTATAGATATAACAGTATCTACCACTGACCAGTATAGATATAACAGTATCTACCACTGACCAGTATAGATATAACAGTATCTACCACTGACCAGTATAGATATAACAATATCTACCACTGACCAGTATAGATATAACAGTATCTACCACTGACCAGTATAGATATAACAGTATCTACCACTGACCAGTATAGATATAACAATATCTACCACTGACCAGTATAGATATAACAGTATCTACCACTGACCAGTATAGATATAACAGTATCTACCACTGACCAGTATAGATATAACAATATCTACCACTGACCAGTATAGATATAACAATATCTACCACTGACCAGTATAGATATAACAGTATCTACCACTGACCAGTATAGATATAACAATATCTACCACTGACCAGTATAGATATAACAGTATCTACCACTGACCAGTATAGATATAACAATATCTACCACTGACCAGTATAGATATAACAATATCTACCACTGACCAGTATAGATATAACAATATCTACCACTGACCAGTATAGATATAACAGTATCTACCACTGACCAGTATAGATATAACAGTATCTACCACTGACCAGTATAGATATAACAGTATCTACCACTGACCAGTATAGATATAACAGTATCTACCACTGACCAGTATAGATATAACAGTATCTACCACTGACCAGTATAGATATAACAGTATCTACCACTGACCAGTATAGATATAACAGTATCTACCACTGACCAGTATAGATATAACAGTATCTACCACTGACCAGTATAGATATAACAGTATCTACCACTGACCAGTATAGATATAACAGTATCTACCACTGACCAGTATAGATATAACAGTATCTACCACTGACCAGTATAGATATAACAATATCTACCACTGACCAGTATAGATATAACAGTATCTACCACTGACCAGTATAGATATAACAATATCTACCACTGACCAGTATAGATATAACAATATCTACCACTGACCAGTATAGATATAACAGTATCTACCACTGACCAGTATAGATATAACAATATCTACCACTGACCAGTATAGATATAACAGTATCTACCACTGACCAGTATAGATATAACAGTATCTACCACTGACCAGTATAGATATAACAATATCTACCACTGACCAGTATAGATATAACAATATCTACCACTGACCAGTATAGATATAACAATATCTACCACTGACCAGTATAGATATAACAGTATCTACCACTGACCAGTATAGATATAACAGTATCTACCACTGACCAGTATAGATATAACAGTATCTACCACTGACCAGTATAGATATAACAGTATCTACCACTGACCAGTATAGATATAACAATATCTACCACTGACCAGTATAGATATAACAATATCTACCACTGACCAGTATAGGTATAACAGTATCTACCACTGACCAGTATAGATATAACAATATCTACCACTGACCAGTATAGATATAACAATATCTACCACTGACCAGTATAGATATAACAATATCTACCACTGACCAGTATAGATATAACAATATCTACCACTGATAGGTATAAATATAACAATATCTACCACTGACCAGTATAGATATAACAATATCTACCACTGACCAGTATAGCTATAACAGTATCTACCACTGACCAGTATAGATATAACAGTATCTACCACTGACCAGTATAGATATAACAGTATCTACCACTGACCAGTATAGATATAACAGTATCTACCACTGACCAGTATAGATATAACAATATCTACCACTGACCAGTATAGATATAACAATATCTACCACTGATAGGTATAAATATAACAATATCTACCACTGACCAGTATAGATATAACAATATCTACCACTGACCAGTATAGATATAACAGTATCTACCACTGACCAGTATAGATATAACAGTATCTACCACTGACCAGTATAGATATAACAGTATCTACCACTGACCAGTATAGATATAACAGTATCTACCACTGACCAGTATAGATATAACAATATCTACCACTGACCAGTATAGATATAACAATATCTACCACTGATAGGTATAAATATAACAATATCTACCACTGACCAGTATAGATATAACAATATCTACCACTGACCAGTATAGATATAACAGTATCTACCACTGACCAGTATAGATATAACAATATCTACCACTGATAGGTATAAATATAACAATATCTACCACTGATAGGTATAAATATAACAATATCTACCACTGACCAGTATAAATATAACGATATCTACCACTGACCAGTATAAATATAACAATATCTACCACTGACCAGTATAGATATAACAATATCTACCACTGACCAGTATAGATATAACAATATCTACCACTGATAGGTATAAATATAACAATATCTACCACTGACCAGTATAAATATAACAATATCTACCACTGACCAGTATAAATATAACAATACCTACCACTGACCAGTATAGATATAACAATATCTACCACTGACCAGTATAGATATAACAATATCTACCACTGACCAGTATAGATATAACAATATCTACCACTGACCAGTATAGATATGACAATATCTACCACTGACCAGTATAGATATAACAGTATCTACCACTGATAGGTATAAATATAACAATATCTACCATTGGCAAATATAAATGTTACAATATCTACCATTGGCAAATATAAATGTTACAATATCTACCATTGGCCAATATAAATGTAACAATATCTATGCTTGGCCAGTTTTTTTAAATAATACCAACCATTGGATCGTTCTTCTTGTCTTTCAACCACTCGGGCAGACTGCTCAGAAAGACCTTTTTACACCGGAGAGTGCCAGGGCCTATTGTGATGATGTCCCCGCAATTGATTGTGCCAGAAAAATTTGCCCTGATTTCAGCTTGTAATCCTGTCCCTCCATACTTCTCCAGGCTTTTTCCAGCTGCACTCTTATCTAGTGTCAGATCATTACTGACAGAGACAACCAGGACATCAGCCTAAAACAAAGCTTAACATTTAATTCAGATCCTATACAAAGAAACACACGCATTAAATTCAGTCTCAGTATAGGGAATATATGTATTTATTACAGATTCTCTATAGGGAAAAGATACATTGATTATACATTTTGTATAGGGGAACAATTTGATTCCACATTCTGTATTGGGGAACACATGCATTGATTACACATTCTGTATTTGGGGAACACATGCATTTATTACAGATTCTGTATTTGGGGAACACATGCAGTTATTACAGATTCTGTATTTGGGGAACGCATGCATTTATTACACATTCTGTATTTGGGGAACACATGCATTTATTACAGATTCTGTATTTGGGGAACACATGCATTCATTACAGATTCTGTATTTGGGGAACACATGCATTTATTACACATTCTGTATTTGGGGAACACATGCAGTTATTACACATTCTGTATTTGGGGAACACATGCATTTATTACAGATTCTGTATTTGGGGAACACATGCATTTATTACAGATTTAGTTTTGGGGAACACATACATTGATTAAACATTCAGTATTGGGGAACACATGCATTGATTACACATTCTGTATTGGGGAACACATGCATTTATTACACATTCTGTATTGGGGAACATATGCATTTATTACAGATTTAGTTTGGGGGAACACATGCATTGATTACACATACTGTATTGGGGAACACATGCATTTATTCTAGATTTAGTTTTGGGGAACACATGTATTTATTACAGATTTAGTTTTGGGGAACACATGCATTGTTTACATATTCTGTACAAAGGAACACATGTATTAATTACAGATTTTATATACGGGAACAAATGTTTTATTACACATCTTTACATCAGAATGTTATAGAGAGATCTTTACATCAGAATGTTATATAGATCTTTACATCAGAATGTTATAGAGAGATCTTAACATCAGAATGTTATATAGATCTTTACATCAGAATGTTATATAGATCTTTACATCAGAATGTTATGTAGATCTTTACATCAGAATGTTATATAGATTTTTACATCAGAATGTTATATAGATCTTTACATCAGAATGTTATAGAGAGATCTTTACATCAGAATGTTATATAGATATTTACATCAGAATGTTATAGAGAGATCTTTACATCAGAATGTTATATAGATCTTTACATCAGAATGTTATATAGATCTTTACATCAGAATGTTATATAGATCTTTACATCAGAATGTTATATAGATCTTTACATTAGAATGTTATAGAGAGATCTTTACATCAGAATCTTTACATCAGAATGTTATATAGATCTTTACATCAGAATGTTATGTAGATCTTTACATCAGAATGTTATATAGATCTTTACATCAGAATGTTATAGATAGATCTTTACATCAGAATAACATGTAGATCTTTACATCAGAATGTTATATAGATCTTTACATCAGAATGTTATGTAGATCTTTACATCAGAATGTTATGTAGATCTTTACATCAGAATGTTATATAGATCTTTACATCAGAATGTTATAGAGAGATCTTTACATCAGAATAACATGTAGATCTTTACATCAGAATGTTATATAGATATTTACATCAGAATGTTATGTAGATCTTTACATCAGAATGTTATATAGATCTTTACATCAGAATGTTATAGAGAGATCTTTACATCAGAATGTTATATAGATCTTTACATCAGAATGTTATGTAGATCTTTACATCAGAATGTTATATAGATCTTTACATCAGAATGTTATATAGATCTTTACATCAGAATGTTATAGAGAGATCTTTACATCAGAATGGTATAGAGAGATCTTTACATCAGAATGTTATATAGATCTTTACATCAGAATGTTATATAGATCTTTACATCTGAATGTTATAGAGAGATCTTTACATCAGAATGTTATGTAGATCTTTACATCAGAATGTTATAGAGAGATCTTTACATCAGAATGTTATGTAGATCTTTACATCAGAATGTTATGTAGATCTTTACATCAGAATGTTATGTAGAGATCTTTACATCAGAATGTTATAGAGAGATCTTTACATCAGAATGTTATATAGATCTTTACATCAGAATGTTATGTAGATCTTTACATCAGAATATTATAGAGAGATCTCAACATCAGAATATTATAGAGAGATCTCAACATCGGAATATTATAGAGAGATCTCAACATCGGAATATTATATAGATCTTTACATCAGAATGTTATATAGATCTTTACATCAGAATGTTATATAGATCTTTACATCAGAATGTTATATAGATCTTTACATCAGAATGTTATATAGATCTTTACATCAGAATGTTATAGAGAGATCTTTACATCAGAATGTTATATAGATCTTTACATCAGAATATTATAGAGAGATCTTTACATCAGAATAACATGTAGATCTTTACATCTGAAAACTGAAATATTAGGCAGATCTATTGTAATATTACAAAGATCTTTACATTGGAATATTTTACCTTTTCAGTTCCAATTTCTCCTTTTCGTAGTTTGATTTTCAAACCATTTTTGCATGTTACAAGACATTCTTTTTGAGTTGGCATGGCGACGGGAGTGGGTTGTGGTAGTGTAAATGCTCCTTCTGGAGTTGCACCAAACTTTCCTTAAATATCATTAAAATCATCGGTCAACCAAGCTTAACACAGTATCAGCCAACTAAGCAGGTTATCAACTTCATGAATGTCAATCACAAAATGGTTTGTCAGAAACTGGATTATAGTGCAGGAATTTAGTGCTTATTATTATTCAAATTTCAATATATTTTAATAAATAAAAAAATAAATGAAAAAATAAAAATTTCAAGTTTCACACATTAACAATAATTGTCACTCAAAACTTCTATACAGCCTACCTGTACGACCCCATGTGACACCTTCCTCAGTCCCATACAAGTCCTCCTCATCATCATCATCACTTGACACCTGTGACCTTGAGTACAGATGAGTGATGGCTTCATGTTGTGTTACAACAGTGGTGGTATCAGTCTCTATGCCAGAAAACATTTCATCATTATTACAAATGACAGTGCCAATACCCAGCTTCTGGATATCATGTTGTTTTGATTTGATCCTGTTTTCCAGTGCTCTGAGCCTTTTCTTGGCTTGTCTGATGCCCTCACTTGTGCCAGTTAGAGCCAGCTTCATGTCCTCAATCACCATGGAATCACATGTGGGTGAGAGGTCTGTTAGGATTGGCTTGACTTCCCGTGAGAAGTGTTTTTTAAAGAACTTCATTTTGTTCTTGTCATTCAAGTCATATGTATCTTTGTACTTGGCGTGTTCATCAATAAAGGTCAGAAGTTGTCGTAGTATATCTTGGTGAATAGTTTCTATGGAGGTGACAGTGAATCCATGATCCATCACATTGGATATAACAACAAGGTCACTGTTGTTTTCCTCTATTTGATGACATTGGCGTTTCCAGGCCGTTATACTTAGTACTTCAATCTTTTCCCTATCCACCAGAGGAACATCGCTGTACAGAACACTGTCTGTTATAATCTGAGTCACATGTTGCCTAGCACTGGTGGACACTGTACCAACTTCTAATCTATCTGTTTCACAATCAAATTCAACAACCAGTTGTTGTTGTGCAAACTTAGTTTTCAGTATGTCAAGCACTTGGTCTTTCTGTAGAAGTTTCACCTGGTCTTGGTTCAATACATTATCCTCCTGGATTGTCCAGAAGCGAAACTGTTGAACTTCTTCTCCTATGATGATTTGAGCTGTGTGAATATCATCCATTATGCCATTGAATGTTATACTATTCATCTCTGTATTGGCAGTTACATTTAAATCCTCAACCAAGCTGTTCACTTGTGTCAAGGTGTCTAATCGTCTTAAAAGTTGAATCTCTAAAGGTTTGAAGGTCTTTGTAACTGTGGTGATCTGTTTCTTTCTTTCTATAGCATTCTCAATGCGTTCTCTGTGTTCTTGTAGATTTTTCGTGACAATATGGAACATGCTATCCACTCCAACCACTACTAGCCTCACATTATCCTGATGCTGTGTAAAGTCCAGGTGGACAGACGTGTGTTCCTGGTGTTCTTTCACATGATTAAAAAGCACACTCCACACTTCAGCTGTCACCAGCATTTCAATTTGCTTTACAGTAACATTAATGAATTCGTTCCAGATTTCTTTAACATCATCTTCCCAAACTTGAACAAGATGGCGTACACCTGTTGTGTTTTGATCCATTGTACACTCCACATAAATTTCATCAGTGACTTTGAGCTTTGCATGTTTTGGTTTCAGTCTTGATTCCAATAAATCTTTCATGGTCTGGTATTTTATTACCATCATCATCTTATGGTGATTAGTGTGTTTTAGTACTGTGGCCTCAGGAATGCATACTTTGTGTTTGTCCACTTCCCAAATCACCCCAAATTCACATTCATAGAGGGTGGTGACACACAAGTTTGTACTACCTATCCTGTGTGAGTAGGGACTGTTACAGACATTCTCAAATGCTGCAAATGAACAACACTTAATCTCACTTTTTTTTAAAAAGATATACATATTTAACCCTAATGAAAAAAAGTCAATTGTATAAAGGCATTGTTCCATGGATTTCCTTTTCATGTGTGATTTATGTTACAAATCAAGAATTGTTCATTTTAATAGCAAGTGTAAAAATCTTCGATATGTCAAGAATTTTTCAGTTCAGCAAGTGTAAAAATCTATTATATGTCAAGAATTTTTCATTTCAGCAAGTGTAAAAATCTATGATATTGTACACATAAAGCAAATGTAAATTGTGTATATATTAATTGCAGTCCCAATTTTGAAAGAAAATAAACAAATGATGCTCAAAAATGTAATTTCCTATATACTTTTTTTTAGTAAAACCTGTAAATTTTATCCCCTCCCTGAGGGAAAATCTGAGACACTGGGGTCATGAAATTTACAAGTTTTATAAAGAACTGCAAGACATTTCTTCCCATGAAGAGTATTTAGTTCAACATAATCTGGGCATTGAGAAGACGATTTTTTTTAAATTTGAGTCAATTCTACCCATTTTTGGCCCTGCCAAACAGCCCCTGGAGGTCAGCCAAGGAAATGTGAGACCCTAGAGTCATGAAATTTACAACTTTGTTAATTAAAGCATGTGAAGCCTTTCCATCCATGAAGAGTACTTGATTCACCATACCTGGGATTTGAGAAGTTTCAATCATTTTGACCCTTTTTGACCCCATTCCAAAGGCCCCTATGGGACTGTAAAAATTATAGTTTCACACACCTCTAGCCATGGAAGGTTTTTGTAAAATTTTCTTTGAATTGGTTCTGGACTTTTTTCCAGAAAAAGTCGAAAATGTTAAAAGTTTACGACACACGACGCCGCATAAAAGGGGATATATGATTATTGGTTTAAGTTTATTACTGACAATTTTTATATCAGCCCTTAAGACCTGATATCAGCCTTCCACACTCTCACAGTTATCAGGACTGATTTGGGGTGTGATACCAAAATGGTCACAAAATAATCTCTAATTCTAAAATAAAGGCTATGTAACACATTTTTTTATTGGATAATTTGCATGATCTAATCCCCGATATACTCATGAATTTTTACACTAGCCCAAAGATGGCTGCCATCTTTCTTGTTGAGGTAGAAGATCAACATCACTTTTCTCTCACTATTTTTTGAACGACGGACAACGGATGGACGACGAATGGACAAAGAATGATGGACTTTGGGCCACCTTAGCTTAAAAAAAAATAGAAAATATCTGTAAGACATAAAAATACTAAGCGACCGGATGGGATGAGATGGAATGGACTGGGATGCAATGCGACAGACATGGGCAATGTTGTATGCCCCCTATTAGCGGGCCATAAAAAAGTTAGCAGAAGCATGAATGTGGTTTTTAAATGGAAATGCGATGGATGTTGAAGTTAGTATGACAAAACAGCATTTAAGTCAACTCAAGTTTCAACATCTGTTTCACTTGCTATGTTTATTTCATTTAATACTGACTTTCTGAAATGGCTAGTCACTGAAAGTCATATAGCAATAAGGGGGGTGTCATGTTTTAACTGCTTCTAATAAAATATGGTATAAACAGGAAAAAATTTGAACTACACGGTAATTTATGTTGAATTTGTCCTTAGTATATTTTCATAAAATATTTTAACTGGAACAGAACTTTTTTTTTTTAGACAGTGACCACAGAACCCATTTTGGATATTTAACTTACCACAAAAAAAATAGCACATGGTCAAGACCATATCAAGGTCATTATCGACACTTCAACTAGACCAAATGGGTGAAAGTTGAGAAATGTGTGTTTTATTATTACATCTGAAGGTTATATTGCCAATATTATCTAAAAAAAAAACAATAGCACCAAGCTTACCAGCATTGTCCTTGAACTCAACTCTACAGCAGCCATCGTCAGTCAACTCTATTCTCTTAACCTTAACCCTGCCAAATTTTTCCTTTTGGAAATGTTCTTTCAGTGCTTTGTCTGAAGGCAAACTCTGCTCTGAGCTGACAACTACTGTGACTGGAGGTGGTACCATGCAGACTTTCACTTCAGCCCCTTCAAGTTTTCTCTGACGACATTTTCTTTGGAATTTTTCAAAATCTGAAAATCAGAGTTTATCTAACAATGAACTCAGTACAGAGGTTGCAGTATGATACCAAATTAGTATAAAGAAGCTAGGAGTGTGTTTGTTCTAACTAAAGATTTAACAGTACATATTTTAAACATTTTCCTAGTTCCACAGTACAATAATCAAAACATAAATTAAATACTTAAATTTACCTGTTGAACTTATTTCAATGAAAGGTTTGAATTTTAATAATCTAATACTTTTTTTACTTATGTTTCTCTAGCTGTAACCTGTAATTTGCAAAGTGAATGTGATATTGTTTTACAACCTTTAGGATTCTGTAGGAGAGAGGCCACTGCCAAAGACTTGTCACTCGTATAGATGATGGAAGATTTGTCTACCTCACAGCCAGACATTATCTCTAGGTACAGACATAGTGCATCTAGCCCAGTCCTTTCAGCCAATCCCTTCACACACACATATGACTTCTCTATCTTCTGAAATAACACATTTATCTGATAAGAACCCCTTGCATGGGAATAACTCAATTGCTTTTCAGAAAAAATGGCAAGCAAAAGCCATTTCATTGTTCTGCAATAAGCCCGCCCTGACTTTGTGTCAGAACGAATTATTGACCCCTAGGATCCTTGTTATGTAATCAGCCAATTCCTGAAATTGAGGATCAGCAGTATTGTATTGACCCCCTGTGATCATTGTCCTGAAATAAGCCGAAACCTTGACATTGAGAATCAGGAGAAATGTATTGGCCCTCTGTGATACCATTGTCCTGAAATAAGCCCAAACCTTGACATTGAGAATCAGAAGAAATGTATTGGCCCTCTGTGATATCATTGTCCTGAAATAAGCCCAAACCTTGACATTGAGACTCAGAAGAAAGGTATTGGCCCCTTGTGATCATTGTCCTGAATTGAGCCCAAACCTTGACACTGAGAATCAAACCTGACATTTTGTTTAAAAAACAATGTGTCCGAAATCAGGCTAATTACACAGGGAAAATATGGTAATAAGGACACAAAATAAAAAATCAACTTTCCCCACATTTTTCCTGTCAAATCAAATATACAGTAGACTCTCGATAATCTAGAACCTTCATTCGTGGCCAAAATCATCTCATTATGAGTTTTTCTAACTGAATTTAGTCAACTTGCCAAGATCAATTGAGTTACCTCCCTTGATACTATAATGCACAAGACAATGCAACTAGTTCTCAAGAGTATTGATGTTCTAGACACTGCATTTATTGCAAATTTATCTTTAATTACAATACATTCATTGTGTGAAAGTCCACTTTCACAGATGATTCTCAAACATCTACAGGAATACATTATTTACTCCAATATTGACAATGCATACTTTCTGAACATGATATGCATTGCACAATGTATTTATTTCTATGCAGCCACATTTCTGAAGCAAATTTCCCGTTGAAGTACCCCTAAAGCCATGCTGTAAAATGTCAGTGACGACATAGGTATCTACCCAAGCTGTCTCGCTGTTCACTTGTCCTTTATGTTACATAATGCTTGTTTAAATAACAGGTGAAGTGTCGTAATATAAAACAAGAGTGCCGTGGCCACAATATATGCCGCCACAAAATATAAAGATCAATGAACCGTAAAATCACCCCTTCATGCACATCGAACCATTGTATTAGTGACATTGAGCAAGTTTTATGAAAATCTGATGATTAGTTTAGGAGAAGTTGCGTTCACAAAGCTCCACTAAGAGCAAGCTACAGATACAAAGTTGAAAATGGCATAAATCTTACAAAAATCAAAGAACCGAAAATTGCCCCTTCAGGCATATCTAACCATTGTAGTAGTGACATTGAGCAAGTTTCGAGAAAATCTGATGATTAGTTTAGGAGAAGTTGCGTTCACAAGAAATGGGCATACAGACGTATGGACAGACATATGGACAGACAGACAGAGAAGATGATGCCAATATACGATCGCCTCCGGCAGCGTATAATAAACCGTCATCAATATAACAATTCACAAATTAATGTGATATTGTGACACTATTTTCCCTTTCGTCTCTGTGATAGATACAAACCAGTTGTCACTTTTTTTTTACACATCTGTTTTTTTCTCCATTCAAAATAAAGGTTTATTACTGATGATTCCTTACAGGTAACCTTTATTTCCTGACTACTTTTATCATTATAGCATGCAATATAGAGACTCTGTTCAGTTAAGATTCTCATAGGCCAGGTATAACTCTGGTCAGTTAACATTCTCACAGGTCAGGTATAAATCTGGTCAGTTAACATTCTCCCAGGTCAGGTATAAATCTGGTCAGTTAAGATTCTCATAGCCCAGGTATAACTCTGGTCAGTTAACATTCTCACAGGTCAGGTATAAATCTGGTCAGTTAACATTCTCACAGGTCAGATATTACTCTGGTCAGTTAAGATTCTCACAGGTCAGGTATAACTCTGGTCAGTTAACATTCTCACAGGTTTGGTATTACTTTGGTCAGTTAACATTCCCACAGGTCTGGTATAACTCTGATCAGTTAATATTCACAGGTCAGGTATTACTCTGGTCAGTTAACATTCTCATAGGCCAGGTATAAATCTGGTCAGTTAACATTCTCATAGGTCAGGTATAAATCTGGTCAGTTAACATTCTCATAGGTCAGGTATAAATCTGGTCAGTTAACATTCTCCCAGGTCTGGTATAACTCTGGTCAGTTAACATTCTCACAGGTCTGGTATTACTTTGGTCAGTTAAGATTCTCACAGGTCAGGTATAACTCTGGTCAGTTAACATTCTCACAGGTCTGGTATAACTCTGGTCAGTTAACATTCTCACAGGTCAGGTATAACTCTGGTCAGTTAACATTCTCACAGGTCTGGTATAACTCTGGTCAGTTAACATTCTCACAGGTCAGGTATTACTTTGGTCAGTTAAGATTCTCACAGGTCAGGTATTACTTTGGTCAGTTAACATTCTCACAGGTCAGGTATAACTCTGGTCAGTTAACATTCTCCCAGGTCAGGTATAAATCTGGTCAGTTAACATTCTCACAGGTCTGGTATAACTCTGGTCAGTTAACATTCTCATAGGTCAGGTATAAATATGGTCAGTTAACATTCTCATAGGTCAGGTATAAATCTGGTCAGTTAACATTCTCATAGGTCAGGTATAAATCTGGTCAGTTAACATTCTCACAGGTCAGGTATAACTCTGGTCAGTTAACATTCTCACAGGTCAGGTATAAATATGGTCAGTTAACATTCTCATAGGCCAGGTATAAATCTGGTCAGTTAACATTCTTCCAGGTCAGGTATAAATCTGGTCAGTTAACATTCTCATAGGCCAGGTATAACTCTGGTCAGTTAACATTCTCACAGGTCAGGTATAAATCTGGTCAGTTAAGATTCTCATAGGTCAGGTATAAATCTGGTCAGTTAACATTCTCCCAGGTCTGGTATAACTCTGGTCAGTTAACATTCTCACAGGTCAGGTATAAATATGGTCAGTTAACATTCTCACAGGTCAGGTATAACTCTGGTCAGTTAACATTCTCACAGGTCAGGTAGGGACATCAAATTGTTGATGATCATACAGGTTCCATCCTTACCCTTTGTTCTTCTTTTTTCTTCATTTTATCTGTAAATAATTAGAAGTAAGGCACTGTTAATAAATGATTCATGAGTATACTTTTTATATACTAACTGCCTTGGTTTGAGCAGCTCAGGCAAAATCCTGACAGCTAAGACCAAAGGTCTATTTTCAGCAATTTTTAAAAAGTGTTGAAATGATGTCAGTCTTAACTTTGTAAAATGAAAATGGACAAAAAGCAAGGATCAATTTCAGCTTTGAGAGGTCAGGGGCACATCTACAAGACAATCCCTGTGGATGTTCAAAAGATTTTTAACAGAAATATATGAATAAAAACAGGATAATTATCAATATTGGAGATGTTTTCTGAACTTTCAAACTACTCCAAGGTTTCCTGTATCTAAATGATAAGTCTCCTTCATGATGAAAGCACTTTGAAGTCAGCGTATAACCTTATCACCATGTAAACATCTTAGTATAATGTATACTTTCTTTCCCAGCAGATTTGAGGAAAATCTTAACTCATTTCAAATTTACGTTACAAATGACAAAGACATACCTCTGTTACAGTAGACACAGACATACCTCTGTTACAGTAGACACAGACATACCTCTGTTACAGTAGACACAGATATACCTCTGTTACAGTAGACACAGATATACCTCTGTTACAGTAGACACAGATATACCTCTGTTACAGTAGACACAGATATACCTCTGTTACAGTAGACACAGACATACCTCTGTTACAGTAGACACAGACATACCTCTGTACAGTAGACACAGACATACCTCTGTTACAGTAGACAGACATACCTATGTTACAGTAGACACAGACATACCTCTGTTACAGTAGACACAGACATACCTCTGTACAGTAGACACAGACATACCTCTGTTACAGTAGACACAGATAAACCTCTGTTACAGTAGTCACAGATATACCTCTGTTACAGTAGTCACAGATATACCTCTGTTACAGTAGACACAGATATACCTCTGTTACAGTAGACACAGACATACCTCTGTTACAGTTGACACAGACATACCTCTGTTACAGTAGTCACAGATATACCTCTGTTACAGTAGACACAGACATACCTCTGTTACAGTAGACACAGACATACCTCTGTTACAGTAGACACAGACATACCTCTGTTACAGTAGACACAGATATACCTCTGTTACAGTAGACACAGACATACCTCTGTTACAGTAGACACAGACATACCTCTGTTACAGTAGACACAGACATACCTCTGTTACAGTAGACACAGACATACCTCTGTTACAGTAGACACAGACATACCTCTGTTACAGTAGACACAGACATACCTCTGTTACAGTAGACACAGACATACCTCTGTTACAGTAGACACAGACATACCTCTGTTACAGTAGACACAGACATACCTCTGTACAGTAGACACAGACATACCTCTGTACAGTAGACACAGATATACCTCTGTTACAGTAGACACAGACATACCTCTGTTACAGTAGACACAGATAGACCTCTGTTACAGTAGACACAGACATACCTCTGTAACAGTAGACACAGACATACCTCTGTTACAGTAGACACAGACATACCTCTGTTACAGTAGACACAGACATACCTCTGTTACAGTAGACATAGACATATACAGACATACCTCTGTTACAGACAGACATACCTCTGTTACAGTAGACACAGACATAGTAGACACAGACATACCTCTGTTACAGTAGACACAGACATACCTCTGTTACAGTAGACACAGACATACCTCTGTTACAGTAGACACAGACATACCTCTGTTACAGTAGACACAGACATACCTCTGTTACAGTAGACACAGACATACCTCTGTACAGTAGACACAGACATACCTCTGTTACAGTAGACACAGACATACCTCTGTTACAGTAGACACAGACATACCTCTGTTACAGTAGACACAGACATACCTCTGTTACAGTAGACACAGACATACCTCTGTTACAGTAGACACAGACATACCTCTGTTACAGTAGTCACAGATATACCTCTGTTACAGTAGACACAGACATACCTCTGTTACAGTAGTCACAGACATACCTCTGTTACAGTAGACACAGATATACCTCTGTTACAGTAGACACAGACATACCTCTGTTACAGTAGACACAGACATACCTCTGTTACAGTAGACACAGACATACCTCTGTTACAGTAGACACAGACATACCTCTGTTACAGTAGACACAGACATACCTCTGTTACAGTAGACACAGACATACCTCTGTTACAGTAGACACAGACATACCTCTGTTACAGTAGACACAGACATACCTCTGTTACAGTAGACACAGACATACCTCTGTTACAGTAGACACAGACATACCTCTGTTACAGTAGACACAGACATACCTCTGTTACAGTAGACACAGACATACCTCTGTTACAGTAGACACAGACATACCTCTGTTACAGTAGACACAGACATACCTCTGTTACAGTAGACACAGACATACCTCTGTTACAGTAGACACAGACATACCTCTGTTACAGTAGACACAGACATACCTCTGTTACAATGGACACAGACATACCTCTGTTACAGTAGACACAGACATACCTCTGTTACAGTAGACACAGACATACCTCTGTTACAGTAGACACAGACATACCTCTGTTACAGTAGACACAGACATACCTCTGTTACAGTAGACACAGATATACCTCTGTTACAGTAGACACAGACATACCTCTGTTACAGTAGACACAGACATACCTCTGTTACAGTAGACACAGACATACCTCTGTTACAGTAGACACAGACATACCTCTGTTACAGTAGACACAGACATACCTCTGTTACAGTAGACATAGACATACCTCTGTTACAGTAGACACAGACACAGACATACCTCTGTTACAGTAGACACAGACAAACCTCAGTAGACACAGACATACCTCTGTACAGTAGACACAGACATACCTCTGTACAGTAGACACAGACATACCTCTGTTACAGTAGACACAGACATACCTCTGTTACAGTAGACACAGACATACCTATGTTACAGTAGACACAGATATATCTCTGTTACAGTAGACACAGATATATACCTCTGTTACAGTAGACACAGACATACCTCTGTTACAGTAGACACAGACATACCTCTGTTACAGTAGACACAGATATACCTCTGTTACAGTAGACACAGATATACCTCTGTTACAGTAGACACAGATATACCTCTGTTACAGTAGACACAGACATACCTCTGTTACAGTAGACACAGACATACCTCTGTTACAGTAGACACAGATATACCTCTGTTACAGTAGACACAGACATACCTCTGTTACAGTAGACACAGACATACCTCTGTTACAGTAGACACAGACATACCTCTGTTACAGTAGACACAGACATACCTCAATTACAGTAGACACAGATATACCTCTGTTACAGTAGACACAGATATACCTCTGTTACAGTAGACACAGATATACCTCTGTTACAGTAGACACAGACATACACAGATATACCTCTGTTACAGGAGACACAGATATACCTCTGTTACAGTAGACACAGATATACCTCTGTTACAGTAGACACAGATATACCTCTGTTACAGTAGACACAGATATACCTCTGTTACAGTAGACACAGATATACCTCTGTTACAGTAGACACAGATATACCTCTGTTACAGTAGACACAGATATACCTCTGTTACAGTAGACACAGATATACCTCTGTTACAGTAGACACAGATATACCTCTGTTACAGTAGACACAGATATATCTGTTAAATACATGGGTTCAGAAAAGTTTATTCAGAGTCACTGTGGACTATTTACACATTTGTCTACATTATATCAAAAGAATTCTGTTATGAATCGTTTGAACAAGAATTTATTCCTTATGCTGTTACTATAGTGAATAGCTTATTCATTTGAAGACTTTCACGATAGAAATAAGCAGACCTGTGTTTTGTGGTACATCGTCATGACTGGGAGGATCATTCTTTTTCTTTGCCTTCATTGGAACGTTAGCACCAGGTTTCTTTGGACTTTCTTTATGCTGTGGTTGGGACACATGAGGATGCTGTCTAGCAGCCCCAGGGCCTTGATGAAAAGGTTCTTTGTCCACTTTCTGAGCCTGACCAGTTCCAGGTTTATAGTAGTAATAGTACTGGTGGTCATACATCCACTGATGCTGTGGGTGAATGTTTCCATGATATCCAGCTCCACCACCATGCCATTTCTTTTCATCTACTTGTTGCCATGGATAATGTTGTTGCTGTGGATACTCCTGACCATAAAAGTACTGTGGTCGAGTTGGATGATGTTGATGTTCCCGTTGATCATCAAACTGTTCTTTATATACAGCTTGATGATGGTATTCTCCTTCTTTTCTTTGACTTTGATATGGCCCTACATTCAAAGGTTGAACTCCTTGGGGGTTTTCATATGGAATATAATGGCTTTGAGGATATTCTGCAGGCAAATTTTGATATTCCAGAGTTTCTTTATACATAGGTTGCTCTTGAGATGATTGACCTTGGTGAAAGTGTTGAACTTGAGGAGACTCTTTGTGACCTTGGAATGGTTCCTTGTGACTTATATCAGCTGGAATTTGTCTTTGGAACTGTTCCCTAATTTTCTGTGTGTTACATTCAGCATTTGGGAATGAAACATCTTGCTTCTGATCAGTTGTGTGAGGTGAAGACGCTGACTGTTCCTGCTGTGACAATTCTATCTGTTTAGAATGGTCACCAATACTTGGAGTACTGCCATGTCTATTGCCTTGCTGGTGCTGCAGTTCAGTGACATCAGTAGGTTGATCTTGAGACATGGCTGGCTGTGAACATAAAGTAGAATGGGACTGATCTTTACTTTCTGAATCAATCGGCTTGCAAGTTCTTGTTAAACACCCTATCATGTCTGACCCCAGACCAGCAGAAACATTAGATTGCATGCTGTCATTGATTCGCATCCCCGATGAAGATTCTAGCTGAATGACAGCCAGTTGAGGTGGCAAAGGAGAGACCTTAGTATCCTCTACTTTTGCTGATACTACAACAGTTCCTGTTTGTTCTCCCTCTTGGTCTTCCATTTCGTCTTCTTCTGCTGTTTCATAGTCTTCCTCATTGTCTCTATCCTCATCCATATCTTCATGTAATTCAATCGGAAGCCTACTTGATGTCCTCAAGGAGTCTATATCCACATCTAAGGTTTTAGTAGATGTATCGTTCTCAGAGCCTGGCATCCTCAAGGTGTCTTTGTCCATGTCTAAAGTCTTGGTAGATGTGTCAATCTCAGAGTCTGGTGTCTCAGGTGTATTCTTATCAGATTTAGAAATATCTTCTGTAGGACTTGATGTTTCTGATATGCCTTTTCTTGTTTCAAACAATGTACTACTCCTTTGTGGCCTTAACGACCTACTCACCCTTCCGGTCGGAGGTTCAGGCTTTTGAAATAGATTTGCTAAATCCTTGACAGATTTTCTGTCCTCAGTTATAACTCCTGAAGAAATGTCTTTGCTTAATGTCTGTGAATCTACAGTGGACCTCCTTGGTGTAACTGTCTCTACAGATCTGCTGGAGGTTCTGTTGTCAGATTTTAAATGATCCAGCATTGACCTTCCATCTATCAGAAACTTTTGAGGTCTATTTGAGAGAAATTTTACTGCCAACTTTTTAGACTCTTCAGTCATGACATCATGTGTATCCTTTTTATCAGGCTTGATATTTGTCTCTTTACCAATGCCTACATTTCCTCCCTGTGATTGTATATTGGAAAAGCCATCAAGCTGTGAAATTTCTTCCTCAGATGGTGGAGCTGTGACTGTTGAAGGCTCCTTGGCTGTATTCTGAGAACCAGGTCTAGGTGTAGGTTTTGGATGGACAGGTGGTGGAGCTGTGACTGTTGAAGGCTCCTTGGCTGTATCCTGAGAACCAGGTCTAGGTGTAGGTTTTGGATGGACAGGTGGTGGAGATGTGACTGTTGAAGGCTCCTTGGCTGTATCCTGAGAACCAGGTCTAGATGTAGGTTTTGGATGGACAGGTGGTGGAGCTGTGACTGTTGAAGGCTCCTTGGCTGTATCCTGAGAACCAGGTTTTGGTGTAGGTTTTGGATGGACAGGTGGTGGAGCTGTGACTGTTGAAGGCTCCTTGGCTGTATCCTGAGAAACAGGTCTAGATGTAGGTTTTGGTTGGACAGGTGGTGGAGCTGTTGAAGGTTTGTCAGCTGTATCCTGACAGCTTTGTGTTGGGACAGGTTTTGGATGGACAGGTGGTGGAGCTGTGCCTTTTGGGTGTTCCTCAGCTGTATCCGGAGAACTTTGTTTAGATGTAGGTTTTGGTTGGACAGGTGGTGGAGCTGTTGAAGGTTTGTCAGCTGTATCCTGACAGCTTTGTGTTGGGACAGGTTTTGGATGGACAGGTGGTGAAGCTGTTGAAGATTTGTCAGCTATATCCTGACAGCTTTGTGTTGGGACAGGTTTTGGAGGTATCATCTTTAGAGATGGAAAAACATAGATATCTCCTGTAGTATCTTCATCATCTGTTTCCTCTTCTAATATCAGACTATCTCTGTTTTCTTCTTGCCTATCTATCATACTTTCAGATGTTGAACTCCATGAATAGACATAACTGTCTTGTGGCTGGTCTGACTGTTGATTTGTCTGTCTACTTATCTGAGACATAATTGATGAAGATCCACTCTCAGCAGTTCTTCCTGGTATGAACACACCCTGCTGTGCAGATGAACCATCTTCAATACCATCTACTTGGTTTGGTTCCATTGAAGATTCTAGAAAAAAAAATCAGTTCTAGAAACACTTTTGAAAAATACCTTCCTAGTAATGATTCTTGAAAGCTATGTATATACCTTAATTAGAATTGACAATAAATCCCTTTAAAATAACCTAAATCACTAAACGCTTTAAATTCCTGCTTAAGTGACAGCCTATGATGCTGACAAAACCATAAATTTGATATATGATAACCAGAAACTTTCAATATCTGATAAATCATTTTATTCATCTATTTCTAAAAGAATTTTGTAACAATCTTAAATCAGTACATGTAGTTCGAAAATCTAATAGATGTGCTATTCTTCAGTTATCATTTATTTCAAGGTTTCATACTTACCTTATTTGCTTTACTAAACTGAGTTTTGAATTCATGACTAATTATTACTCAGTGTGTAGTTTTTGATAAATAATGCTTCTAAAAACTAAGTGAAAACGAAAGTAGATCAAACACAATTCAAAATTTCAGTTATAATAGCACTTTCTTTGAAAATGAGAATGTTTGTTTTCAAAAATATCAAATAAAACATTGATTTTATCAATAACACAAAGAAAAGTAGTTAAAACCGTTCCTGAAATACAGAGTTCGCCCAAAACACTGGTATTTAACTAAAGTCAAAAACGAAAGTAAACACTGTAAATTTCACTTATAATGTACATTTTCAGTAATATCTTCATCATATTATCATGTAAACTGCCCTGTTACCTTTTACTAAACGGTAGCAATTAATCTGGAAGAATTAGACTAAGACATCCTTGTAGACGAAGTCGTAGGTTTACTCGTTCTTGTTACACATTGCACTACTCTTTGAGTAGCTAGAAACTTACCTTACATTTGCTAATTCACAATCAGCTGTGACTTTAAAACCTCGAGGAATATATGTTATTTCATCGGTTACGATTGAAAATAATTGAATGACTGGTTAATAACTTGATCGCAATTCCGTACTGCGTCTATATTTTCGGTTTCTCCGCAAAGTCTGCTACTTTCGTTTTGATCTTACCAGTGATTGGCTAACTAATATAACGTCATCTTTTCATAAGAAAAAGAAATTCCCTTTGTCTAATATTGATGAAAAATAGCGTCAAATTACCAAAATGCGTAGTACTTAATAAAACAGACGGAGAAAGATATAACACAACTACAAAAATAATAATGACAATAATAAAATCCGGAACAAATAAAACGTCTTCCAGTTTAAATTTACAATCACGTTGTCGTTTCCTGTTTTAAAAACGCGGCATTCAACATTCATCACGAGTGATTGTTAAAATTATAACAACTTGTAGGTTACGGTAAGTGAATTAATCAACTGTAATGCGTATCAGTTTGGCATGTATATACATATCAAGATAACACGACTTTCCAAATGATAGTACGTTTAAGTGATATTATCTAATAATTTTTAGGTCCCTGGTTTAGGTTAGGACAATTTTGAAGTCCATCTAATGCCTTGAAAAATGTAAAGCCAAACACTATCAGTAAACCCCGTTACCAGCATTATCACAACTGAGCTTTTTTCAAAAAGCCACTGAGGGATCTGAAGCATGCAAGAGTGGAAAGGCCTCACACAGGCCCGTCCATCAGACTATGGTTAGTAGTTAGTGGTTAGGTCAGTGTATGTGCAATTATAACTAACACTTTTTTGGTTGCCATATCTCGAGTCCTTATCAGTCAATCAACTAAGTTACTTTATTACTTTACCAATGTCTATTGCTTTCTGATAATCCATCCATTCTGGCTACATACATCTGTTTGCTTTTCTGACTTTTTGTAATTATGTATGTGTGTTTTCTGTGAATGTTTTGATTGCGAAGGTTTATGAGAGGTTACGACAAACAGTGACATTATGATAGGAAGAGATTATCTAGGATAGATTTCAGTTTTTGAGAGTGTACCTGTGAATCATTACACAAGTAAGACGATTGGAATATGTTTATGGCTATGTGTTTAGAAGGAGTACTTTGTTAATTCTGATGGGTTTCATTTTGAGTAGAAGTAGAGGGGATTAATTTGTCATTTCTACCCTACATACTATAACATACATTCTGTTATATCCCAGGGTTTGAGTAAAAGTAATATTTTTATCTGGTGGGAAATGGGGTAGATGATGGTTGGGGTCTTGTATGGTGTACAGTGGACCTTTGTCAGTATCTGTTTGTGACTGTATGTTTATTGGATTTGTTTAGGATTTTAATTTCATTTCTTTGATCAGTATCTAAAGTATGATATTTGGTTGCTTGTTATGGACAGTGGAATTTTGATTTATGCCTTTTTTTGATGTCCCTATGTTCTGTGTTAGATAAACAAACATGTTTTATCATTCAGTATTTATTTATCTCAGTGTAGTATACCTTGCCTACATTTATTGAGTCCATATGCCACTGGCCAAGATCTCAAACTTGATTCCGACTGAACGATCAGTTTATTTCCATAGGATGGAGAGGACTCACCTTGATTTGATCTATACTGAACATATTAGTGGATAAAAGTCTGGGGTATATATATATTTCTATTGATGAAAATATGTGATTTGCTAATAAACCACACAGCAATGTTTTGATTGTTATAAAAGTTCTCTGTATTTTTGTTTTAGTTGTTTATATAATGAGGTTTATTTACTCTTTAGCTTTGTGTAAATTTTGTTGCTGTTTCAGCGGTGTCATTTTTGGGTTGTCATTCAGAACCCACATGAGTCTTTCTTTTCTCTTTTGGAGCTTAACGTCCTTGTTCCGGTTATAACCGAGCCTAGGACACAACCGTGTGAGACCACAACTGCTTTTGCTATATGTGGGTTGGATGGGGGCATGGAGGAGGTCACTGCCAACCTCATGAGGTGTCAGATTGCACCAATGAATGAGAGTATCAGTGGTAATCCTCTCTGGTACAGTCTCCCCGGGATCCTACCTATAGTGAATGGTGTTGTGCAGGTTTCTGGTGTTTAGGAGATATCTTCCTTTTGACGTTTCTGTTTACCGTTTATATTTTATCTTAATAGTCAACCTTTCCTAGAAATTTAATGAGAAGTCTATGAACTAGTCTTTCATTTTCATTTGATGTGAAAACCTGGCTAATGGATGCATATTGGATTTGTATTCTTTTTAATTAAGAAATGAGACCTTTTCTTTCCTGGTTGGATCTAATGCAATGTGTGGATTTTTTTAGGTAATGAAGTTTTAAGTGCTAATTCTATAGCAATAATTTCACTTGTAGCGAAAAGGAGTACTGATCGGTCAATCTGACTGATAATGCAATGTTGTTTTCTCCCAAATAAAAACCTAACCCTGCTCAATTCGTTTGTGGATTTTTTTTATCCATGAGTATGACATTGGGTATGATCATTATTTTTTTCATCAAATTGATAATGCAATTGCCCTAGTTTCTGTTGGATTTTCCATTTTTGTTGGTTTTGTCAAAAAATTTTGGTACTTATTTCAGGAGTGTCTAATTTCCAAAGTGGAGTAAGATTTGGAATAATTTCTTCAGTTTTAACCTTTTCTAAGTTGTGTTCCTGTAGAAGTTAGTTTGTTACATAGTGATATGTGTGTTTTTACTTCTATAATGATTTTTATTCGGGTCTGAGTGTTTGTGTTCTGGCCCAATATTGAAGCATGAGTTTTTCCCTCTTTAATTTTAATGGCAATCCTTGGATACAGCTAATATGCGAAATGACGTAATTTTTTATGTGCCTAAGGCTATTTTTTTACGCTTTATGCTGAATTATATTTAACAATTTTATTGCATTAACTGAAGCCTAATGGTAAACCAGACAGCCATGGTCTATTTTTGATCTAATAAGTGCTTTATACAGAGTTAATAGAGTAAATTTGTTTGTACCAAGTTTATTTCCAGAGATGTATGTTAATGTGTTAAATGTGTTTTTGCAGCATTCTTTTATATGTTTGATATAAGGATTCCATGTTAATTTTCTATCAAAAATCATACCCAAATTTTGCATTTCTTTATCAAACTGAATTTCATTTTCACCTAGGTATATCTCTGGACATTTTTTTCCCCTGAAAAAGACATGGCTGCTGTTTTTTCTTTTGATATTTTAAACTCCCATTGATCACCCCATTCCTGAAAAGTGTCTAGGGTGTTTTGAATGTTATTGCAATTATATATATTGTATCTTTTTATTGCTTTGCCAAATGCTGGTATCATCCGCAAACTGACCCATGTTAGCTCTTTTCATTATTTAGTTATTATTATATATAATGAAGAGTGTTGGAAATATAACACTACCTTGGGGGATGCCTTTGTCTAATATAAGTTCTTCTGACATAGTGTTGTTAACTCTTACTTATATTTTAAGATCTTTTAGGAACTGGATGATAAATTTTAACATGTTTTGGATATTCCTACTTCTTAAAATGCTAGTAAATTAATATGATCTTGTGTCAAATTATGTTGTAAGTTTTTTTAGTCGATGAAGACAGTTATAGTATAAAAGTTTTGACAAATTGTTTTTAATCTCTTATGTTTTTCAGACCAGTGAGTTTAAAGTTGACCTATGACTCCTGAAATTGCCTTGGTATTCAACAATTGAATTGTGGGAACTAATCTAATGATTTAATCTATTGTTAAACATGGTTTCTAGGGTTTTACATAAGTGTGATGTTAAGGAAATAGGTCTGTATGATGCTGGAATTTCATTGTCTTTACCAGGTTTTAGTAAATGAAATTACCATAGCCTTATTCCATGTGTAAGGGTATGAACCAGAAGCCCAGATTTTATTGATCAGATTTATTAGTTTGTTAACTTTTGGTGGACAGTTTTTGAGAATTGTATAGGAAAGTTTATCAATGCCAAGTGAAGTACTCATCTTAGATTTAAGTAAATGTAAATAAGATGAAAAGGTCAGTGTTTTCTTTACCTGTGTCTTCAAGTTTTTGTTGATTTCATGCTGTTTAGTGGTTTTTATTTTCTAAAAAAATCTTTAGAACAGTTATCTTTACTGCTTGTTTTTTGAAATTGTTTGGCCACAATGTGTTGTTGGATCATTTGTTATCATGGGTATAGAAGTCTAGTAAGAACATTTTTTGTTCATTGTTCTGGATGATTTTCTAATGGGTGTGGCGGTAATCCCTGTTTTAGATGTTTTGTTTGTTTTCCTGGTACGGTAGCTTGAAATTTTTTGTCAAGTGGAAAATTCATTTGAGTGGTGGGGGTTTGTGTGGATTTTGTTGGGGACAATACAGATATGTTTCTGGAGTCTGTGCTAGGGCATTAATGTGATGTCTGATGAGGATTCTTTAATTGGAGTGTTGTTCTAATTTTTTTTTTTTTTTTTTTTGTCAATGGTCATGTCTAAGCCAATTCCTATTTCTTGTACTAATGTATTGTAGAATGTTTTGTGGTGTCCTCTAAGGTTGCAAGGGCCAGTGACACAAAAAGAATTCTTCATGTGTTAATGAATTGTTGTTGTGTCATGTGTTAATGAATTGTTGTGTCATCAGCTTGAAAAGACATATTTGTTGTGATGTAGAAATTAAAGGATGAGTCGGTTTAAAATCTTGATGTATATAGATGTGTCTTTACTGACCTGTTTGGAAGAGTTATATATAGCTTGAAGCAGATTTTTATATATTTGAAGTTTTGCCTGTAGAATTTATAATAAGGGCATCATTGCCACTAGCACAACCTCTGTTTTTTCCCCAATCCAAGTGTTGGATTCCCCAAATAATGGTAGTAAAATAAATTGGCAAAATATTGGATGAATCCTTCAACAAAGTATATGAGCAAAACATGAAAGACAAATCTTTCAAGTATGGTTGAATTAAATGTCTTTGCCTTCTCTCCCTCCTGCCCCTTCTAACTCAACACCAGTTGTCCAGGCTGGCCCCAATCCCAATGTAATATAGACGAGGAATATCTTCAACTGGTATATACACTACCTTGTGGGATCCCGTTGAATTGAAACTGCTGATAATATAATAATTACATATAGTTTACTCCTTTCAGATGGCAGAAACGCCCAATGAATTCAAACTAAAAAATCCTCCAACAGATGGAATTTCAGCTGCAAAATTCGGTCCAAATTCAAGTCAATTTCTACTGGTGTCCTCTTGGGACACATCAGTTCGTCTTTATGATGTTGTTGCCAATAATATGCGACTCTCCTATCAACATCCAGCTCCTGTGCTAGACTGCTGTTTCCATGTAAGTTTACTATATATCATCATAATTGTTTTTCGTGGTGAATATCTAGACTAAACATTGACATAAATTGAAATTGTCATGTATATTACTATAATTAGTGATTCCATAAATAAGATGATTTTATATGTCATATGTTGTCCATCTGATTGTGTGAGAGATCAAAATTTGCATTAATTAATTAATATATTAAAATATTACAGGATGCAGTTCATTCTTATAGTGGAGGACTGGACAATACTGTCATGATGTTTGACTTCAACACTAATGCAGGTATGTATGGCTAACAAAGATTTATCATCAAAGTTTCATAAAGATCTTAATGTTAAAATAAACTTGATTTATTGAACCCTGTGTAGAAAAAGGTACAGAAATCAACTTGTCTGTTGGTATTAACACCTGTGTGGAAAAAGGTACAGAAATCAACTTGTCTGTTGGTATTGACACCTGTGTAGAAAAAAAGTACAGAAATCAACTTGTCTGTTGGTATTGACACCTGTGTAGAAAAAAGTACAGAAATCAACTTGTTTGTTGGAATTGACACCTGTGTAGAAAAAGGTACAGAAATCAACTTGTCTGTTGGTATTGACACCTGTGTAGAAAAAGGTACAGAAATCAACTTGTCTGTTGGTATTGACACCTGTGTAGAAAAAAGTACAGAAATCAACTTGTCTGTTGGTATTGACACCTGTGTAGAAAAAAGTACAGAAATCAACTCGTTTGTTGGAATTGACACCTGTGTAGAAAAAGGTACAGAAATCAACTTGTTTGTTGGTCTTGACACCTGGCCAGCATCCATCTGTACACCCAGGACACTTGAAACTAAGATGATCTTTTTCCCTTTAGTGCAAAGAAAAGGTAAAATAAAGCACCTATAGTCACAGTGTATGTTTTGAAACATAATAGAACAGTTACCATTCTGATTTGTTTTGTTTGCCTTCAGGCACGACTGTTGGAACACACGACTCTGCAGTGCGATGTGTGGAGTACTGTCCCAGTGTTAATGTAGTCATTACTGGCAGCTGGGATTCAACTGTCAAACTATGGGACCCCCGTACACCATGTGGGGCAGGCTCATTTAGTCAACCAGATAAGGTATAATGTACAAAAAATACTTAGCTGGAGAGCTTTGGTATGGTGATAGAAACTTAAAATCAGACTAGAAAATATTAATATGTTCCACCATTATGCAGCTGATCAATATGATATATATATATCATGTACCTATAAACTTTCCATCAAACTTAATGCAAAGGTCAGTTATGGCAATACTCAGGAGTTTCAGGGTTCCAAGATCAAGGTTATTATTAATATTTATAGAAAATCATCAACTAAATAAGTGATGCACTAATAACTTCATTTCTTTAAAGATTCAGATCAAATATAATGCAAAGGTCATCTACATATGTTACTATTTATAGAATACTATCAACTGTGTCAGTGAATCTGTTGTGACTTCATTTCTTAAGGTATTTAGATTGACCTGTACACCATTAAAAGATACCTTGCATGAATCAACGTTTTCAAGTCAAAATAACTTTTGATACTAATTTTATGTATATGGTGACTAAATTCGTGGTTAGGTAAAGTTTTCCTGTTACAGGTGCACACTACTTCTGTGGTTACTTAATTCGTGGTAAGGTAAAGTATTTCTGTAACAGGTGTACACTATGTCTGTATGTGGTGACCGACTCGTGGTTGGAACAGCAGGTCGCAGGATATTAGTGTGGGATCTTCGTAACATGGGCTATGTCCAGCAGCGACGTGAATCAAGTCTCAAGTACCAGACTCGCTGTATTAGATGTTTCCCTAACAAACAAGGATATGTCCTCAGCTCAATAGAAGGTAACTATAAAGGAGCTGGATAAGCAAAATCATAGGGCTATAAATATATTCAGGTTTATAACAATTGGAAGATAAAATCAAAATACGTTCATTTTGCTCCGAGTCCTATTTGTCATGGTGTTTTGTTTTGTTTTGTCTTGGGGGCATTTTTTGGGTGAAAGGAGGGAATGGCTGTTAATTTCTAAAATGCATAACATTTGTCTTTTTTTTCTGAAATGAGAAATGTATTTAATTTGCAAAAAAATTGAATTGTGCTTTTTGATATATAGGTCGTGTAGCTGTTGAATACCTTGACCCAAGTCCTGAGGTACAAAAGAAAAAGTATGCTTTTAAATGTCATCGTATAAAGGAAAACGGAATTGAATCCATCTATCCCGTCAACGCTATAGCATTTCATACCCAACACAACACTTTCGCCTCTGGAGGCTCAGATGGCTTTGTCAATATCTGGGATGGCTTTAACAAGAAACGCCTCTGTCAGTTCCACAGGTAAGCTACAAAATACATATATTTGTGTTTTCAACGATATTGTATATCAAGGCTGTATAGCGTTCATTGTATTTTTATGAGGAGATTCCTCTACATGTGTAAGATCACACTTGTGATCAGCAAGTTGTTTACCTCTATTGTGCTACTCCTTTATATTACATTAAGGAATGATGTTAGTCATCATTAGACTGTAGGCTATTGAAATTGCCTTACATTGTCCATCCCTCTGTAAATGGTTCTTAAAGCTAGTTTTAGAGAGGAAGTGATTGGATTTTTATCAAATTTTATAGGTTCTCTTTGGTCCCTAGTTTTGCCTGTTTGATTTTGGGAATGATCAGAAAACAAAATGGTGAACAGGTGGCCATCTAGGATTTTGACAATGAAAGTTAGGTGTCATGATATCTTGGGGAAATATGGATGGATCTTTCTCAGATTTTATATATAGGTTCCTCATGGTTCCTAGTTGAAATGATCAGATGGAGTGCCCCAAAATCTCCAGAGAATCTCTTGTTACTGTAGTGTTATTTATTTAAGATGTATGCTTTTAGTAATGAATTGTAATAATACCTTTAGTATAACAACACCTGTAAAATCCATTTTAATTTTTTTTTTTTTTTTGATGTACAAATCGTATGACACATGTGATGTTTTTGTAAGATTTGCAGAGCTCGATTTTCATTTCTATTGTATCATTTACGATAATTTCAGATATCCCAACGGAATCTCCTCCCTTGCCTTCAGTAACGATGGACAGGCATTAGCTATAGCCACATCTTATATGTTCGAGGCAGATGAGATCAAGGATTTACCAGAGGATGCTATTTATATTCGAAATGTCAGTGACCAAGAAACAAAGCCAAAATCCTGAAAACTTTGATATACAAACAATTAATACATGTGTTCAATACAACGTGGCAGTTACCTATATATATTACACCTTAACATTTCTTACTACAACTTACATGTAACATTTTGCAAATTTACTTGAAGATATTGTTTATGATACAAACAAGTTAAGTTGTGAGGGTCTTCTTTGTTGATGTAAAGGTAAGGTATACTGATAATATTTAATGATACAAAGATCATTAAAGAAAAAATGTATGCATGTCAGATTTGATTATGCAAAGATCTTGGATAACTGTAATATGCAATTGACAGCAGCAGCAGCAGAAAGTTGTACATATTTTAGTGTGGATGTATTAAAATCAGGAAAAAAATGTCCAAAACCTGTAATTACAGATAAAGCAAGGTTTCACTTGTATAGTTTTAAAAACAATGCACTGAGGCTATTCCAGTAAAAAAGTCAACTTCACTCCAAGACTCCTAAATGAATCACCTCTAGCCATAAATCAGTTTCTTGTCTATTACTGCTAAGTATATTATTGATTAAGTTCTTCAGGTGGTACCCCTAAACAAAACCTGTACTACTTGGGTAGGAGGATTATTGCTATCAAAGGGTTACATTCCAAAAGGAGCAGGTGAATTGTATAACCTGAAGTTAGAGAAGATGGCATCAGATAGGTTTTTTTACTGGAATAGACTTGAATTCTTGTACATATTTTGAATTTTTATGTTTAAGAATATCAAAAATCATATTTACAGTTTTAGATATTTATTTGTTAAATGTAATATAAATTCTGTACTCATTCTGGCCAAGTATATGTATGTGACTTAAATAGAATTTTTCAATATTAGATCATTGTCAATTTGAATTTTGGGACAATGATTTTGTAAATAATTCTTCAGAAGTTAAACATACAATTGAACCTGATCACAGTTGTGATGTACATGGTATAAGAACAGTAAGGAAGATGTCAGGTTTCTAAGATAAAGTGTCTCAAAGTGGGATATCCAGTGGCTAACAAGAACATTTTAATGATTACTAAGACTTTATTCTACAATGAATTGTCTTGAAGAGGGATATTTAATGGTTAACAATAACATTTTAATAATTACTAAGACTTCATACAAAAATGAATTGTCTTGAAGTGGGATATCCAGTGGGTAACAATAACATTTTAATAATTACTAAGACTTCATACTAAAATAAATTGTCTTGAAGTGGGATATCCAGTGGGGAACAAGAACATTTTAATAATTACTAAGACTTCATACTAAAATAAATTGTCTTGAAGTGGGATATCCAGTGGGGAACAAGAACATTTGAATAATTATTAGTGTTTTACATTAGGATTAGCAATCCAAATTTGAATATTAATGTTCAAACAACTGTGTTCAGTTTATTTATAGATACTTATTAAGGATTTGAGTAAAACACACCTTTTTTGATCTGACAATCAGATTTAGGTTATCAGAAAATATTACAAGGGATAATCATAGGTAGAGGATTAATATTACATGTATATGTGATGAAAACCTTGTTAAAATGCAAGCTTATGATAAAAATTTCATCTGTATTTTCAAATAAAAAATTAATAATAATTATGAATCAAATAAAACATGATTTATGAAATATTTGGGGTTTTTTTTTTTGTAAAAACAATAAATACATGATAAGTTATGTAAAACAATATGCTGAATGTTTGCCTTCCCAAACAATATGTTTATATTTAAGTAAATTACCAGTAGTCCTCTGGATGTATGGTGAACCAACGCTTGTGTGATAAACAAAGGATGATTTTGAAAAGACTACATAACTCCTTTTAACACCTTGATGGTACTTGCTGTCCCTATTGCAGATCTTCATCTTTCTTAAAGATCATTTTATATGCATTTAAAAGAATTTGACAACATGGTCATGGTATGGCATTTTCTGACTTTCATTTGTGCAGAGATCTCCTGGTTTAAAAATCTCCAACTAAAAAGGCTTAATCACCATTACATGAACTTGTGTTTTCTGTAAGGGCAGTTTGATTAGATGGCATTTAGAAGAGTTACTGCACTTTACTTCATACTTTAAATCTTGTCTGGAAATCTCGGAATTTTCAACAGATCTCTTTCATCTGGTAGGCTTCATTACTATGACATGCAATTGTGTTTGAATGGCATTTTGATCCTACAATTTTTTTTAAAAATTAAATGAATTTATTGTAGTGACATGTGCCTCTTAGACAACTTGATTTATTGTAGTGACATGTGCCTCTTAGACAACTTGATTTATTGTAGTGACATGTGCCTCTTTGACAACTTGATTTATTGTAGTGACATGTGCCTCTTTGACAACTTGATTTATTGTAGTGACATGTGCCTCTTAGACAACTTGATTTATTGTAGTGACATGTGCCTCTTAGACAACTTGATTTATTGTAGTGACATGTGCCTCTTAGACAACTTGATTTATTGTAGTGACATGTGCCTCTTAGACAACTTGATTTATTGTAGTGACATGTGCCTCTTTGACAACTTGATTTATTGTAGTGACATGTGCCTCTTAGACAACTTGATTTATTGTAGTGACATGTGCCTCTTTGACAACTTGATTTATTGTAGTGACATGTGCCTCTTTGACAACTTGACAACTTGATTTATTGTAGTGACATGTGCCTCTTTGACAACTTGATTTATTGTAGTGACATGTGCCTCTTTGACAACTTGATTTATTGTAGTGACATGTGCCTCTTTGACAACTTGATTTATTGTAGTGACATGTGCCTCTTTGACAACTTGATTTATTGTTTCATTTTCATTCCATTATAAAACAAGAATGAATCTCTTACACGGGACAGGTGTATATTTTTCTGTGGTAGTTTTCTGTTCTTTATGTCTTTCTGTGTGTTCACAGAAACAAGGAAGCTTATGGGCTCTGTGCTCTAAGTCACCAGTACATTGTGTTCCTTGCTGATCACTCAGATTAAATGTGATCCACAAGCTCTCGGTAGCACATTGTCAGTAAAATGTAACCAGATGTCATTCCAACTTGTCTAGGTTTCGAAGTGTCCATTGGAATCATCTTCAGGACACTGTCTTCACATGAACTTTGAGGTAACACCCACAAACACTAAATTCTATAGCATAATAACATGTGATGGTAAGGGAGTTTATAGTTGTATGTGTCCAGACCATGCCATATTCCTAGAATATTTCACTTTGAAGCTGAATACATGTTTTAGTCATGTCATCAGTGTGTTGTATAAACACCTGAAGATTACGGCCTTGTAAAGGGATCAACTTAATTATTGTAGAACAGTGTATACAGTGAGAGAATTCAACATACAGTAATATCTACCCTATCATACACTGTGTCTTACAGGTACAATCACTATTACCTATAACACCTCATATCTACCCTATCATACACTGTGTCTTACAGGTACAATCACTATTACCTATAACACCTCATATCTACCCTATCATACACTGTGTCTTACAGGTACAATCACTATTACCTATATATAACCCCTCATATCTACCTCATCATACACTGTGTCTTACAGATACACACTGTCACTATTTCCTAAATATACATTGAAATTGGTCTTGGAGCCCTTTGTTTTTTCACATTTGTCTATGAGAAGAATCTTCATCATCCTGAACAGCAGACAACATTTCCAACCCTACACCTGCAGCTAGGATGTTCAGCCTGAAACAAACAAGTTGCATGATAATTGTATTATTAAGATTTCAAACCCAACAACCAGACTTGTAATTTGTTTTCTTTATCAATCATTTCTTTATATGAAGAGAAAAGTGGTATTTCTTTTGTCAGGTTGAAGCAGACTTACTATTTAGCATCATTTTTCTCAGTTCCTATGTTAATCAGAACAAAATATTGAACAGTCAAGTAGAAAATCTAACTCTGACCTTTGACATACCGACCTTGACATCTGGTCATAAGAATATCATCTTCAATTTGCTTCACAATTTTTCTGATAAAACATTGAGATAAATTATTCAAACCTGATCTTTGATTTACTGACCTTAATTTTTAGTAAGCAACTTCTCATTTGATTATGATCAATTATATCATAATACTGCAACTAAATATTTACCAGTAAAGATCTAGAAATACTGAACTTAACGATTGACACTATGTCACATATGACCTTTCATCAGATACTCTTGCTTTATATTAATTCTGTTCTCAAAATGTCATCACTAAATATTCCATTGAGGCATCTTGGGTTACAATTGAATTCTTACAGCTTAAACTAATAATTCTATCCAAGTTTGAACTATTTCTAAAACAATATAAACAAATTCTGCTCAAAAATGTAAAAATCCTATATACACTACATTGAATTTTAACTCCCACCCTACCCCCCACCCTCTCAAAAGGGAAATGTGAAATACTGGAGTCATGAAAGTTACAATTTTGGTAAAGCACTGCAAGACACTTCCATTCATGAAGAGTATTTGGTTCTACTTTTCTACTTTATCTGAGTATTGAAAAGTTGTTTTTAAAAATGTCCGTCAATTTGATCTATGTTTTGCCCCACCCATCAGCCCCTGGAGGTCAGCCAATGTCAATATGTGCATCTCATTGAACTGTCTGCTTTTACTAATAATTCTAATCAAGTTTGAACTATTTCTGAAAGAAAATAAATGATGTTCAAAAATGTAATTTTCCTTTATACACTAAACCATTGTAAGATACTTCCATATATGAAGAGGATATGGTTCTACAATATCTGGGTATTCAAAGGAAAATTTTTGAAATTTCAGTCATTTTTCACCAAGCCTAACAGTCCATGGGGTCTGCTGAGGTCAAAATGTGCATCTCATCAAACTACCATCTTATACTATAATTCCATCCAAGTCTGAACTATTTCCAATAGAAAATAAACATATACTGTTAAAAATGTTATTTTTTTTATTAACTATAGTAAATTTACCCCCTCCCCAGGGGAAAATGTGAGACCCTGGGGTCATGAAATTTACAATTTTGATGAAGCATCTGAGGACCTTTCCATCCATGAAGAGTATTTAATTCTACCATACCTGGGATTTCAGAAGATTTTTGAAGTTTTCCAAAAGAAGTTGAAAATGTTAAAAGTTTACTATGCACGACACATGATGCCAGACCAGAGGGGATCACAAAAGGTTAACCTGAGACTTTGTCTTAGGTGACCTAAAAAATTAAGATCTCTTTCACAAAACTAGTCTCTGGGTCAAAAATCCTTTCTTGGTCCACATTTTGTCTATGTTTCATTAATTTGGGTTATGATTAAAGATTTGTATTGTTCTAGTCAGCTGACATGCCATATGACTTTTAACTGGTCACAGTGAAATGATAAAAACCTCTATCAAGATGACTTTTACCTGTCTCCTGCTGTTATTTCTCACCTGTATAATCAGGTATTCAACCTTCACTAGAAAACGTGTATATTTCATTTCTCACCTGTCTGAAACCCACACCATCACACTAGAAATGTCAGAAACCTGAACAAATTTACACCACACCAATTGGATCTGAAAAATAAACCAATACATGATAAATATAGGCAGAGGAATTTCATAACACAAGTGATAATGTAAAAACAAAGATTTCTTGTATAAAATTAATAGTGTGTTGTACACAGGACACCCTCTAGTGGTGATACATTGTGTGTGGTACTCGGGACACCCTCTAGTGGTGATACATGATGTATGGTACACAGGACACCCTCTAGTGGTGATACATTGTGTGTGGTACACAGGTCACCCTCTAGTGGTGATACATTGTGTGTGGTACACAGGTCACCCTCTAGTGGTGATACATTGTGTGTGGTACTCAGGTCACCCTCTAGTGGTGATACATTGTGTGTGGTACACAGGACACCCTCTAGTGGTGATACATTGTGTGTGGTACTCAGGACACCCTCTAGTGGTGATACATGGTGTGTGGTACACAGGTCACCCTCTAGTGGTGATACATTGTGTGTGGTACTCAGGACACCCTCTAGTGGTGATACATGATGTGTGGAACACAGGACACCCTCTAGTGGTGATACATGGTGTGTGGTACACAGGACACCCTCTAGTGGTGATACATTGTGTGTGGTACACAGGACACCCTCTAGTGGTGATACATTGTGTGTGGTACACAGGTCACCCTCTAGTGGTGATACATGGTGTGTGGTACACAGGTCACCTTCTAGTGGTGATACATGGTGTGTGGTACACATGTCACCCTCTAGTGGTGATACATTGTGTGTGGTACTCAGGTCACCCTCTAGTGGTGATACATTGTGTGTGGTACTCAGGTCACCCTCTAGTGGTGATACATTGTGTGTGGTACACAGGTCACTTTCTAGTGGTGATACATGGTGTGTGGTACACAGGTCACCCTCTAGTGGTGATACATGGTGTGTGGTACACAGGTCACCCTCTAGTGGTGATACATGGTGTGTGGTACACAGAACACCCTCTAGTGGTGATACATTGTGTGTGGTACACATGTCACCCTCTAGTGGTGATACATTGTGTGTGGTACACAGGTCACCCTCTAGTGGTGATACATTGTGTGTGGTACACAGGTCACCTTCTAGTGGTGATACATGGTGTGTGGTACACAGGACACCTCTAGTGGGGATACATTGTGTGTGGTACACAGGTCACCCTCTAGTGGTGATACATTGTGTGTGGTACACATGTCACCCTCTAGTGGTGATACATTGTGTGTGGTACACATGTCACCCTCTAGTGGTGATACATTGTGTGTGGTACACAGGACACCCTCTAGTGGTGATACATTGTGTGTGGTACACATGTCACCCTCTAGTGGTGATACATTGTGTGTGGTACACAGGACACCCTCTAGTGGTGATACATTGTGTGTGGTACACAGGACACCATCTAGTGGTGATACATTGTGTGTGGTACACAGGTCACCCTCTAGTGGTGATGCATTGTGTGTGGTACACAGGTCACCCTCTAGTGGTGATACATTGGTCCCCTTACCCTTCTTACCTTTGGTACCTTGTCTGTTGTTATGTCCCATAAACAAATTCTCTGATCCACAGACGCTGTCACTACCTGTCTTTCTTCTACGAAACAAAGTCCTTTAAAAAATGTGCAAAGCAGAAATGGTAAGTTTGAATTATTCCATAGTTATCATTTTAAATTGTGTTATTTGAAATTCCTTGCCCTATAAATGTCAAAATTATTACAACCTATTGTATTTTTAGGATAATTTTATGTCCATATTTCTACAATGGAAATCTGTCCTCAATGACAAGTTCAAGGTCATGTAAACTAAACAAATCTTTAGAGATTATATTGAATTCAGCCTTATGTATTAGAGTGGCTCTCAGCACCCTTTGTAAGTACGTTCTTCCTCTTCAGTCATGACTATTGCACACTCAATTACACCTGTACATTCTCACCTGTAATCTGGGCGGAATGTGCATTTTCTTTCAATACACTCCAATTCATCGTCACCTCCAAACGCTTGTTGTTCTTGTTGGTTGCCATGGTGATATTTGACACACTGAGAGCGTTATCATCTCCGCCACTTCCCACCACATACTGACATCCTGTAAAAATGATGTATAGCTTTGCCAGAAAGGGAAATAAAATTGTACAGATCGGGTTTATCTTTTGAAAAATACATACTCATTTTGATTGTCAATTCCTCTTTAACTATCACTATCACATATATTTTAATGAATTGAATGGAAAGATATGTCTGTGCTTACCAGAAACTTTAAAGACATGTAAACTGTTAACTCCTGATTGATGTGAGGGAATCACAAATATGGGATGCAACATTTCTGTAACATCCATTCTTTTCTTATCACCATATCCTTTTTCAGTTGAATCTCCATGACAACCATGATCATCCTCAGCTGTATGATAATCCTCACCACCACCGCTGTTATGTCCTCCACTTGAACCACACTCTGACTGTACATGTTTATGATGCAGACTTTTATAATTCTCCTGGAGATATGAATTTATTCCTTGTTCTGAGGTAGTTTTTGAATTATTTGTAATGTCTGAAGTAAAGCCATCAGACTTGTTATCAATCAAATGTACATCATGGTAAGTTGTTTCTAGGAAATCCAAGATGAGGTGATTGAGGTCCCAGAATGCAACTTGTCCATCAGTGGCTGCTGAAAGACACACAAGATGGCTGCCGCTATCCTGTGTATGATGGATCAGACTCATTACATGAAGCACACAGTGGTCATGGAACATAGGCTCCCCTAGTAGGGTCAATGTCCGTGCTTCCTCATCAAAACTGTAGAACCTACAACAACGTGTGTATACTGTGTAACATGATTTGATTCTGAACAGGACACAAAGCAACAAGATGGTTGGACCATTAGGGATAACCTTTATATGACCCCAATCCTTTTCCCTGAGCAATTGTCGGCATAAAACATAAAAAGTGATCAAGAGCCTGGGTGACTGATGACCATCAGGATATAACATATTAAAACTGTGTGATTCTATAGACTAAATATCTCTCCGACAATAACCCCATTATGTCTAGTGCTGTACAATTAAAATGCAAGCAAATATTTCAACATGGTCCTGAAATGAATTCTCTGTTCCCTGAGTTTTTTGTTTTTTCTCTGAGTTTATTTCTATAGATAGATATGGAAAACAATTCACTCAATCATTATGATACTGAGTATAGGTATACCTTACATAGCCGTCTGAACAAGCAGCCATTAGTATGTGAACACTAATGGGTGCCATCAACCAAACATCCTGTGCCCTCACCACTGCCAGGTCCATAAAACGAGTCTCAGGATTTGGTTTGAGGTCATGACCTTTCCATGGCTTCCGGTTCTTGCTGTTCCAGTGATCCATCATATAATTACAAAGAGTTTCATGTGAAAATTTGTCTGCCATTAACTCTGTGTTACCATGGTGACTTGATAACGAAGGCATTGTCACTCTCCATACCAGAAGCTGAGCTCTGCCTCCTCCAGAGAACAACAGAATCCTGTCTGATTCTGGTTGTTTCCATGGCAACCCTGAACTGCAAATAGCCATTGTACGAACACTCGAAATGTGGCCTTGTAGAGATGTTAAATTCGCCATTTCCATCACTCCGTATGAATTGTCTTTAGAAAACGTTAAGGATACAGTTCCTTCTCAATTCTGATATCATTAACTGGTGCTTTCTTATTTTTTTAAACTCAAACCAGTGTGATAATATCATTTCACAATTTAAATATGATTGAACAGTGATGAGGAATTGTAGATATTGTGTGTAAGCAAAGCCTTAACTTTTTGTTTGAGTACTTTAAGAATTACCTGATACAATAATAAAAGGATACGTGTTAATAACAGCAGGTTAACTTGGGTGTCTTCACTACATGAGCCAATGACATGTACAGGGCTGCCATCTGGTGGGGTAAACACATTGTACAATAGATCATAATAATCCTGTCTCTAACCCCAATCCTATCCATACCCCTCTTACCTCTATCATAATAATCCTGTCTCTAACCCCAATCCTATCCATACCCCTCTTACCTCAATCATAATAATCCTGTCTCTAACCCCAATCCTATCCATACCCCTCTTACCTCAATCATAATAATCCTGTCTCTAACCCCAATCCTATCCATACCCCTCTTACCTCAATCATAATAATCCTGTCTCTAACCCCAATCCTATCCATACCCCTCTTACCTCAATCATAATAATCCTGTCTCTAACCCCAATCCTATCCATACCCCTCTTACCTCAATCATAATAATCCTGTCTCTAACCCCAATCCTATCCATACCCCTCTTACCTCGATCATAATAATCCTGTAACCTATGATCATAATCCTACTTCTTCTTACCTTGATCATAACTTTTGATATGAAGAATGTCTGTTATTTCTCTGCCATGCAGACTTTCCTGCAAGAGAAATGAAATAAAAAGATTATCATTTTGCCATCTGTATTCACAATATCACTCCATAGACAACCTGTTTTAATGAACAAATTTTTATGGTAAAAGTTCCATTTTAAATGAAAAACCGCAATGGAAATCCAGATATCCTTAAGGGACAGGATTGCAGACAAACAGAATAATTTTACATGAAATTCCTGACTGGGTTACAATATCAACTTCAGACATGTGAAAATACTACCTGCAAGTACACATATAAACTTTATTTAATTGACAACAATTACGAAACAATTTGTTGCAACTTATACTAATCACTCTTGTTGGACATAAGTGCATGAAGGGTCATACTGTGGGAGGAAATTAGAGTACCCAAAGAAAACCTAAGTGGCCGGCAGGAGTTGCATACCAAATGGTTTAGTGAAAGCTAACTGTGTTATCATTGTGCCATCTGATCACCCTACCTGTAAGTAGAGGACCATACCATATGGATCGTCTCAGCAATCTCAACAACCAATCATTGTTTTAGAACCAATACTCTCGTCACTATATATAACCTGAAAGGGGGTGAGTGTGCATAGCAAGCATGTAGTGTTAGATACTGTCACTTCCACACAGCTGGTGGGACATGTTTCTTTAGTTTAGTTGTGGATTATCATACTGAAGATCTGTGTTTGATTCCTGTTCAGGGTATTTAGGAGGAGTGTGTATTTTCTCCTGTCCTGGTTGTGGTATTTAGAGTATCTGGTTGAGATTAAGAAACGTACCTTGAGTAGAACTTGGTTAGTGGAGAGTTCGGTCTCACACAGAACTACTTCTCCCGTCCTGATATATACATATCTGATAGTGTTGCCATGGATACGGCTGTCCCAGGCTCTGTGTCCACCCCCACATGGTATTTGTACCAGTCTCTGGTTGTTCAGGCTACTCCACAATACGAAGTTGTTCTACAATACAAGTCAAAGTGAAGTACACGGATCTTCATAAAAATTTATGTTCCTGACGGTAAATTACCAAATGGAGAGAAAATATTAATAACCTATTTCTTGATAAACAAGGTTATTCAGTAAATTACAGTCACTCACTGACAAATCTACATCTCATACGTTACACACTCTCTCACTAAGGTGAATATGTATCATGTATAAAGTTCTCACGATTAGATGTGTAGAAAACAGGGGCTGGACAAGTTTTTTCTTTCATGTAGATCAAAAAGACAAAAATGTAGGGCCAAATTTGATATACAACATAACGTATCACAATGGTGAACCCATATCCCAAGTTTTAAATTTCCATGATTAGTGTAGAAAAAAGGGTCTGGACTTTTTTCTTTGATGTAGGTCAAAGGTCAAAACATAGGGCATACTTTTTTTATAAGCAACGCACCATCTTACCAGGGTGAACCCACACCAGGTCACCATCTATGTAGGTAAAATTAAAGTAAAAAACTTACTGAATGGAAACCATACACGAGAAGGTCACCATCTTTGTATGTAAAGTCCAGTCTGTCTAGCCAATCAAATCCTTTGTGTATCTATACATAGAAAGAATATGGTATTACAAATATCAGAATATATCAATTGTCTACACTATTTTGTCAAATTTAAAGTTATCCTGTCTTTCAAAATATTTTATTTAATTGAATTAATTGTGAATATTGAGAATGATGAACCAATATCATTCAGGTTTATTGTCTCAGTAGATGAGTACAAGCAAGTCTGATTCACAAGGTTTTTATCAGTTAGATATCTTAAGTTACCAAATACCAATAAAACTTTACTCCCATGAGTGGATAACATGTACCTCGGATACTTACCCTGTTAGTATGTAGAAGCACCAGTTTCTCTTCATTGATTTCATATTGGTTATATGTTCCATCTCTTCCAGCAGTGTAGACATAATTGTTGTGGCAACAAATATGTGTAACACAAGTTTTCCCATGAATCCGGTAGAAAGTTTGGACAGGTGACTGAAATATGACAAAATTCTTCTCACAATCTTTGTCTTGCTGTTTTATTTTCTTAATGGGTTAGTGGATGAATGTATTCCCCTGCTGCAATATTACATAAATTGTTATCTAGTACCCCAGGGGTACATTACATAGTTACCTAGTACCCCTGGGTTACACTACATCTTTACCTAGTACCCCAGGGTTACACTACATCTTTACCTAGTACCCCAGGGTTACACAACAAATTGTTATCTAATACCCCAGGGTTACACTACATCGTTACCTAGTACCCCAGGGTTACACTACATTGTTACCTAGTACCCCAGGGTTACACTACATAGTTACCTAGTACCCCAGGGTTACACTACATCTTTACCTAGTACCCAAGGGTTACATAACAAATTGTTATCTAGTACCCCAGGGTTACACTACATCGTTACCTAGTACCCCAGGGTTCCACTACAATGTTATCTAGTACCCAAGGGTTAGTAGAATGAATGTATTCCTCTGTTGCAACGTAACACTAGTACATTGTTACCTAGTACCCCAGGGTTACACTACATTGTTACCTAGTACCCCAAGGTTACACTACAAATTGTTACCTAGTACCCCTGGGTTACACTACATTGTGACCTAGTACCCCAGAGTTACACTACATTTTTACCTAGTACCCCAGAGTTACACTACATTTTTACCTAGTACCCCAAGGTTACACTACAAATTGTTACCTAGTACCCCTGGGTTACACTACATTGTTACCTAGTACCCCAGAGTTACACTACATTTTTACCTAGTACCCCAGAGTTACACTACATTGTTACCTAGTACCCCAAGGTTACACTACAAATTGTTACCTAGTACCCCTGGGTTACACTACATTGTGACCTAGTACCCCAGAGTTACACTACATTTTTACCTAGTACCCAACTAATATATCATAACTAGTGGACCAGAAAAAAATCCAACACCATCACTGAATAAAATAATTTCAAATTTCAGGTTTTCCTAAAACCAGTATTCTGTTTCATTTGAACAATAAAGTGTTGTTTTAACAATAAAGTGTTGTTAAGTGTTGTTTGAACTAAAGTGTTGTCTGAACAATAAAGTGTTGTGTTGTTTGAACAATGAAGTGTTGTGTTGTCTGAACAATAAAGTGTTGTTTTAACAATACAGTGTTGTTAAGTGTTGTTTGAACAATAAAGTGTTGTTTGAACAATAAAGTGTTGTTTGAACAATACAGTGTAGTGTTGTTTGAACTAAAGTGTTGTTTGAACAATAAAGTGTTGTTTGAACAATAAAGTGTTGTGTTGTTTTAAGAACAAAGTGTTGTTTTAACAATAAAGTGTTGTGTTGTTTTAACAATAAAGTGTTGTTTGAACTAAAGTGTTGTTTGAACAATAAAGCGTTGTTTTAACAATAAAGTGTTGTTTGAACTAAAGTGTTGTTTGAACAATAAAGTGTTGTTTGAATAGAATCATTATTATAATTGATACAACAGCAGTAGTATTTCACCAATCCCTAAACCCTTGTTTACATTAGCCATGATTTTTTAAAAACAATACACATCAGACTTTATCAGTCATTGTTATAAATAACATTCTTTGGCTGTCAAGATGACAGTCCAGGTAGCTTTCTTCTTGTTTGTTTATAAAATTATGTATTTTCCTACACTTGGAATCTGAAAGGCACCTAGTTGAAATCACAGACTTGTAATTCTATAGGCTGTCTAGTGTTCTGGCATGGATATTGCAGGACAATTGTAAAAATACTTATCACATAACTATCCTGTTATCAGTGTAATAACACATTACATAAATTCTTGTAATGACACAAGGTTGTAAGGTTTACATTGTTCCCATGTCAAAACTTCACAGCATCTAGTGCATAGTGACATCACCAAGAAAAAGAGTTACACAGTGAGAATATCACCAAGTTTGATTTTGTATAATTTAATAAAATGAAATGGTACAAAGAATCTTATGTTCATTTCCTTTTCATTCCATATTTATCTTTCAGTTTACCTCACCAGAGGTTTAATAGAATGAAAAAAATTCTAGAATACTTTCCATTATCTTATATGAATCTAAACTCATGTAACAGCCCCTTTAATACCACAGAAATCTGTAACTTTATCTTATAACTAATGTCATATAGGCTGTTAGTGTAATGCCATATTGCCACAAATCAAGGTCTTTAAAGAAACCAGCTGAGTACAATATTCAGATGGTCATTTTACAATTTCCATGACAGAGAGTAAAACAGTCTGTATGTTGATGATAAATCTTCTTACCTGTGACTGAGGGGAGAGAGATGTCCCCAAAGTGTAAACATATACACTACCAACACGGTCTCCACACACTAGGAGGTCAGAGGTCGTGGTAGCAGCTGACACCCACCGGTGTTTACTGGGAGGTAACTCTAGACTATGTATTTTTTGTAGGGATGCCTGATTTGATATGATTCTGAACTCCCAGTATATCTGTAATCAAACCAATGTAACCCTTCATCACCCCTTAATATATACCTTTTGCCAGGTATTTGTGTATTACACGTGACTTTACAAACTTTACATTGTGATGTAACAATGGCGACAAAAACTATAAGACAAAGCACTAAAAGGCAATAGACAAAATGGCTTCAACTTTGACATCAAAAATGTCTGTTTTATACATGTTTACCTCAATAATCAATTATGTGATAAAAAGAATCTTAAATTTGTTTCCATTTGATATTTAATTAATCGAATGTTTCTGTGAAATTAAAACATCGTAGATTCTCTTCATAAATTGTTTATTAAATGAAAATTCATGTATGATCCTTCATACATGCTGTTCAATTAATATCAATTGATGTTGTTCTATAAATTTAAATAAATAGTAGAATTGTACAACTGTGTGATAACTGCAATGGTATAGTTGCTGAAGTTTGCTTTCCTGTGAAAATTATGACAATTCACTAGGACAACATGAATTTCAATGAAGTATTAAGATTTTGGTATCAAATTCTCACCATTTCACCATCAGGTCCACTTGTCAGAAGGCTAGATGCCGAGATCCAGTGAATACTATAAATTTTCCCTGTGTGTACATCAAAATCTTTCTGACTCCACACCAGATCAACTAAATTGCAGGATGTATCTGTACAAAAAAAAATCCAGGAAAGTCATAGGAACACCATCAATAAATTATAGCAACCTTGACCTACTTTTCATAAATCAACAAAGATTGGATATGTCTGTCTTAAGTTTCTGAAGCTTTAGTGGGAAATGAGACAAAAATAACCAGGTACAGGTTTTTCCACATATATGTAATAAGTAAAAAACAAAATACACATTGAGTGTATTTTAAATATTGACAAATAACCAAATCATGTGCATTAAATGTGCCTCTTACCTGACTGATTGGTGTAAAATAAGCGGAGAGTTCCAGTTATGTTGCCAAGGGCAATGAGGTGTGTATGATAAGGACACTGGGCCAGGACAGTGTAGGAGGTGAAATCTACATCAGACATCAGGGTTACCCATGTCATGTCACTCCTACTGTGCAACAACAGTCGCCTGTAAACAAATTCTGTAAAAGTCTGATGGCTTCCAACATTCAATTCAGAATAATACCCTGCACCAATGAAACATGTAATAGCCAGTATCATACATCAATTAGAGGGATATTATAGTGATCTATAATGTAGATCTGGTCCTTAGATTGAGGTTGAGGTCTCTATGTCTTGAATAAAACGTGTTAAGGAATTGAAATATATATCAGATATAATTTACAGGACTATTACTAAAAATAAACACATTCTTCAGATAACTTTTTACCCCTGATTTGTCATAGTCATCACACAATCCCATGAAACCATGGCAACAATACGTGGGAAGTCTGTGTCCATATCCTGTAATACAACCACAGTAAACAAAGTCAGGGGCAGATAATCCACAATCACATACTATTATATATTCATAATACAGCTAGTAAGTAAAGACTGGGTCAGATAATCCACAATCACATACTATTATATATTTATAATACAGCTAGTAAGTAAAGACTGGGTCAGATAATCCACAATTACATACTATTACATATTTATAATACAGCTAGTAAGTAAAGACTGGGTCAGATAATCTGCAATTGTGTTTTATTATATATTTATAATACATGTAGTAAGTAAAGACAGGGGCAGATAATCCAACATCATATACAGATAAAACATTAATAACAGTAAGCAATAACTGATGCAAATAATCCACTATCAAATATAACAAACACATTCATATACTCTACTTCCAGGTATATCGTTATTAAGTTTAAGTTTTTGGATGGGTTTGTAGAAACTGTCAAATGAGACATTTGATCTAAGACCAACTTCAGAGGATAATGTGTAGTTTTATATCATGATACTATGATGTTAAATCACAACACTTCAATCATTATCTGGACAGTGGCAGATAATCCTCTATCGTATGTCACAACAGCCAATGCATAAAACAATAAATAAAGACACAAAAATGGGGAGATAACCCACCACCATTATGTCTTACCTGTTGGTTTGGTGGGACCAACACAACAGAAAGCAACTGTTCTGACATTTTTGCTTCATCCATTTGCCACACCCTGATACTACTGTCACCACCTCCAGTCACCTATATATACACACATGTTTAGCCATGAGGATATATTCACACATAAAATATATTGTCACTGTGTTATGATGGCTTGGGTTTTGTTATGTCTATATTTAGCTTATACTTATTATCAAGTTGAAATTTAACTTCAATTTTGTTTAAATATTTGTAAAAAACAAAACAATAATTATAGGTGTTTTTAATTAGTTTCAATACTGCAGGTATTACGATTTGGAATGTTTCTGCTGTATGGAATGTAACGAGGCAATGAAAAATCATGTCCAGCAATACTATTTCACAAACTAGAAAAAGCAGCTTTATCACCAAAAGTGTATATTTCATATACTTAGGTTCCATATACTTACAGCAAATTTCCCAGTATCCTCTACAGCCAAACTCCATATACTCTTACCCTAGAAAGGTTAAAATCATGATGACAGAAATGAACTAGCAATAGTGTATTTTATTGTTATCTAAAGTAATTTTCACCTTACTCAGGAGATATAACAGACACATCATTAACCATTAAACTCTAATGGTTTCCTATTATAAAGGCCAGCATGTCGCCTCTACAAACTCTAAGTCTCCTACTTGTTAGTGTTAAGAATTTTACAATGTATCATCATTGTATCAGGTCCTGTTTCCTTCGCCGACAATTTCCTTTATCTCTCTTTCCTTTATAACTTACCAATTACATTGTATTTTTAATCATAATCCAGGTTACCCAGTACATCCTACCCATACAATATATAGTAATAGTTTGGAGTAATACCTTGTGACCTTTGAACCTTTGTGTTATCTTCCCTTGGTTATCCCACACACAGCATGTTGAATCCTGTAACAGACAGAGCACTTGCTATTGCATCATCAAAACTTGGATGAAATATTTGAATAACAGTTAAACTGTAAAACATACTTTTGCATCAATCTTAATTTTTGAACAAACAAATCAAGTTTGCTTTGTGGTTGCAAATTTGTATCTTCAGAGAAAAATTCTAAGTGTCACTCAGTTTCCAATAGATTATTATATTAAACTGTAAAACATTTCATCTAGTACCTACAGCACAGGAACACATCACACATCATCATGTGTTTTGTTATATGAGGACAGATCGTGGGTAGTTTTGTTAAATAAAGCATTTCAGGGAATTTCTTGATAGTAAGCTTTTGAAAACATAGGTGTGTCTTTAGCCAGAGAATGGTACCTTACTGCGGTATTCACTCACAGCTGAGAATACAATATACACTGTATGTCACTTTCTATGGGACTCAGCAAGCAATACATTTTTTTATTTAATATACATATTCAGAGCTCATCAAGTTACCTCTCCAACACTGACTATCAAAGAAGGGAGGATTTTTACATCCCACACTCTGGCAGAATGTCCATACAACACTAACAGCTCTGTGCTGCTACAACACCGCCACCAATCAAGGGAGATAACTTCATCTGTGTACTCGGCTTTCTCCTGTGGAAAGTTAAGCTGCCATACACGAACACTACGGTCATCTGACACAGTACAGATCTGACGCCGCATCACACTGAACTCAATAGAGAATATCACACCCTGAAAAGGACAGAAAGAGAGTTAAGTGCTACTTACAAAAATTTGATGTATAAGGACTCTGTATATTCATATCCAAACAGGAATTTAAATTCAAGTTAAAACCTAAGAATTAACCTTAACTATGATGCTGCAATATCATTACCATACGATGTACTCTTGTTAACAATCTTCAACTTCAATTCTTATTAGGTTCAAGGGGTGGAATATTCCTTGATTTCATGGATGTTTCTACTCCTTCTGACAGAAATATCCACACTTACTGTCAGAATAAACATCTCTATCCTTTCAGGAAAGGATAACCAGTGTGCATAGAACATTAACATGAAAAGTGACCTTTCAGCTTCACACTGTTGTTCATGACATCAATCTCATGTCATGTCACAGAGTCAATCATGGTTAGTGATATCATTAATAATCAACATCTGGCTTTCAGATGTAAATGAGAAATTCTCCGACGGCATACATACATATTGTGGTTGTAAAGTGACATATTATTAGAACTGATTTATTTAATACTGATAAGAAAACAGTGCAGTAAAGGGATCATTCCTGGACTTCAGGGAAGGACAGAGAAAAATCTGAGGATATTTTTATCTGATTTGAGGCTTTCCCTAATTTTATTGTAAGACAGAGAAATCTCTACCCACTGAGGAGATTCTTTACTAACTTGAGAATTTCCTTTGCTCCATAGGTAGTGATTTCTCTCTGTCTTCCCCTAAAGTTAGGAACAGATCCTATCAATCTATTCATGGTATAAATTGTATATCATATAAATCCATACCTGATGACCAATCAGTTTGTGGATGACTACTGACTGCCCACTGATGTTTGTTTGGCCATTAGGAGCCCAGAGCAGCACTTGATTAAAGACAGTTCCCGCTGCAAGGACAAGGTCTTCCCACTTTGTACCAAAAAATTTGGCACAGTAACTGGATGTGTTAAGGTTAAAGTTATTAAAGAAAACTGATTCAATAATCTGATTTACAGTGTAAAACTGGATTTACTCAGCAGTTAAAATGCTTTGTGACCTGTGAGCAGGTGGTCAGGGGTCAAGGTTAAATATTTCAGTACCTGGGTATATCACTAATAATGCAAGATACTGTAAATGGTTTTTCTTTTTTCAAGCAAGTTTTTTCTGTTTTTTTTTTTACCATGAATATTGTTTTCAGAAAACAAATTTGCTGCATGTAGCTCAGCAAAGCTAAATATAAAGGATACAGTATACAGTTCTCCACACAGACGACCTGTAACAACTTTCTTAGTGTACTGTCCAGTCTCAAGACCACATTGTGAGCAGTGGCCACAGCTAAGTGGTCCTTCTGTCCTTGCTATAAAATATAAAAACAGATCTTATACCCACATATGATTAGTAGAATGCATAGTTCTTATATGTACATTAATCCTTATGGTATATAATGTTTTTTGAAGATTTATCCCAGTTACAGGGTTATATATGTATGTTATATAATGACACTGTAACCATAGAAATATGCAATAAGCATTTTTGTATTGTACATATCCATTGGCATTGTAATACAATTGTTCCTTTGATATGAAAACATCTAGGAGTTAAACACCAAGAAATGAAATAAAAGAAATGAATAAAAATAAAAACACTAACATTTGTAGCATCAGTATCATCATCCTACCTGTTGTAACCAACAAACATCCCAGATCCAATCATCAGCCATATAGTCCTTGCCCCGGGGATCCAAACTCTCCACTGCTGGGGTCATTGTAACTTCAACCACTCGCAATAATTTACCTCCAAATGCACACAGAAATGTGCCATTGGAAACAGCTGGAAATATTATTCACAGTATAAGTACATCTATAAAATGTCTATAAGAAATGAATGCCTCATTCCTATATGCACGCCAGAATCTGATCAGTTGTAGATCTTGATTTTGATTTCTTTATATAAACTAAAGGTGAGAGGTTACCATAATACAATATTCTTCATTTGGAATGTGATGCCACATGATAACAGGACACAACAAACAGATATGTGTGACACTATCCCCCCACTTTCCCCCAAAAACATGAAGGAATTATACAATTTTACAAAGAAATAGACTTAATACAGTGAGTACAAAGAGAGAGGTATGTCACTTGTTTCTAATTATATATAAAATCTGGGTCTAAATGAGTAAATGAAAACCAAATAAATGCAAAAATCAAGTAACATAAAGAGCAATCTAGATAGCAAAATCCTATCAGATGATCTCAACAATCTCCAAGCTTGTTCTATGAAATGGCTTCTCAAATTTCGTCCAAAGAAATGCAAGAGTGCTTTTAATCAAGTCCAAAAACAAACCTAATAAACAGAACTTCATGTTCAATGAAAGAGAACAAAGCTAGGAGCATGATATGTGAAAAAGATAATAACGTCATGGTGGATTAAGATCTTTAGTACACACACATAGGTATTCAATTAAATGTTAACAAAGCCAATAATATTGTTGGTCTTATCAGAGGAACATTTACAAATCTGAATGAAAATATGTTCAAACTTTCGTTAAAGGTGTTCATAAGATCACACTTAGAATATACCTCCACTTTATGGAATCTGTACATGAGCAAGGATATTGAATTAAATGAAAACGTAGAGGTGAGCTACCAAGATCATACCTAGACTTAAAAATATGATGCATACAGAGTGTCTGCAAAGATTAAATCTACCAACCTTGAGGCACCGTCACATGCAAGGAGACCTTGTAAATGGGTCTAAGATTGTGGAAACCTTTTATGCTCATACAGTGACTGCAAGCATGTTTCATACATTCTCACAAACTTTTCAAAAAAACACTGTCACCTTGATATTATTTCTTCACAATCCTTGTTGTTGAAATAGAGAACAGTCTTTCTCAGGATGTAATAGATTCACCAGATATTATACAGTTTGAAATTGGTTTAGATGTTTTCTCTAAACGTGATAATAAAGTTTTAAAATCTTAGTTTACAGTAAAGTTTTGTTGTGTATACTGATATATGGATATAGAGGCTCATAAGCTACATCCATAGTGTATATACTAATTTATATTAAATAAATTTGATATATGTAACCCTGGTCAATACTGGTCACAATATACCGCTCGGCCAGAGAGAACTTCTCTTTAGCTGTGTAACCCTGGTCAATACTGGTCACAATATACCCCTCGGCCAGAGAGAACCTCTCTTTAGCTGTGTAACCCTGGTCAATACTGGTCACAATATACTGCTCGGCCAGAGAGAACTTCTCTTTAGCTGTGTAACCCTGGTCAATACTGGTCACAATATACCCCTCGGCCAGAGAGAACCTCTCTTTAGCTGTGTAACCCTGGTCAATACTGGTCACAATATACCGCTCAGCTAGAGAAAGCTTCTCTTTAGCTGTGTAACCCAGGAAAATATTAGCTACAATATACCACTCGGCTAGAGAGAACTTCTCTTTAGCTGTGTAACCTAGGTAAATATTAGCCACAATATACCGCTCGGCTAGAGAGAACCTCTCTTTAGCTGTGTAACCCTGGTAAAAACTAGCTACAATATACCACTCGGCTAGAGAGAACTTCTTTTAAGCATCAGACTAGTAAGCCAGAGGTCTTAGATTCAAATCCTAGCGGAGGCATAGAAATAAAAATGACCTTGATTACATTGGTGCCCATGTAGGGACTCCCGATCAATACTTGGCTTTACATTCGCAAGCATTACTGTAACCCCTGGAAACTTGAGGACCAGTTATTTCCTGGAGAGGGAGTATGTAATTATGGTAAAATACTAGCAGCAATATACCACTCTGCTAGAGAGAACTCTTTAGCTCAATCAGTCGAGCGTCAGACTAGTAAACCAGCTGTCCTGAGTTTGACTCCTAGTGGAAGCATGGAAATAATAAAGACCTCTGTTATATATACAAAAACAAATTCCAGTTTGGACATCAAATCACGTTGCTAAATAAATGTTTTCTAAAAATTTTATTTTGAAAGTTTGTATTAATGGTTTAAGTCAACCAGTGTTCAGGTAGTCACTTCCTTATCATACTATTAGGATGGCATGTATGAAGCAGTATACATCAGTATTAGAATACTTACATTTTCGGATTCCATGGATGTTCCCATTATGTATGACACTTGCTGCCTTCAATATACATTTTCTCTTTTCCAAGTCGTACAAGTACAAACTGTTGCCAATACCTACAACAACAGATATTTTGTGTTAGACATCTTACATTGAAAATTCAAACACAGAACAAACCCTGTCGCTATTTTCCTTTACCAAGCAAAAATGAAAACAAACAGAGCAAGGGTTCACATATATATAACCCCTTCCATGGTCTTCACATTCTTCAGTAGTTAAAATTTGTAACAAATACAAAAAAGCATACCTGGAATATATCTCATGAATCCCTGAAGAGATTATGTATCATATACTTGTCAAGCATTTTATTTCAAACGTGATCAAGGTGCAGACTTTTGACCTAAAACCTTGACCAAAACCACGGAAAACTAATTAGGTATAGACTTTTATTATTATTGTCCTTGCACAGGACACTTTTCCAGAGTGTGCTGAGTGACATATGAGGAGCATCCTGTGTATTTTTCAGTGAGGTAGCCAAAGTCATCAACTACAACATCACCACCTTCATAACCTCAAGATGACCTCAGCTGCCTGTTGATGGGGCAACGAACCTGGCAAATGAACTTTGGTGTCAATATAACTGAATATCAATGAAATAAATTGAGAGATACAATGCTAACTAGTATTTTTCAGAAAGATGTCAATTGTGATCTCAGACTTTTAAAGTTGACTGATGACCACCATGACCTAATTAGGGCAATTCCTGTATGTGTAGAATCTTTAATAAGTGAATATACGTTACATCTGTAAAAACGCTGTAAAAAACTTAACCTAGTATCTTACAAGATTAGCAAAACTAATCTGTAAAAATTACTGTCCACACATTTTATTTTGGTCAAGCTATTTTCCGCACCGAAAATCCCCCAGAAAATAACCAATTATACTGACCTGCTATAATGTTTCCCTTGATGACACAAAGGGATGTGACAGGACCTGTGTGATACGCGGATCTGACATCCATCATCACCTGATTACATCTTTACATAGACATACTCTTTTAGCTGGAAACATTGATCTGTTGACTAAATGTATTGCCTAATCATATTCTTCAAAAAACGATTGCCATAGCTATCATATGTGAAGAGCAGTTTTGCAATCAATACATCTCTTAACGTAAAATATTTATATTAATGTTTTTCATTTATTATTTTAAACCCACATGCACGTTGTTTATCCCGGAACCGGAACCGACTAACAGCGCGTTCTATTCCGTGCAATCAGGTATAAATCCATTGGCGCATTCGCTGAAACCGCTCACATCGTGAGGCTACTGACATGATCCTAAAGTATAGGGACTATTTATTACTGACAGTTACCCTGAGAAAGGCAGTGTTTGTAGAGGAAAGCTATGGACAGACAGAACCAAATTAATCAAACAATTAATGGTCGAGATATCCACATGTCATGGAAATATCTTTCTAAACGATAATCGCCGAAGTTCCCCAAACAGTAACGAGGATTGATAAATTCGTTGAAAGCTGGACACGTCACGGTCTGAGTAGTTTGAAAACGTAGTACAATATGAAATAGGTACTGCTTATAAGCAAGCGCAATTTTATCAACAAGATGCACATTTTGAACTGCCGAACTCGTGGCTTCACTGGTGCAAGGTTTTAACTGAAGACACACGCCGAATTACCCACAATTACAAAAGTGTTTGCGTTATCATCGTCCTCTTCTTCTAGAGGTTGTGGTCGGGTAGTGCATTGGTAACAAACTCGTCTCTCGGGATTCGATTCCCTGAAAAGATAGGAGTTTTCTCTGGTCTCCTCCCATAGTAAGACCCCTCGCGCGCTTACACCTAGTGTGATTATTTTGAATTGAAATAAAATTTAAATTAAAATAAGGAACAGACACAAAGATAGCGATAAAAGTCTTTACATGGGCTGCTACATCTATATTCAGTTGTGTTATTTAAATTTGCTCTGAGGAGGTCATAATCAATAGAGCTGGCACGGTTTCTCAAACGAAAATGAAATTCAACATGTTTGTTTAAACGTAAACCTCATACCTGAAAACATTTATATCTATAATTTCTGCCTTAATGATAATTGATTTAAATAAATGGACTGTAGAAGAGTTCCTAATACAAATATCTATGACATTCTACATTTTTGAAGTTGATAGGAAAAAATTCGCATTCGAAAGACAAACACACAAGTTTTTTGTGATTGGAGACCATGTAAGAGTTAATAGATTTATGTTTACATTTAATTTCACATCTCAAGTAACCTTCTGTGAACAAATTGTAATATGAGGGTCCCAACTAGATGTAGACACCAAACCGCATAGAAGTGTATTTGTTTTAGTATCCTTGTTGATGAAAATTGTCTTGATCCAAATTCCACGGTATGCATTAATGTAATGCACCAGTGACAGCTGTCATCGTTTGTATAGTCACATGATTCTTTGCGGGGATCCTTTCAAACGATTTTGTAGTAGAGTTTTGAAAAAGTACGTATTCGTACAAGATGTAGGTTCTGACATGTTAGCCATAAAAATGCGTTCGAATTTGAATTCCTGCAGTTCTTGTTGTTGTTGTTGTTGCTGCTGCTGCTGCTGTAGTTAAGAAATAATAGGAACAATCTTGTGTTGAAACCCGAATACCTGCTGTTGTGTGTGTTTCGTTCAACCAGACTAGACGCAAGTGGTCCTACAAGTGTTGCACGATACATGTTGACTCCTCGACAGCTTATAGCTTAAAATAATGAATATTGAAGTTTCGGGTCCTCGTGTTGAACCCCTGTGATCCGTTAGTGACCGAATGCAGGACTACATATACCATGGTACAAGTAGTATTGTTGTTGTTATACACCATGTTGTGTTGAAATTATTCCCGTGATTACTACACTATTGACTATAACAAGGTAATTGTGTGTTAATTAGAATTCTAATCCCAGCTTTAATTAACCAGTTCAAATTTATCCAATTTTCGAGAGTTATAAGCCTGACCTCTTCCCCTTGCCAGTGACTCCCTATTACCTTTTCATGGACTCTACACCATATTCGTATCTGATCCTTCTTCGGTTTTGCTTTGGTCTGTTTGGGGGAAGGGGGTAATTGAGGCAGGTGGAGCAAGTGGAGTAGGTGGGTCGATGGCCTCATTAGTGTTCCACTTTCCACTACTACTTTACTTTTCAGTTAGAGTGCATTTAACTTAATTTTTCTTTATTTATCCTATATATATATCTCGAAGCAAGTTGTGTAGGTTGTAGCGGAATAATAGTTTTTGGATGACAGAGAATTTAAGTGGCTATCACTGATCCTACCATAACACCCGAAAGAGAGTGCTGCTATTTAAAGGCACAGTCCCACTCCGCTATAGATATTTTTCATATTTTATTGACTGGAAATGTTGTTGTATACTAATAGATAATATATAAATAAAGACTTGCATAAAGTTTCGAACTTGAAATTGAAAGGGTACCGGAGATATCGATGCCGGGATCAGTCTCATTAATCAACACCAGGATATGAATATTGACGAGGAAAAGTCACATGATACGTGTATATATATATCAATTCATTCAATCTTTCTATTTTGATATAACATATCTTCGTTGAGTATCCAGCAATTTTGTGTTTGTGATTCCATATTTTGGGAATAATTTGAGTATGTGGAAGTATAAATAGACTGTATCTTATCTTTCAGTTTTACCCTGGCTCACAGCAGTGTCTATAAGTGACAAGCGTCTTTATGGTCGTTACTAGACAAGCGTCTTTATGGTCGTTGCTAGGTAGTATGACATTCTTCACACGTCTTCGCGTGACCTTTCGCAATGCTACGATTCACAGCCATTGTACAAATCTGCATGTAAAACTAATCCTTGATGAACACATTGAAAAAAATCGTGTAGTTTCACCTGTAAAGAGATAATTTAGTTGCAGTCATATTCTTTCTTCTACTTTGAATTGCTAGATTTGCAGACGAAAGTAATACATTTCCTCGGAGTTGAATCGGGATCGTGTGAAACGACAAATTAAATTAGTTGATAAACACTATCAATGCAATTATGAAATTTTCCCAAATGAGTTTCCAAATCATAGCAGCCTTAATAAACGATGTTCTGATACAGAACTTCAAATTATAGCGAATTCAAAATCCATTTTATAACAATACCAATAATGATGGAGAATAGAGGGGAACATCAAATTTAAGGAACAACCGACTTTTTATCATAACGACATGGAAATTTTAGGCCGTTCTTTTCAATGTGCTATCGCAGATCAATGCCAAAACACCATAGACACTTCCCTATAAATACAACATCATCCCTCTTCGATACTTTAGCAATGAATCTTGTTTTTTGTCGATTTCATGGGATAATGACATTTTTTAAAATTTGCCTCCAGAGTAACTCAATCAAATCACCCCACGAAATCAACAAAAGCAAGATTGAATGCTTAATATTTTAAACAAATCCAAGTGTGCAGTTACATAGCCTGAAATTTGTGCAAGTCTAACATATGGTCAGACATTTTAGTTTAGAGGATGATGAAACAGTATTTCTCATGCAAAATACGAGCGACACTTTAGAAAATATGAAACAAGATGATTAGATTGTAATAATTGTTTTTGCCAATATATTTTAGAAATTATGAAAATTCTCCGACAGCTATGCGGAAGATTAAACGTCTAAACCGAGCTTTACGGTCGTCTCCCGCTTCGCTTCGAACTGAGCAGCACCCATTTTTAAACTGTCATATAGTGTGCTTTGTGACCTTTATCAGTATGTTTCGCTGTGTTTTCATGATTTCAAGAACTTGGTTAAGAAGCAGTTCTGTATCAAAATTGCTCTGTAGACGCTCATTTTCTTGTTTGAGATTTGCATTTTCAGGCAGTGGAAGGTTAGAAAATGTAGCAGACGACAAGATTCGCAATCTCAAGCAGATATCGGAAAGTGGAAAACAAATCTTTTCAAATTACATTACTCCACGGACACCGTGCGTTCTCGTTGATGCAAGATAGTGCAAAAGAAACACAAGTGAAGAGCACATATAATTACAAATTCAGAGTAAGATACAGTAGAGCCAAACAATGAATTAAACTACACCATACAACTGTTTCATCTTTCTAGAACTTGTCAGTGATGCCAAGGGCCTTAAGTTTGTTGCGTAGAAAGTGACTGAGGAAAATCAAATGCAACATTGTGCATGTTTGTCACGACGCCACGGACACTGTCCTCAGAGGACAATTCGACTTCATCTTGTAGGGTTAGGGAGGTGCTCACCTCCGTCAGTATACTATCCGATACAAAAAACAAAACTACGATGTATTTATCTATGCATTATTTATTCCTAATTGTTATAATTACGATGAATTAAGAATAGGCGACACGAATTTCAGGTTGTTAGCCTTCTTGAAATTTGTAGATGAACTGTAGATATCTGAAATATGAAAACAATTGGCATGAATGATAACATTAATGTTACAGTGAGTGTTTATCTCTACCAGATACTTTTTTATATTATAAAGTTTATTCTATTTCCTATTTCTGATATATGATGAAACCAACCATTTATTTAGTGGGAAAGATAACAGATGTAATTATCATAAACCCTTGTCTGAAAAACTGTTCGCTTCATGTATGAAAGTTATCATAAATGTCTCAATTTGCAATTATATTCAAAGACTTATTTTAATTTCATTTATTCCATTAAAACGAAAACTGGGGTAATCATATTAATTTTGATGATCTGGTCATTTAATGAACCATCCCGCATGCATGCTTACTTATGAGTTTGTTTAAGTTCGTTCTTGTGACCATGGTAACATCATTCGATCTTCGCGCATGACACGTCTGTAAACAACGAGACGAAAGTTCATCCGTCCTACAGTAAGTAGCATTACATGACACAATGACCGAGAGGTGATTAGCCGGAAATTCAAACGCATTGAAGAAAAACTTTGTTTCGTGGGAACCTTGGGAGAGTATTGTGGTATCCTGGTCAACAACACATCTGCAACGAAGTACAAATGTAAGAACATACATGAACCACATGTATTCTAGTTTCTGTCCGACCATTGTAATTGTTAGTGTTCAATGACATCAACAACAAGGACTCCTTTGTGATAACTCTATTATGTATACTGATAATATGAAGAGCTCGCTTCAAGCCAGATCAAATACTTGTTTGCGCAACATTTGTCTGCAGTTTGAAAGTGAGAATATATATGCCAGCAAATGGCTTCTAGAAAAAGAACTCATTTCATACAACCAATGAAACAAGTTGATTAATCCCTTCACACATGACTGTCGCTACAAAATCCGTATGATTGGATCAATTCGTTTATTGGGTTATTTGTTATCCGACACAGAGAAATAATATCAAAAGTGAACAAAACAACCGCTTTATTGTTTAAATCTAAACCGTGAAAAACGTGAACCATTTACCCGTTTTGTATGAGAGGGTAGGTCAGATCTGGCCCGGCATCTGCGGTCGGCTTTGCAACGCATGTATCCAATCTCATTTTTACTTCTGGGTCATTCGTGTTGACATCGACTTTTACATACACATTGTCCCCAATGTGTGTGGTGATAGGATTTCCCTGTAACGTTAAATTTTATCACCCTGAATACACAAAATGTCTGCCGCAGCATCCCAAACTTGCAAAGTAGTTACATACAGTGTTGGTAACATAACCTAATTACTTCACTCATACGCAATTCGGTTGAATTAAATAAGGTAATAGGCTTAAAGATTTACGGACAATGCCAGAGAGATTATGATCCACGGAGTCAGATCAGACGAAAAATTTAAGAGATAGTACAAATGAATAACAAAGGAATAGTACATTCCAATATAAATATGGGATTTGATAAAGATTAGCCAAGTACAATGTAATCAAGTTGTATGATGGTTTTAGTATGATATCAGAAGGCAAGATATCACATATCTAGTTCTTACGATTCGTGACCGATATTTCTAATCATGAAAAGAAAACTTCAGTCCAATAATTATTGACATTATTGTCGAACAGATTTGATTCTTACTAGTTGTAGGAAAATTCCGCTGTTGAAGTTCAGTTATTGCTGTAGATCAATAAGACATACTGCAACAACACACGTACCTGTATCGCCTGGTAGAAACCTGAATCCTGATAAAATGTTAGATGTATGTCATAGTTGGAAGACCCGGAGAGGTGATGATGACCGGTGTCAATTGTCTGTGTGACGGACGGTGCAGTCGGTATGTAGCTTTGGGTTACGTTGGTCTGACGATTTACATTACAACTGATATCCACACGCCACCGATACCCGTGCACGATAACAGGGAAGGGTGTGGCCGAGTTCGGATACACTAACTGGTTGTGATAAATGATGTCAGTGTCCGTCGTCTGAATAAGGAGGCCAATATTGTTAAAAAAGACACACAAGATAATATGACCTCAAAACAGATTTAGCTGTAGAGCCAAACTATGAATTAAACTGCAACATACAACTGTTTGGTTCTTTTAGGACTCGTCAGTGATGCTAACGTCAAAAGCGTTGAAACCTAGAATGCGACTTCAAAAAATTCAAAATTGGTCGCCGAATGAAATGTGAAATCTTGATTTTATGTGCTCTAGTCGCATTCGAAATTTCGTAATTTCGAAATATGTGATGATTTAATAAAAAAAACGACAAGAATAAGTGTATATTCTTAACCATACCACTATTGGAATGGATTAAAACGAGGCATGCCGGTTACGGCAAACCTCAAGGAGTAGTAGCATATGTTCTTATTGTACTGATATTTTCTGAAAATTGGAAAAATAATTGATTACGTAACCAACATATTTAATGATAAAATATCAACACGTTGGACATATATCATGTTGGTAATGTAATTAGTTCTTTTATGTATGAATCAATTTTTCTGTTTGTCTTTCTACTTACTGTCTTGAAGGATGAACAGTCTGTGTAAGACTGCTGAAATACGACCAGGTCATCCACGACTGTGCCTGTACATGATTGGACGGCGAGATAGATATCAGACACGCCAGCATCCGGGTACAGCGACCTCAGTATAGTCATATTGACCACGGCGTTCCAGGTGGTGGTGCCACAATTCAAGGTCATTGCATCCTCTATCGTCAGAGCTATTCAACCAAAAAGTTTGACCTTCTAACTTTACAGACTTACATGCAATCTCAATCGAGTAAATCATTTTACCATATATGGGAATTGTCAGACGAGCAATGTATTTGTGCTTCAAGCTCAGTTCGAGCACGAGTCTTTTTAAAATTATTAGTCACACTCTGAAACGCATTAGGTAGTAGAATGGGCATATTAGCATTAATGTGAATCATTAACCTCTATTATTTTGTAGCATATTAGTCTATATACAAGGTATAAATCATGTTTACACATGTAATACTGACGTGTGTTATTTCAATGGATATTGTATTTTATTGTATTGAATCCGTTTATCAAGATTTTTCTTAAGTAATAGTTCCAATCTGACCAATTAGCATCCAGATCCAGAAACTGTCTTGAGCATTGTACAAAAGATACACAAGTGATACATATTTAGAATCATATAGAATAGAGTCAAGTGTTGAATTAAACCGCATCATGCAACTGTGTAACATGACAAAGTGCATTACCACCACACGCAATCTTGATATTTATTACATACATACAGACAAGAAAAAGTTGCAAAGTAGCACAACAGTCTACATATTTTCGGTAGGTACTTACGTTTCCATGTTATTCTGAATCCTTTTTCAGTTCCTGATCCGTTGGTCTGAAATCTCACGTAGAATTTCTGGCCCGGTATTACAGGAAATTCACCGCCATGTGAGAACGTTCCAAGACTAGGGCCATTCGGCTGCCCCCGGATCTTCATCGAATTTAAATACATCAGATTTGATATCCTAATTATTTGTATATTAAACATTTATGAACGATTTTTATATAAAACAATTTTTACCTAAGTACATATACTACACTTAAATATCTAATACTTAATATATCATTTATTGTGGATATGCAAATTCCTCATTGCGCTAATTTGCCAAACACGCGTTAATACGCTACATTTACAGTACATGTATGCAAACTAATAAACACGAACCCGAAACGTCTTCAGATTTATGTCCTTCAAGAAAAATGCTCCGTCAATTTCAAGGGAAAAAGGACTTGTTTACTGCGAAGTTTACAAAAAGACTCACATCTATAAAGTCTTCGTCGTCGTTCATGGTTAGATCCTGTATAACGAGTCCGTACATTCCGTTAGACGGGGGCGTGATCATGTACATGCAGTCAGCATTGTTGTCGTAATTCTGGGGGTAGTTCATCGAGTGAATTTCACCTCTCTCTGTTGAATACCTGGTAGAGCAATCTGTCAACGTTACACAGAATAATTAGTAAATTCAACATACAACGTTTCACGAGATCTTTAAAAATACTCCATATATTCTAAGACTGCATGTATACAACGGAACTTTGTATTACACTGTATCCTTCTAAATGTATTTAAATTGAAGAAACTATTACATTTACCTTTTAACTAAATGTTCCATCTTAACTTTTATCTGCATAACACTATTTTTAAGAAAAGCAGTATGAAAAGAGTGAATATTTCATTTTCCCTATTGCGAATTTTTCATTTCTGGATAGCAACACCCTTGCATCCCCAATCTATTGTGTTTACACGTGTAGTTGATTCGATATTCGAGGGCTTGTTCCAAGTATAGCGATTTTCGTACAAGATGTAGGCAAATGTTGACAACGTACATAATATGACAGAGGACAACATGTGATCTGATTAATTGGTACAAATTAGCAGGTAAAGATGTTCTACGTCAGAGAGATTAAGAACAGCTGAAAACATTAGCTTCAAATCGAGCAAACGAAGCCAAAATATTAGCAAAAAAAAAAAAAAAAAAAATATATACACGTAGACATATGGAAATACACAAGGATAATAAGACAAAGTGTTCCTGAAAGGGAGGAATCCTTTCCTTCATCGACAGCGTATAAATGTTGGTCAGTTCAAGTGATGTTATGTTCTCAAATGAAAATTTGTATTAATGTATACAAAATGTAAGTTCTAAATATTTAATTAAATGTGATTTATATGCGTATTTGTAATTATGTAAATAGAATGTGACTGGTGTATACAAGCCCTCCTATGAGAACATAACTTAGTGTTTAAGGGTTGAACCCAGGGCTCTTCAACCGTGGTGGCCTCCAAAATATGTACATGTTGATATCCATGTATGAATACCAATATATACACATAATTGCAGAAGGAATAACATTTGTTGTTTTTATCTGAAACTGGTTTATGAAACCAACAGGCATGCTTACAAGCATTGCACATATCTAACTTCATATTGCACGAGATCAAATACAAAGAAATAACTACTAATCATTAATGAACAGATTAAAAAAAACACCTACATCATAAATAAAGGACGCATCCAATCACTTACTGAAACACTGTAAGTTGACATATGTATTATTACATCTGGACCCAGTGCCTGACATGTGTACACACTGACCAATGTGGTCTTCCCACCCTTCACATGCGATCTGGTTGACAGACACGTGACTCGCTCCATCAGTAAATGTGTTAATAATTGGCTTTGTATTGCTGTGGAAAACAATTTAAGATTGTACAAAACACATCTGTAAATAGTACCTTCCAATACAAGATAAGATACAGTGTAGCGAAACACAAATTTCTTCATACAGCTACCTTGTGAATACATAGGATGTCACGCAGAAATACTGAACTTGTCAAAAAACAGATAGGGAGGTCCACTTACACAAACAAAACTATAAATTTGATAAAATAAGGAATTATTTCAAAAGGGACGTGCCACTATTAGAATGAATTAAAACGTGTTATGCAGGTTACGGCAAACCTCGAGGACTTAATCCACCAGAGGAGTCTATAACCTACAATCTCAAAGGTTGTGCAAAAGGCACACAAGTTATGTTGAAAATGTGTCTTGTTAGTATGCTTCTTGTGGTAGTTATATGATACTTTATCGATAATGATCTGTCCAGGAGATTACAATGTTGATAATGGTGATAGTTCACATTTTACACTGTTGTAACACTTAATAAACAAGTAGTTTATAATATAATTAGGATAATTTTACACTGTTGTAACAATAAATGTTACGGAAACAATGTTAAGTAGATTTTTACACTGTTGTAACACTACAATAAAACAACGTTTAGGTGACTTTTACACTGTTGTAACACTATAGTAAAATAATTTTAAGTAGATTTTTACACTGTTGTAACACTACAGTAAAACAATGTTTAGTAGATTTTTACACTGTTGTAACACAATGTTAAGTAGATTTTTACAGTAAAATAATGTTAAGTAGATTTTTACACTGTTGTAACACTACAATAAAACAACGTTTAGGTGACTTTTACACTGTTGTAACACTACAATAAAACAACGTTTAGGTGACTTTTACACTGTTGTAACACTACAGTAAAACAATGTTTATGTGACTTTTACACTGTTGTAACACAACAGTAAAACAATGTTTAGGTGACTTTTACACTGTTGTAACACTAAAACAATGTAAAACAATGTTTAACACTACAGTAAAACAATGTTTATGTGACTTTTACACTGTTGTAACACTACAGTAAACAATGTTAAGTAGATTTTTACACTGTTGTAACACTACAGTAAACAATGTTAAGTAGATTTTTACACTGTTGTAACACTATAGTAAACAATGTTAAGTAGATTTTTACACTGTTGTAACACTACAGTAAACAATGTTAAGTAGATTTTTACACTGTTGTAACACTACAGTAAAACAATGTTAAGTAGATTTTTACACTGTTGTAACACTACAGTAAAACAATGTTTAGGTGACTTTTACACTGTTGTAACACTACAGTAAAACAATGTTTATGTGACTTTTACACTGTTGTAACACTACAGTAAAACAATGTTTAGGTGACTTTTACACTGTTGTAACACTACAGTAAAACAATGTTTAGGTGACTTTTACACTGTTGTAACACTACAGTAAAACAATGTTAAGTAGATTTTTACACTGTTGTAACACTACAATAAAACAACGTTTAGGTGACTTTTACACTGTTGTAAAACAACAGTAAAACAATGTTTAGGTGACTTTTACACTGTTGTAACACTATAGTAAAATAATTTTTAACTTTTACACTGTTGTAACACTACAGTAAAACTATGTTTAAGTAGATTTTTACACTGTTGTAACACTACAGTAAAACAATGTTTATGTGACTTTTAACCTGTTGTAACACAACAGTAAAACAATGTTTAGGTGACTTTTACACTGTTGTAACACTATAGTAAAATAATTTTAAGTAGATTTTTACACTGTTGTAACACTACAGTAAAACAATGTTTAGCAGATTTTTACACTGTTGTAACACTACAATAAAACAACGTTTAGGTGACTTTTACACTGTTGTAACACTACAGTAAAACAATGTTAAGTAGATTTTTACACTGTTGTAACACTACAATAAAACACTACAACTGTTGTAAAACAACAGTAAAACAATGTTTAGGTGACTTTTACACTGTTGTAACACTATAGTAAAATAATTTTAAGTAGATTTTTACACTGTTGTAACACTTCAGTAAAATAATGTTAAGTAGATTTTTACACTGTTGTAACACTACAGTAAAACAATGTTAAGTAGATTTTTACACTGTTGTAACACTACAGTAAAACAATGTTTAGGTGACTTTTACACTGTTGTAACACAACAGTAAAACAATGTTTAGGTGACTTTTACACTGTTGTAACACAACAGTAAAACAATGTTTAGGTGACTTTTACACTGTTACACTGTTGATTTTTACACTGTTGTAACACTACAATAAAACAACGTTTAGGTGACTTTTACACTGTTGTAACACTACAGTAAAACAATGTTAAGTAGATTTTTACACTGTTGTAACACTACAGTAAAACAATGTTAAGTAGATTTTTACACTGTTGTAACACTACAGTAAAACAATGTTTAGGTGACTTTTACACTGTTGTAACACTACAGTAAAACAATGTTTAAGTAGATTTTTACACTGTTTACAATGTTAAGTGATTTTAACACTGTTGTAACACTACAGTAAAACAATGTTAAGTAGATTTTTACACTGTTGTAACACTACAGTAAACAATGTTAAGTAGATTTTTACACTGTGGTGACTTTTACACTGTTGTAACACTACAGTAAAACAATGTTAAGTAGATTTTTACACTGTTGTAACACTACAATAAAACAACGTTTAGGTGACTTTTACACTGTTGTAACACTACAGTAAAACAATGTTTATGTGACTTTTACACTGTTGTAACACTACTGTAAACAATGTTAAGTAGATTTTTACACTGTTGTAACACTACAGTAAACAATGTTAAGTAGATTTTTACACTGTTGTAACACTTTTACACTGTTGTAAAATAATGTTAAGTAGATTTTTACACTGTTGTAACACTACAGTAAAACAATGTTAAGTAGATTTTTACACTGTTGTAACACTACAGTAAAACAATGTTAAGTAGATTTTTACACTGTTGTAACACTACAGTAAAACAATGTTAAGTAGATTTTTACACTGTTGTAACACTACAGTAAAACAATGTTAAGTAGATTTTTACACTGTTGTAACACTACAGTAAAACAATGTTAAGTAGATTTTTACACTGTTGTAACACTACAATAAAACAACGTTTAGGTAACTTTTACACTGTTGTAACACTACAGTAAAACAACGTTTAGGTAACTTTTACACTGTTGTAACACAACAGTAAAACAATGTTAAGTAGATTTTTACACTGTTGTAACACTACAGTAAACAATGTTAAGTAGATTTTTACACCGTTGTAACACTACAGTAAACAATGTTTAGGTGACTTTTACACTGTTGTAACACAACAGTAAAACAATGTTTAGGTGACTTTTACACTGTTGTAACACAACAGTAAAACAATGTTTAGGTGACTTTTACACTGTTGTAACACTACAGTAAAACAATGTTAAGTAGATTTTTACACTGTTGTAACACTACAATAAAACAACGTTTAGGTGACTTTTACACTGTTGTAACACTACAGTAAAACAATGTTAAGTAGATTTTTACACTGTTGTAACACTACACTGTTGTAACACTACAGTAAACAATGTTAAGTAGATTTTTACACCGTTGTAACACTACAGTAAATGATGTTAAGTAGATTTTTACACTGTTGTAACACTACAGTAAAACAATGTTTAGGTGACTTTTACACTGTTGTAACACTACAGTAAAACAATGTTAAGTAGATTTTTACACTGTTGTAACACTACAGTAAAACAATGTTTATGTGACTTTTACACTGTTGTAACACTACAATAAAACAATGTTAAGTGACTTTTACACTGTTGTAACACTACAGTAAAACAATGTTTAGGTGACTTTTACACTGTTGTAACACTACAGTAAAACAATGTTTAGGTGACTTTTACACTGTTGTAACACTACAGTAAAACAATGTTTAGGTGACTTTTACACTGTTGTAACACTACAGTAAAACAATGTTTATGTGACTTTTACACTGTTGCAACAATACAAGGAAGCATTGTTTAGAATCTTACTTCTGTAAAGGTTTTGTTTGTCGATGTGTCATATTTTCGCGAAAGTCATGAAGGAGAGAATGGTTTTTACACTGTTGTAACATAAGTAAAACAATTTTAAGTAGAAAATTTCGAAAATACTTAACAGTAATCTAATAAAAAGTATCTCAGTACGAATTGACAACTTATAAGAACAATGACCTAAGAATTCTATATAATGAGCAATGATAAAAGCCATAAGTCCAATCTGTTTTAGATGACATTTAGGTGAATGTAAGTTTTCGGAAATTTCGGTAGAATGATATTCAGAGACTTTCATGAAAAACCTGTCATAAATAAAAGAGGACGTTAGGTTAAGACGAGTGACAGACATTATGAAAGGTTTGCCGTCCTTGTGACAGTGTGGGTAGGTTTTCTCACCTGTAGCCAAGCATGCTACAAAAAACCTCAGCAGTAGTGGTGTCTACGGCACTGCTACACACCACGCCCCACTGTCCGTTTTTCAGAACCTCGAGACGCCCGTCAAGGACAGACGAGCCGTTCACCAGGCGCGCTTTAACATTGTCTGGGGAAAATCAAACATAACGGTATTACATCATCGAGGAGATCACTACTACTTACATATCATTGTTGATCTATCACATCAAAACTGACAAGAAAATATGTGCTGACTTTTAAACCAGAAATCGTTAACGAGATTAATTTTTTGATTGATAACATATGCTAAATATTAAAAAAAAACAATGAATAGTGTAATGAATATGAATTTTATATACATGTTCCTGATCCTACCTGTACAATCGAGTCCCACCACCATGTCAGTACAGTTAGATTTATCTAGGTCAGCTTTACACAGTCCGATGTCACTTTCGTTCCCGCGACAGTCTATTTCCCCAACAAGAATAGCATTTTCCCCTTGGGCTAATGCAGTGGATGTCATGTTGTAAGATCTTCAAGCATAAAAAATACACATTTGAAGTTAATTAATATCCAATATCATTAATGTAAAGTAAAAATAGGAACTGCCTCAGGAGAGGACCTTGAGGCAAGCCAGCCGGTACGGTTTGCCAAGTTGACCTAATCCATTTGATACCACTCTGTGTCTCATATTAAATAAAAATGAAGAGAACCATCTCAATATGTTGCCACAGACTCCCTATTTTTCAGGTTAAACAATAAGCCATCATGACAAATCCTATCGAATGCTTTAAATATATCACAGAATACCATTCTAACTTCTTCTCCTTTATCTATATGTTAAACCATTGTATCATAGAAACTTAATACTTAACAATTGGTAGATAATATCATTAACATCAACAATAAAATGTTACAACTACCAATTCATTCAGGTAAATCATAACATCCTACATACAACTACCTTGTCACTCACCTGCATCATACACATACAACTACCTTGTCACTTACCTATATCATACACATACAACTACAGTGTCACTCACCTATATCATACACATACTACTACAGTGTCACTCGCCTATATCATACACATACAACTACCTTGTCACTCACCTATATCATACACATACTACTACAGTGTCACTCACCTATATCATACACATACAACTACCTTGTCACTCACCTATATCATACACATACAACTACCGTGTCACTCACCTATATCATACACATACAACTACCTTGTCACTCACCTATATCATACACATACTACTACAGTGTCACTCACCTATATCATACACATACAACTACCTTGTCACTCACCTATATCATACACATACTACTACAGTGTCACTCACCTATATCATACACATACAACTACCTTGTCACTCACCTATATCATACACATACAACTACCGTGTCACTCACCTGCATCATACACATACTACTACCGTGTTACTCACCTGCATCATACACATACAACTACAGTGTCACTCACCTGCATCATACACATACAACTACCTTGTCACTCACCTATATCATACACATACAACTACCTTGTCACTCACCTATAACGTACACATACAACTACCGTGTCACTCACCTATATCATACACATACAACTACAGTGTCACTCACCTGCATCATACACATACAACTACCTTGTCACTCACCTATATCATACACATACTACTACCTTGTCACTCACCTATATCATACACATACAACTACAGTGTCACTCACCTATATCATACACATACAACTACAGTGTCACTCACCTATATCATACACATACAACTACCTTGTCACTCACCTATATCATACACATACTACTACAGTGTCACTCACCTATATCATACACATACTACTACCTTGTCACTCACCTGCATCATACACATACTACTACAGTGTCACTCACCTATATCATACACATACAACTACCGTGTCACTCACCTATATCATACACATACTACTACAGTGTCACTCACCTATATCATACACATACAACTACCTTGTCACTCACCTATATCATACACATACTACTACAGTGTCACTCACCTATATCATACACATACAACTACCGTGTAACTCGCCAATATCCTACACATACAACTACAGTGTCACTCACGTAGAACGTAACATCCTACATACAACTACCGTGTCACTCACCTATATCATACACATACAACTACCTTGTCACTCACCTATATCATACAAATACAACTACCGTGTCACTCACATATATCATACACGTACAACTACCGTGTCACTCACCTATATCGAAACATCCTACATACAACTAACGTGTCACTCACCTATATCATACACATACAACTACAGTGTCACTCACCTATATCGAAACATCCTACATACAACTACCGTGTCACTCACCTATAACGTAAAATCCTACATACAACTACCGTGTCACTCACCTATATCGAAACATCCTACATACAACTACAGTGTCACTCACCTATATCGAAACATCCTACATACAACTACCGTGTCACTCACCTATATCGAAACATCCTATATACAACTACAGTGTCACTCACCTATATCGAAACATCCTACATACAACTACCGTGTCACTCACCTATATCATACACATACAACTACCTTGTCACTCACCTATATCATACACATACTACTACAGTGTCACTCACCTGCATCATACACATACAACTACCTTGTCACTCACCTATATCATACACATACAACTACAGTGTCACTCACCTATATCGAAACATCCTACATACAACTACCGTGTCACTCACCTATAACGTAAAATCCTACATACAACTATCGTGTCACTCACCTATATCGAAACATCCTACATACAACTACAGTGTCACTCACCTATATCGAAACAACCTACATACAACTACCGTGTCACTCACCTATATCGAAACATCCTATATACAACTACCTTGTCACTCACCTATATCATACACATACTACTACAGTGTCACTCACCTATATCATACACATACAACTACCTTGTCACTCACCTATATCATACACATACAACTACCGTGTCACTCACCTGCATCATACACATACTACTACCGTGTCACTCACCTGCATCATACACATACAACTACCTTGTCACTCACCTGCATCATACACATACAACTACCTTGTCACTCACCTATATCATACACATACAACTACAGTGTCACTCACCTGCATCATACACATACAACTACCTTGTCACTCACCTATATCATACACATACTACTACCGTGTCACTCACCTATATCATACACATACAACTACCGTGTCACTCACCTGCATCATACACATACTACTACCGTGTCACTCACCTGCATCATACACATACAACTACAGTGTCACTCACCTGCATCATACACATACAACTACCTTGTCACTCACCTATATCATACACATACAACTACCGTGTCACTCACCTATATCATACACATACAACTACAGTGTCACTCACCTGTATCATACACATACAACTACAGTGTCACTCACCTGCATCATACACATACAACTACCTTGTCACTCACCTATATCATACACATACTACTACCTTGTCACTCACCTATATCATACACATACAACTACAGTGTCACTCACCTATATCATACACATACAACTACCGTGTCACTCACCTATATCATACACTACCGTGTCACTCACCTATATCATACACATACTACTACAGTGTCACTCACCTATATCATACACATACAACTACCTTGTCACTCACCTGCATCATACACATACAACTACCTTGTCACTCACCTATATCATACACATACAACTACCGTGTCACTCACCTATATCATACACATACAACTACAGTGTCACTCACCTATATCATACACATACAACTACCGTGTCACTCACCTATATCATACACATACAACTACAGTGTCACTCACCTATATCATACACATACAACTACCGTGTCACTCACCTATATCATACACATACAACTACCGTGTCACTCACCTATATCATACACATACAACTACCGTGTCACTCACCTATATCATACACATACAACTACAGTGTCACTCACCTATATCATACACATACAACTACCGTGTCACTCACCTATATCATACACATACAACTACAGTGTCACTCACCTATATCATACACAAACAAATACCGGGTCACTCACCTATATCATACACATACAACTACCGTGTCACTAACCTATATCGAAACATCCTATATACAACTACAGTGTCACTCACGTAGAACGTCTAAACATCCTACATACAACTACCGTGTCACTCACCTATATCATACACATACTACTACCGTGTCACTCACCTATATCATACACATACAACTACCGTGTCACTCACCTATATCATACACATACTACTACAGTGTCACTCACCTATATCATACACATACTACTACCTTGTCACTCACCTATATCATACACATACAACTACCGTGTCACTCACCTATATCATACACATACAACTACCTTGTCACTCACCTATATCATACACATACTACTACCGTGTCACTCACCTATATCATACACATACAACTACCGTGTCACTCACCTATATCATACACATACAACTACCGTGTCACTCACCTATATCGAAACATCCTACATACAACTACCGTGTCACTCACCTATAACGTAAAATCCTACATACAACTACCGTGTCACTCACCTATATCGAAACATCCTACATACAACTACAGTGTCACTCACCTATATCGAAACATCCTACATACAACTACCGTGTCACTCACCTATATCGAAACATCCTATATACAACTACAGTGTAACTCACCTATATCGTAACATCCTACATACAACTACCGTGTCATGTTGTGTCCATCCGTGACTACACACATATCCCCAGTTGTTATTGTAATTAACTAATACACGACCCCGACCGGGCTGGTCCCCATCCACCAGCTTTACACGATGATAGCCTGCAAAGAACGATGTTTCCAAAACAGACAAATTAAAGTTAAAAAAAGAAAGTTAAAATATGAACACCAAGAACGTCATCCGTGTTTTGTTTTTTGCCTTTACAATAAGATGTGTTTGTTTTCCCGCTAACCGTATTAGTCCTGATCCTCCCCAGTACCTACCCATTGGTGCTGGGTTACACCGGACTCCAGCGATGTCACCAGTGGAGCACGTGTCCTTACCCCACTCCTTTGCCAGAGGACAAAATGCCAGATTGTCCTCGTTGCCACGACATAGAGGAGATATTTTATTCCCACCTCCTGAGGAGGACCCGAACCAATTGTCCATGTACACTGTTGGAGAGCTGCTCCTACAAAATAGCAGGACAAGTATCTGCTTCAAGCCACATTGCATTAAGATGGTGGCCTCTTTCGTAAAGGTAAAGTCAAATTCCAACTAGATGATAAAAAAACTTTTGTGTTTCTCTGTAATATTGCAGTAAATAAATGGAGATTAACATTGCTACTAAGAATAATCAACTACTAGACTTCCAAGTTAATTTGTGAATGCGTCGCTTACTGAATATATATAAGGTTTATTGACCCTTAATATGAGTTTCTATTTCAAAGGAATGTAATAAATCGGATATGAAAATGGAACGAACGTAAGAGTTTGTATATCTCCTAAATACAACAACAAAACTACAGTAACCTTAAGTCAATCACAGCTCCGCCGGGTGTTACAAAACATAAATGATGACGTCAAATCTTTGATAAGTGATTACAATTATATTTACTTTATTGTATATTCATGTATATATATATACGTAATTTATTATTCGACATGTACAATCTTTTAATTGAATACAACTATTAACATAAAACAGAATGTTACATCAATACTAAAAAGCATTCTGTAAACTTACCAGTAGCCTAATGAACGGCAAACAGATCTAGCGTCATTTTCGTCCCAATTTTCATCACATATTGCATTTCCCGAGATGTGAATGCTGCCTTCTTTGTCATTCCTGATATTTGTACTGTCCAGTAGCGTTGTGTTGTAGTCAACTTCATCAACAGATTGAATATGGACAATATGTACATGGAACTTTCAATACCGCAATGATCTTACTAGCATGGTTGTATTCTAAAACATTGTCACTGATGTAAATCAATCGTTATATTTCAAAGGTATTAACTAGTGCTGTGTAATCCAAGTCTTGCTAATTTGCAACTTAAACATAAAATCCCACTTATATTGGATATTTGGATGATCCCAAATGATCGGGAACAAAAATCATTGGTCGAATAAAAGTATTATTCTTTGGACCATGCCACAACGGCATTATCCGATAAAATATCACGGATCACAAAGGGCGTATAGTAAGCCGGAGTATACTGTAAAATCAGCTATTTCCTTGGGGCTCAAACTTGGTGATTAAAAAAAAAAAAAAAAAACATTTTCGTTGGCGTTTGATTTCATGGATAGAACAAAAAGCAACTAGTATTATAATCCATGTCCACTTCTATCTGTTTATCATTTCGTTAACATATCAGTGTGTGGATTCAGTGCTCATGAACTAAAAAAAATAGGTGCCTGAAGCAAGTGACGCCCCAACAGCATTTGTCTTCTTCATCTACTATTAATACATTTGAAAAAATAACATTAAGGCTTGTTGCGCCTTGCATTCAAATGACAAAGTCCTAGATTCAAGCGATCACGATCATTGTTTATAACGGTACAGGATGGTGTGCGAGATGTACAGATAAGCTCCGTAGTAAGCATGAAATTGAGTTCAGTTTCTTCCGCATCATGTTTAATGGTGTATGAGCCGGTGTCTTAAAGGCTCGTGGTGGCAGACTTAATACCGGCGTTACTCACCATAACATGCAGCGCCCGCGTCTCTAGCATGATCACAATTGACGCGTCTTTGTCCATTAGCCTGACAGAATAATATATCCTCTTCGGAGCCATTACATTGTACGTTAGATAGTCCTATTTGTCCTACACCTCGTCCGAACTTCCCGCCAGGATACGCCTTTCCTATGACGTCTCTGAAACAACATTTCATTAAGGTATATCAACAGCTTAGATACCTACCCTTCCGGAACTCCTGGTCTGCTTTTCTCCTGCCTTTTTCATTGGTATCTGTATGAATATTTGTTTCGTTTATATTTTGTTCCGTTTCATTAAATTTGAATATGTTAATTTCGGTTGTATATCGATATTTTCTTTTGTTCTTTGTTTTAAATTCTAAAAATGAATTGTTGCTCAATTCTTACAGGTTGCCGAGTGAAAATGAGCCCTGTCTCTATTAAGTTTACCGTATTTAAAGGTCAGGAATCATATGCATATATGTATGTAATTTGAAAGATGTTAAGGTTTTACTCACCCATCAATCGGGTACTGAAGTAACATACGACACACTGTGGTTGCATCAAGGTCATCCCAATTTTCATCACAGATGGTCGCCCATGATCCATTGATCTTGACCTCTACTCGACCTTCTAAAGAATGCGATCCACCAACAAGACGCACGTTCTTTGTTTCTAAAAATCAACGACTGTATCGTTTTTTTCACATTCTCCATTAAAACGAACAGCAATAACAGAGCTATATACATTTAAAGTCTTAAAGTAGACATACACATAGTTTTAGCGATGGAGGATCTAGATAGATTTTTAACAAAGGAGCAGTAAGTGACAGCAATACATACGACATCGGACGCCCACTTCCTGCGAACGTGAACAGTTGGTGACACCCCAGTCTTTTGTCCGGCAAAATGAAATATCAGCTACCGATCCCGAACAATTAAGTTGATCAAGTAATATATCTTGACTGGGAAGATGGTTGAAATAGGAGTTTGGCAGTATTTCAGCAACTGTGTCTCTATTGATATAATAGATGTAAACCAAAAGAAACTATAGCATTTATACAGTTATCATGTATATCGTTTACCATTTTTATCGTTCAGCCACCTACTGTTTTATTACCAGTTAGTAACTTCAAACAAACGTTAAATGGTTTAACTTTGTAGTCTGCATGGTAAAAAAGATCAAGCAAGTATAATCTCTAAAAGCAGTATTCATCATGATTGCATCAGCGTTGAATTCAGCACAAACCTGTCAATTAGTGTGGGTACACATATGTAGAGATAAGTTAATAATGATAATAATTATCAGTACTATAATATGTATCTGTCTTTACAACAAAACTGTTACATTATCATGATAATATAATGATTTAAATTTTCCTTCCAATTATTTAGAAAAAGTGGTAATTCTGACCATCAAACTTCAGGCAATGCTCTCACAGACGGAGAATTCTGATTAGCTTGTAACACGCTGACGACAAGGTTCTGCATACCACAGCAGCATTTACGTGACACTTAAAAACGCTAACCTACGAAATTTTTTATACAAAAATAAATGTCACTTTATCAAGTTTCATTTTACTGAAGATAAATGTGAACTCAACCTCAAACACAATTCATTTATATCTGAAGCATACTTTTACCTTCTTTGGAAATTTGATTCATTGCGCGACAATATGCAAGAAAAATTCATGTTTATGTAATTGCTTTAAATTCTTTAACGACTGACTTTATTTATTGATTTTTTTTTTAAATTCTCGTCTTAGGTAACAAAACGTCAAATAGCAATGACGTGATCTTAGATAACAAAACGTCAAATAGCAATGACGTGATAAGATAAATTCTTTGTCATAAACGATGAAATATGTTTTCAGATTATATACTGTAACTGAACAAGCGCGATAGATATCTGACATGAAACTTGTTTTTATTGAATTGCGTAGGGTATATCTCATTCTAATACGTTTTTGAGAACACAACCTATGATCATATCCCAGCATTCTGCACACGACATCCGCTTCCGGCTGTTCGAATCCTTGACTACACACTGATCCCCAGCGGCCGGAGTGAAATACTTCCAATCGACCTTCCCAGGGTCCAACGCCACCTTCCAAGCGGATATTGGTTGACGCTTTCAGATAAATAAATTAAATTAACTGACGTCTGTCGTAAAGATTTGCAAGACAATGTTCATACTAGGAAAACAATTGGGCACTTGTTCTTCACGACTTAATAGAAATACATCGTTTCAGTTTTTTTTCGCTTTGACATTATTTTCATTTTTGTTTGATTAGAAACTCTTTATACAATGACAGATTATTACAAATATGATATTCCAACGAAAGAGTAGATAATTGTGGACAACTTTCACTCAATGTTTTTAGACTTTACATATAATACGTACGACAGGACAGTGCCGCCGGATTTTCTGAAGCACATGTGTTATACGTCCATGTCACATTCCTACATTCTCCAATATCTTTTTCATTTCCAGTACATTGCATATTTGATAACCACGACGGTCCAGTGCCTTTTCCAAATTGTCCATTACTGAAAATTGTAGGGTTCTGATGACTGCAAACAACAAAAAATACCAACATATGAACAAAATTAAAATCCAAAATCATATTCAATTAAACTAAAGCAAAACATGAACAAACGCAAGATTTATACGGGGACTCCTGAAAAAGTATAAGGAAAATAAGACCAGGTGTTCAATGGAAATACTACTTAATTATCGTGTGTCCAAGCTATAACCAACATGGAAACAAGATTCAAATTTCTCAATGTTCTTCCTGTAATAAACAGTTGTTTATGATTAGCTAGTCCTAAATCTATTACTACAACTTCTAATAGCTACAAAAATATCATCATGTCAACATTATCATCATCCAAACTCAATACAACGTGAGCAAAATATGAACAAAAGAAAGATGTACACGAAGATTTCTGAAAAAAGTACAAGAGGCATAAGACCACGAATTCCGGAAGAGTCGGCGTCTTCTGCTTTTTCGCAGACAACCGCAATGTAATCCTTGGTCAATCCAAACAAGTAATGTCACGTCCCAAAAATAAGAACAATGTACACAACAATGGAACCAACTGGCAAACTAAAATTGAACACGTCCAGCTTCCTATCACAGAAAGAAATAGAATACTTCTCAGTGAGATCACTATTATGACCGTAAAACTACCCCGTACTTTTCATCACGCTGCATCTTTTGAAACCCAGTGCTATGATGTAGCCTGTCAGTGGATGACGTCTTGCGCGAAAATTGTGATAATGGAAACAGGCCATTGGATATCGAATCAACTGTGTCAAAAACACCATATGTTGATGACGCATGGACATTGCAAAGATATATTCACAATAGGGAAATTGAAATCATCTTGTTGGTTTCCTTGTAGGAGAAGATCCCGATGAAGAGGAATCTGTCGTGAAAGTGAATGTGAGAATTAAAAAACTCTACTATATCAACCTAAATGTTAATCCATGCAATTGCCCGAAACCAAATCCATGGCCAGTTTCGTGTTTAATTTCAAACTGCAAAATATTTGACATTCAAACTTTTCATGTATAAAAAATATTATGATATTACATGTATCTATTTTTCCCCAATAGGACACAATTTTTAAAACCATTTTCCGTTTCCTGTGATAGTTATTTTTAAACCAGTCAATGGTTTTGTTTACTTCCAACGGACCTTTCATTAATTTTTACATTAGTTATATTACTTTTCATTATTCATGATTTGTGATTCTTAAAATTACCTCATGTCCACTCCTAAAGAAGTGCAGATCGTCTTAGCGTCATGCGTTGTAAAGTGCTCACCACACAAGGTTCCCCATATGCCATTGTGTAAGACCTCCACCCTGCCCTCTAGAGGAAACTTTCCATCTACCAGTCTAATTGGTGTGTAAGCTTCCGACAAAAAGATATGTTTGTTACCAAAACAACAACACATTTTACCTTACAGTGTTGACCTGTTTCTACAAATTGTTGGATACAGAGTAGCGTTGGGAAAAAAAAAAAAAAAAAAACAGTTCCAACTATAGACTTTTATTAAAGTCGGTTTCTTTCAAGTAACCGCACCATTGTTAGAACCAACAACATAGATAATGATAAAGTACAAACTGAGAAATCTAATTGAATTATTGTCTGCCTACCTTCATTATTGTTCTTTACAACACAAAGATCATACAACATGGGAGCCATGATTGATGAAGGTAAAGCTTTTTTCCTGCATGTCTCTCATCTTTCTTTGATACCAGTAAGAGTTCCTACTGCCTGCCATTATCTTAGCTAACCCTTTTTTATGCTCTGGTCATTCTACTCACAACATTGTATGCCAAGGGGAGTGCCGTGAGCTGTGGTGAAGGGGTCTGTAGCGCATGTGTTATCGATGATGCAGGTCAAGTTGACTTCAAACTGATTGCTAACACCCTGAACGAACTTTGTCCCGTCAACGATCTTGGCAGCCCTATATAAGAAATAATGACATTCATGAATATATGACGTACCGTCCAAAGGAAATACGACTTTTTAGAAAGACCCATGCAGTTATTTATGAGATGATAAATTTGAGAAGTCAAAATCCTATTGACTGAAGAAAACCTAACAGTGACATCGACGATAATAAAGTCAGATTGTCGGTTTGTTTACTTTAATTAGCCGCAAATGACATTAATATGCAGTATGAGAATACTCCAATCTGTCCTTTAGGGGAAGTAGTGAAAACAATGTCAAAATGTGTGATGACCACCGATACATCATTCAGTTATTCATCTCTGTATCAAAACCTTAGTATGTTAAAAAAAAGAAACATCCATATTAAGATCCATCCGTAGCGTATAAAGGAAGGGTAACATCATAAAACAGTCCCAGAATTGCAATATATTAACAAAGGCAACACGGAAAGCCTATATATATGAAGTATGGGAATGATCCATTGTGAGATTCTCCAGAAAAAATGATAATTTGTTAAGGGCGGACGACAGAGTGACATCGGACAACGCATAACGGGGCGAAAGACGAATGAAACAGCTGTTCGTGTATTCGGTACACAAAACTGGCAACTGTTCAGAAATTTACTTTTAAGAAAACGAAACAAGAATGATTGAACACGACATTCAAATTTAAACGTATAATCAAACATAAACACGGTGTTTAGGACACGAATTTTTCTGACATTCTGTAGAATTTTTTTCACATCGGTCTAGATTACAATTCCATAAAAATGTCATGAAAATGTCATGATACATTAAACTGACAAAAGTAATACGTACGCCGAACCCAGCCCCAGTACAGAACATAAACCCTGGGCAATTCTGCTTGTTATTCCAGTGGTGATAATTTCACCCCACGTCCCAGCCGAGTTCTGTCCCTCCAAGCGTCCCTCATGAGGATTACTTCCACCTACTAGTCGAATGTGTAGTTCAGCTACATGAAAAGTAAATGGTAACGTTTGATAAATAATTCGTTCGGTATTCATTTTAGGGTAGAGGTAGACCCACAAGTAAATAGCTCTTCAATACGTATTCTGTAAGTGATACTTTAATACCGAAAGATAAAAGCGACTCGTTCAATGAAAATTTGACGCATCAATCCAATAAAAAAAAAATCGTGGGTAGCAGTGGCTAACTTGTAAGGAGGTAGTAAAATGGTGTGGAGAAGTGGCTATCTATCTAGTGTCGGTCAGTAACATTTTGTGGGTGTGGTAGTAGTGGATAACTTGGGTCGGTCAGTAACATTTTGTGGGTGTTGTAGTAGTGGATAACTTGGGTCGGTCAGTAACATTTTGTGGGTGTTGTAGTAGTGGATAACTTGGGTCGGTCAGTAACATTTTGTGGGTGTGGTAGTAGTGGATAACTTGGGTCGGTCAGTAACTTTTTGTGGGTGTTGTAGTAGTGGATAACTTGGGTCGGTCAGTAACATTTTGTGGGTGTTGTAGTAGTGGATAACTTGGGTCGGTCAGTAACATTTTGTGGGTGTGGTAGTAGTGGATAACTTGGGTCGGTCAGTAACATTTTGTGGGTGTGGTAGTAGTGAATAACTTGGGTCGGTCAGTAACATTTTGTGGGTGTTGTAGTAGTGGATAACTTGGGTCGGTCAGTAACTTTTTGTGGGTGTTGTAGTAGTGGATACCGTGGGTCGGTCAGTAACATTTTGTGGGTGTGGTAGTAGTGAATAACTTGGGTCGGTCAGTAACATTTTGTGGGTGTTGTAGTAGTGGATAACTTGGGTCGGTCAGTAACTTTTTGTGGGTGTTGTAGTAGTGGATAACTTGGGTCGGTCAGTAACATTTTGTGGGTGTGGTAGTAGTGAATAACTTGGGTCGGTCAGTAACATTTTGTGGGTGTTGTAGTAGTGGATAACTTGGGTCGGTCAGTAACATTTTGTGGGTATGGTAGTAGTGGATAACTTGGGTCGGTCATTAACATTTTGTGGGTGTTGTAGTAGTGGATAACTTGGGTCGGTCAGTAACATTTTGTGGGTGTGGTAGTAGTGGATAACTTGGGTCGGTCAGTAACATTTTGTGGGTGTTGTAGTAGTGGATAACTTGGGTCGGTCAGTAACATTTTGTGGGTGTTGTAGTAGTGGATACCGTGGGTCGGTCAGTAACATTTTGTGGGTGTGGTAGTAGTGGATAACTTGGGTCGGTCAATAACTTTTTGTGGGTGTGGTAGTAGTGGATAACTTGGGTCGGTCAGTAACTTTTTGTGGGTGTTGTAGTAGTGGATAACTTGGGTCGGTCAGTAACATTTTGTGGGTGTTGTAGTAGTGGATAACTTGGGTCGGTCAGTAACATTTTGTGGGTGTGGTAGTAGTGGATAACTTGGGTCGGTCAGTAACATTTTGTGGGTGTGGTAGTAGTAGATAACTTGGGTCGGTCAGTAACATTTTGTGGGTGTGGTAGTAGTGGATAACTTGGGTCGGTCAGTAACATTTTGTGGGTGTGGTAGTAGTGGATAACTTGAGTCGGTCAGTAACTTTTTGTGGGTGTTGTAGTAGTGGATACCGTGGGTCGGTCAGTAACATTTTGTGGGTGTTGTAGTAGTGGATAACTTGGGTCGGTCAGTAACATTTTGTGGGTGTTGTAGTAGTGGATAACTTGGGTCGGTCAGTAACATTTTGTGGGTGTTGTAGTAGTGGATAACTTGGGTCGGTCAGTAACATTTTGTGGGTGTTGTAGTAGTGGATACCGTGGGTCGGTCAGTAACATTTTGTGGGTGTTGTAGTAGTGGATAACTTGGGTCGGTCAGTAACATTTTGTGGGTGTTGTAGTAGTGGATAACTTGGGTCGGTCAGTAACATTTTGTGGGTGTGGTAGTAGTGGATAACTTGGGTCGGTCAGTAACATTTTGTGGGTGTGGTAGTAGTGGATAACTTGGGTCGGTCAGTAACATTTTGTGGGTGGGTATAGTAGTGGATAACTTGGGTCGGTCAGTAACATTTTATGGGTGTGGTAGTAGTGGATAACTTTGGTCGGTCAGTAACATTTTGTGGGTGTGGTAGTAGTGGATAACTTGGGTCGGTCAGTAACATTTTGTGGGTGTGGTAGTAGTGGATAACTTGGGTCGGTCAGTAACATTTTGTGGGTGTGGTAGTAGTAGATAACTTGGGTCGGTCAGTAACATTTTGTGGGTGTTGTAGTAGTGGATAACTTGGGTCGGTCAGTAACATTTTGTGGGTGTTGTAGTAGTGGATAACTTGGGTCGGTCAGTAACATTTTGTGGGTGTGGTAGTAGTGGATAATTTGGGTCGGTCAGTAACATTTTGTGGGTGTGGTAGTAGTGGATACCGTGGGTCGGTCAGTAACATTTTGTGGGTGTGGTAGTAGTGGATAACTTGGGTCGGTCAGTAACATTTTGTGGGTGTTGTAGTAGCGGATAACTTGGGTCGGTCAGTAACATTTTGTGGGTGTTGTAGTAGTGGATAACTTGGGTCGGTCAGTAACAATTTGTGGGTGTTGTAGTAGTGGATAACTTGGGTCGGTCAGTAACATTTTGTGGGTGTTGTAGTAGTGGATAACTTGGGTCGGTCAGTAACATTTTGTGGGTGTTATAGTAGTGGATAACTTGGGTCGGTCAGTAACATTTTGTGGGTGTGGTAGTAGTGGATAACTTGGGTCGGTCAGTAACATTTTGTGGGTATTTTGAGTATATGACCCTGTTTATCTGTGAAGATATCATACTCACAACATCTCACCCCAGCGTCCTCACTGTGACTGCAGTCATGCTTTCCCCACCCATCAAAGTGACAATTAGCTATATCAGTTTCGTTCCCGAGACACTTAATGGAATCCATCCAAATGGTCCCAACTCCCGAGCCGAAATAGGCTTCTCCGTATGCCTTGGCTACACTAAAAAATGATAGACGATGGCATATTGGTCTGTCTAGAAACGTTTATCAGGTTTGAAAAAAAAAACTGTAAGGAAAATAAAGTTTGTGATAATGTTTGATAGACGAAATGAACTGGATAATTGTTGATATGAAAGCGTCTTCAGCACATGGAGATATATAGTGTCTAATTTAAAAGAACATTGTATCGTCATAAACATTGTGTTTGTTTGTAGCAAAACAATAATGATTAACAATTTCAAACTAGGAATAACGTTTGCCCAATCTTGGGAAAGTGTAAGCATCAGTGTATAGACGATCTAAAAACATCAGTAATTTTTTGCCTACAACTGTTTTAAGGATAACGACACGACTTCTCCAAAACAGCTAAATTTACTTGCACTAGATTGTATCCCAGCATCCGGCAGATCACCATTGCCTCATTGTGTCTAAACGTGTCGTCACAAATGGTGCCCCATCCACTATGGTACACCTCCACTCGACCAGCATTGCCACCGCTAGGTACTAATTTGATCGAGGTCGGAACTAAAACACAGACAACACAGGCTTTTCCGTGTACAGAATATACACAAATATACACATCAATATAGTTGATATGACAGATACACCAGGGAGATTAGTGTTTAACGGGTAACATGATACATTTCTGTCAACAGGGCAACAAAAGGTAGACAACGATCAACTTCTGTAGTCTGTTTTTTGCCAGAATATAATCTGTGATCACGAGGAACAAGATATAAATATTGGTGCATTTCTTAATCAAAATCTTCAATTAGACATCACGTACTACTATTTTTATGTTAATCAATATGAATGGTCAACACAGCTTATAGATAACAAGGACTTAAGAAGACAGACAGGGACACAGTCCTAACTCCACCAAATACACCAAATGCCAAAGATTATACCAGTT